AAATATTACACAGGACGTTCCACTACTGAGCTGGATAGCGAAGATGTTTTGTATAGACATCCATACTTTTTATTACATATTTGGATACACCTAAATACTCTAGAAATACTTTTTGTCGAGTTATTAAAATATTACATATTTATCTAAAAAACATGACAGCATCTCCACCCGTATCTCAAAAAGTTAATAGGCAAAGTAAATCATTTTCATTTTTAAGCGCATTCCCTCAATTTTTTCACATAAACACACTTGATTAGTTATGTAAAGCAGCTTATAAATAGCAATATTAAAAATGTAAAGGTACAGACGGTGACATATTTGCACGTTTTGAATGAGTTTTTGAGACCTCCGTACTATTAATTGACTCGAACTGTTCAAGGAATGTTGTAAACCAGGTAGCAGCTGAAGACTATAAGATCCAAATATGTATATTGCACATAAACTATAGCTAGTAGCTACCAGAAAAAACAACTTTTTCATGCAGATCTTCAGTCAAATGCTCTGTATAATCCTGAATATTTTATAAATGTACTTTCACAGAAACCTGATAGGACAATCCTGAATAGTTTTTGAGAAGGTCTGCCTTGTAAATGTTATAAAACTGTATTGTTGGTCAGCCGGTTTATAGGGTTGATAATAAACAAGTAAATAGATATCAAAGAAGTATTACAGTACACTGTATTGAACACTGTCCAGTACAATAAGTTGTAGTATGGTTCAGACTGTCCATTTTGGCGGCCATGTATTTGCAAAACTGCTCGTGCAAAAAAGTGATTTCTTCATATGACCACTCATGCTTAGAATGGACCACGCGTCGAACTTTGCTTACGGCATACACGTGTTTCCAAAACACATGACAAAAATTCAAGGGGTGATTCTTTGGACTATTCCAAGACGATCTTGTCCTGTGGCAATTTTTGAAATACAGCTACAGCTAGCGGATAAAAATGAACGGTTATTAATGACAATAGAGGCATTTAGTTGATTTGAGGTTAGGAGTCCGAAACTTGACTCAAATCTAATTTCATAGAACAAATGAGTATTTCTTACTGTACTTGCCTTAGGAAAATGAAATATATATTCATTTTTTAAAAGCGTAAGATGGATACTCGTAATGTGTTCCATTTAAAAAAAAAATATTTTTAAAAGGAAACGGTGGTATCGGCCATAATGTGACGTCATACAAATTGTAACCAAAGAAACGTTTCCCGCATGTCACTCATCGACTAACTAAATGTTTATAAAATACGCATAGTCAACGTAAAAAGTTATCGTTTTCTCGTTTTATTGAAAAACAATCATGGACGCTGGATCCGCAAAAACTGAAAACACAAATTTGTCGAAAATTGACACATTGCTGGTTGGTAATTTGTTTTCCTTCAACCCAGATGTCCGCTCTACTGAGCTGAGGAACATCAGAATTCTATACAAGGACAGTGTATCTGATATAATGATAGGCATAAAAAGAAACAAAACTTACTTCTTTCTTTTCAGAAATCATTAAAAACTAAGTTCATGTTTTATAACCTCTGAATAGTTTATCAAGTATTATATTTCTTCTTACACATCTTAATTGGAATCATACGGTCATGATGCCAAAAATGACGGACAGGGTTTTCGCCTATCTAAGAAAAATATATTTTTAAATTAGTTTTACGGCCTTTTAGGTCTGAAAAAATATAATATTAAACAGATAAGCCCTAATTAAATTGGTATTTTGGAAAATCATCCAAAATCCTTATCCTTCTTCAGTAAACTAGTAAAACTTAGATGATAATTAATGACTGCTTCTCGGGATTAATGCTGAAGCATCTAAATTCTTGATACTTTAACTAAAAAGAAAACTTCTTATCTTTGTATGATTCGTGTATTCAAAAAGTTTGATATTTATTTCATTATATAAGACGGATAGGGCCCGGTGTGGATAGCCCTGGATAGGTCAGTAACAATGCTAAATTTGGAATTTGGATGACTTGTACAAACACATCCTATTAGATAAACACAAAAGTTTTGCTCGGTTATACATCCGCGTATCAGTCAGTTACATCGTTTGCAAAAATACATCCACGTGTGTTGATAATGGGAATCAGAAATGTTTTTGATAGTTTTTGAGTATACATGCAGCACATAAAGCATACATGTAACCATAACGTATACATACATAAATTTTCGTTTCTAAAACTTTGTCCCTACAGAAAAAAGGGAAACAATCTCTACCCTACTGGCTTTTTTGAAACATCTATTGCGGTTATAATCAAGGTATCAAATTTTACATGAATCATCTTTCATGAGAAATTTTTGTCATTTTTGGAGAAAAATTGGTTTGGATATTTTAAGTGAAATACGTATCAAAAATTTCAACCCATTCTGCTTTGAAAATACATTTAGTGAAGTTTGACGTTGAAAATATACTCGTATGTAGTATATTAAGAGAGCAATACTATCTCGCCAACGTTATGTGAATAATATCCATGTTTTATCTCGAAAACGAAAGCCATCCGACCCATGTAGAACTCGTATATCATTTTTTTGTCTTGAAACCATCTAAGAAACATTAAACACTTATTTACAAGCGACATGTAAAAAAACATAACATTACGTTTATCGAGAAGAAAATGTTTAATCATACAACCAACATAATCCCATTTTTCGTCTCAAAGATAGGGCATGGAAAATATTTGCTGAATATGCAACGAAAAAGGTATTATACCGCAGTAGTGCAAATGAATGAATGACGCTGCAGAATACATAAACCTGTTTCCATGAATCATATATTACTTAATTTGTTTTGTTTATTTTCATGGGCGCGCGCAGCAACACAAAATATTGATATATCCTCTTAATGCGAATAAGAAAACAATGATACTGGGATTAAAACTGAATTACATAGAATGTTATATGCGGTAAATTGTCTGTGCCTTTTATTTCCTGTGTTATTTGCAGTAAAATATGATTAATCAGAGATATCACATTTGAACTTCCCCACAATTGGCAAGGAGGTATTGTATTATCGAGGAATTTCAAAAATGGAATATTATGTTCTTTGAAAAAACTTCTCGCCAATTTCCGTCGATGATACGAGATCATTACTTTGCCAATGACGAAAAAATGGCGTTAAGTAGGTTGACTCTGCACTTCTCACGCAACGCCCTCATCACTACTTAAAGGAATATGTAAGAAAAAGCTACAAAAATAATTTTGATTCAGAGGTGCACAGTTTTGTGTGGCTAAAAATGGAATAAAACACCCCAAAAATACTCAAAGGTTCTATTTTACCCCCAAAAAAATCCCCGCGAACATTTTATCCTCCAAAAATTGCCCAAGAGAAGAAAAAATCCCTCGAATTTTGGGAAAATTTTATACTGAAATCCTTTAGATTTTAATTTTTCAAACTAATTATACTGGAATTCCCCTTTACTATTAAGTTGTGGCCCTAAAAAGGGCCGATTTAAAAAAGAAAGGTTTCAATGCCCCAGAAACTGCTCGAAATGCTGATCATCACGTTCTATGCTCTATGCAGTCCTGAAGCCTCTCATGGGTAGACAAAACTGAAGCTTCAATTTCGGCTCTCGGTATGTTACGTATTGCATTACGCATCCGGTTTTCCATATCCTCTTTGGTTCTAGGTTGAGTTTGAAACACGATATCCTTTAAGCGTCCCCATAAATAAAAATCAGTCTGGTGATCGCGAAGGCCATGGAAACAGACTTCCTCTTCCAATCCCCCACTATTTTTTGCCACAAGCCTCTACGATAGAGATAAATCACCTCGCGTTCTTAGTTGCCCACCCTGTATATCGATTCATTTCTACAATTTTTGACTTTCATGGTTGAGGAACTGTGGGCGTCTAGATATACTTATTGATAAATCCTATGTTTGGCTTTCCGCCAAAGAATGGTACAGATGCAGAATTGAAAGATTTATCACAGGGTGGCTCAAAATGAACGATATGGTTTGAATTATTTATAACGCTCCCGATATGAAGCGAATGGAAATGATCGAAAATTTACTTTTAATGTCCTTGATTTGTTGTTTTACCTCAACGTGGATATCAGCGCTACCTCAATTTAAGGCTTGGGAACCCTCACTATCAGAATTAAGCCAACTCATTTCAGATTTCCGGGAACAAGGGGCAGTGTTGAACCTTCGTAGTGATGGAAGATGGTGCACTATCAACCTACTATACAACGTTTACGTTAAGAGTTTACCAAAAATGTCTAGTTTCCCTTACTGTCGCTCAGAACCGAATAATACTGCAATATTTGTTATTAAGAACTATGGAAGACTATCCAAACCTGTAGCTTCGACGAAATTAAATTATAGCACACACTTCAAGGGGGTAGTTAATGGCTTTGTTAAGAAGATTTTTGAAGATCACATTTTTTATTTAAATTAGAGTCCTCATCGACTGAAGAAGTTGCTTCCACTTGCGTTATATCTTTCACAACTGATTTCCCATTATAATATGGCACATATAAGAAACTGTCTCGTTTTAATTACTGCTCATATACAAAAAGTTATGAAGAATATAAATCATATCGTTCAGTTTTCGCTACCCTGTACATTAGAATTCAGCGTCTGTTAAATTACGATGACCGTTTCCTGGCGCCTAATGGGATAAACGTTTAAACAAAATGTTTACTTGTAAATGATCGATGTTGGTACAGTTGATAGTGAAACTGCTAATTAAAGTAAGTGTAAGTCTCTAATATGAGAAGCTGATAGCCTCAATCTCTACGAGTATTCGATCCATTTATATTACCAATTTGTTTTTGATTGCAATGTTGTTTGTGTACACAAGAAGTTTGAAATTTGTAGTTAATATAATCTCTCGTGTCAAAGACTTTGACCAGAATAAAAATTATGAAAAAACTGAAAACTGTTGACGTTGCTATTAGTTAGTAGTATAATGTCTATCGTTTTAGTAGCGTGGAAAAGTGAATGTATGTACAATATAGTCGATTAATTATAAAGCTTTCAATCAGTATTAATTTGAAGTTGTTTATGTTAGAACCTTTGTTTTATTATGTGACAGAATCGTAATTCTTCGTTTTTTTATAGCTATAATGCGATATATGTATGTGTATATAGTGCGATAGGCGAATCGAAGAATCGTGAAGTTTAACACAAATAACGTATGTCCTAAAAGTTTTGGCTTTAATTTTAACAAACACAAAATAATATCAAGTTGCCGTTGGAAACAAAAGTTTGTTTACTTACTTTACTCTCAGTTGACGTTTGCTTATTTTGAAGTATTCGCTTTAAGATGTCGGATAAATTAGAAATAAGAAAAAGTATCTACAAGTTAGTTGGGCAGGTTTCTAGAGCTGAAATCTGACGAATATGCCAGAATGAAAACATTTCACGCATAATCATTTATCGAATAGCGGAGTGCGAGCAGGGAATACTATGTCTGAATCTCCCAAAAAGTATAAGAACCACGTGCGTTTACTGCACAGAGGTCCGAGAGATTGGTCAGAAGAGCGAAAAATCAGGTTGGAATGTCAACTAGAGACTTGCCCCAAATACTCTCAAGCGCAACTCCTTCGTATACCAAGATGCTGTCGTCAACTGAGACGGGTACACTTTGCTAATGGAAAAATCATTATTTCAGATGACTGAAAGTATTTCACTTTGAGTAATTCTGAAATGAAGGGAAACGACGGATTTTATGCGGACAACGTAGCGGAATGCCCAGACAATGTTAGATATACACATAAAGCGAAATTTGCAGATAAAATTCTAGTCATGTCCGCAATTTCTAACAGTGGTGTATCCAAACCTTTTGTGGGAATAGAGGGGTGAAGCTTTGAATATCAAGAGCTGTATTGATAACTGCATTTCAATCTGTCCACGAACATCATGCTAATGACCATATCATGTTTTGGCCAGACAATGCCATTACTCAAGATATACCCAAAACTGTCTTCGACAACACAACATACCTTTTGTTCTCAAAAACGATAATCCTCCAAACTTGCCGCAGGCTGGTCCAATAGAGGATTTTTGGGCTTTACTGTCTAGGAAGGTTTATCATGGAGGCTGGGAAGCCCAAGATGAAGAACAATGAAGACGGCGAATTTACGAAAAACTGAGAGAAATTGATATGCATTCCGTCCAGGACATCATGAGAGACATTCGAAGAAAGTTGCTTCTGGTAGAGCAGAATGGTCAGAAGAGCGAAAAATCAGGTTGGAATGTCAACTAGAGACTTGCCCCAAATACTCTCAAGCGCAACTCCTTCGTATACCAAGATGCTGTCGTCAACTGAGACGGGTACACTTTGCTAATGGAAAAATCATTATTTCAGATGACTGAAAGTATTTCACTTTGAGTAATTCTGAAATGAAGGGAAACGACGGATTTTATGCGGACAACGTAGCGGAATGCCCAGACAATGTTAGATATACACATAAAGCGAAATTTGCAGATAAAATTCTAGTCATGTCCGCAATTTCTAACAGTGGTGTATCCAAACCTTTTGTGGGAATAGAGGGGTGAAGCTTTGAATATCAAGAGCTGTATTGATAACTGCATTTCAATCTGTCCACGAACATCATGCTAATGACCATATCATGTTTTGGCCAGACAATGCCATTACTCAAGATATACCCAAAACTGTCTTCGACAACACAACATACCTTTTGTTCTCAAAAACGATAATCCTCCAAACTTGCCGCAGGCTGGACCAATAGAGGATTTTTGGGCTTTACTGTCTAGGAAGGTTTATCATGGAGGCTGGGAAGCCCAAGATGAAGAACAATGAAGACGGCGAATTTACGAAAAACTGAGAGAAATTGATATGCATTCCGTCCAGGACATCATGAGAGACATTCGAAGAAAGTTGCTTCTGGTAGAGCAGAATGGGCCTCTCCACATAATTCGATAGTATAAGTATTGTGTTGAAATTTATAACTACATGGTGTTTGAATAAATTTCTTCATTAAAAAAAATCCGATAAATATTTTGTGCCAAAACTCTTAGGACATACGTTATTCTTTTAAACATTAAATGCTCGTGCCATTGGTAACGTACGAAATGATGGGAAGTGGAAAAATTCAGCCTTTTGAAGACAAGATGATTCCGTCATTTTATAAGTCGTGGCATGCGACTCTTGTAAACCTGAAGTGGTTGATATATCCATTTTCAGCGCGCATGTAGCACGCATTGTCGAATAACTGGTTTTGACCGAACTGCAAATAATTTGAGATAAAGATGTTACACAATTAATATCGACGGTAGATTTTAAAATAAACATACCTGGATGTCATGATATATAATATATTGATTCATTGTTATAAAGAGACTGAAAGTGAAGCAAGTATTGTAAAGCTGACAGGAAATATGACATTGTGTTATTGCTGTAAAACCGCATGCCTTCGACAAATATGGCTTTTCAATATTCCTGTACATTGTTAATAATGACTATAGGTACTACAATCTATAATATTTAGTTGGGCACTGTTCTCACCAAAAGCAAACCGTTGACAACTGGACTTCAACCCGATTTCGACTTTCAACGTTGCTTTTGCGTTTCACCGAAAGCAACTGAACACCTCTTTTCAAGATTGTGAAAAATGTCACTGAGTATGTACTTACTTCTAACAATGCATATTATATATACACAATTCTTGTTCATAAAAACATTGACTGAAAAAAAATCGTATAAGTTACGTATTTCACAACTTAAATATAACAAAATCAATCAGCATATGTAGTATTTTTAATTTACCAGAAAACTCCCAAGTGACACCTTGTACGCAAACATATTTCTGATGGATATTAACTATTAACTTGCTTGTTACACTTCCTGTATTGGAAGGTTTTCTATACTGCTGTTCACTAAAAAAAATATTGAAACTCGATGTCCTATAACTTTTATTGGATTATCAACTGTAAATACTTGCAACTATTGAGCAACTTTGAAGGTTGCATTCGGTGAGGACGGACACTACTATCGGAATTTTATTACCGTCACTCTATTACTCATATAATCATTGTTTTAGGACAACTATGGATGAAGATGACTGTTATTCAAGTAGCAGTCATAACTCCAGTACCAGAAGGGATCCCAGGCCTCAAGCTCAAGGGTCATGTTACAATTCCGTCGACATGGGTGACATGAGTTTTATGATGCTGGACTATCTCAAAGAAGCCATGAAAGTAAGATAATTACATTTATAATTTAATTTGACTAACAAAAGAGATTAAAATTCGATCTCGGCGATCTATATATCTATAGGCCTAGCCCTAACGCCTACGATTAGTAAAGTGATCAATAAGTATATGAACAGAAGCTACTGAAAATCTTAAGCATCATCATTTGATTAGCAACACACAGTATCACAGTAGAGAATAAATGTCTTTTAGATCAGGACACAAATACGTGTAGTAAGCACGTTCGTCACTTGAAAAGGTTCAGGTCGTTCTTCATGTTAAAAATTATCTGCAACATAATTGTCTCCTATGCAAACTTCTGTAAAAGCACTAGCACTGATTTTGCTGTGCCGCGGATCTAGATCTAATGATCGTTTTGTGATGCGAGAGTATAGGTAATGGTGTAGTATGAATCCTTCTAAATGTGCTGTTCCGTGTCGCATCAACGACGCAAGGCGGCCACGCGCAACTTAGACAATGGGTATCTTTAGTGGTTCCTATCAACGAATGGCTGCCAAGAAACCTGAAGTTGACAGCGCTATTAACAACATACAACATATCTCCTTCATGTCTGCCGATTTTGCAAGCAACTGCCAAAATCTCCATCGCCGACATCAAGCTGGCAACATCGGGGGCAGCCATGTCTGCACTCAACTTGTGACCGTCAAGCGATACAGACGTTTTATTTTGCATTAACGGTTACCCGCGACTTCGTAAGCTTAAAACTGTTACTAACTTAAACATTAATAAATGCTAGAATATGCCACCTTAGTATGGTCTCCTCAATACCTGTCTTATAAAAATGATTTAGAGCGTGTCCGGCATAAATGTTCACGTCTTGCAGTATTAAAGATGGACTCAAACATAACTGAATATTATAGAGCTGACATGTTGAAACATTTGCATTTACCTAGGCGATTAGTCTTTGATGGTTGTTTCGCTTTCAAGATTCCATTTGTTAGCATTGATACATATTAATGTACCTTGTAGAACATTGCGTAATATTGATTTTTTTGCGATTAAGTTCCATGCGGCATAGTATGGTCAGCACTTTGTCCTTTCCATTTGGTTCAGTCTGATATTGACATCTTTGGCTATACACTCTCAGGCTTTAAAAAGTATCTTTTAAATTGTAATTTGATATAATACTGTTCTTGTGAGCTTGTATTGTGACCTTGTATATTTTAAATGCCATTCCCGTATATTCTTTATAATTTTATTTTATAAAAATCAGGTCACCCGTAAATTTAGTACATAAGAATAAAATAGTCTTGTTTTGAAGTAATGCTATAAACTTTCGATCGCGCTTTGTGACTTTGTTGGCATTATTAGGTTGACAGCCAACTTCGTGTTTTTGAAATTTGGTTACTTTATACCTATACGTTCCGTGGGTAAAACCGCGTCGCAGAAAGCTAGTATGAAAATAAATCAAAGTACTTCCATGATTACGAGTACAAGAAAAAAGGCCTCAAATTTTCATAATGCACGCTCTGAAGTCCGAATTTAAACATATTTCACAGTGAAAGCATCAGAAATTCTATCTCTCGCTCACCTGACGCTGTCGTGCAATATGGAATGGGTATGAAAGCAGCGTTCTTAAAAATCGATGTGAATATGGATTTTAATTAGGGCTAGATTTTTTTTTTGTTTTTCGAATGGACTATTGAGCAACTTTGGGCTCCTGTGTATGAGTAATTCGAGAAAGAAACTCATAGATAGTACTGAATCAGTCTGCGTGACTTCGGATTTTTTGAACAAAATAGAAAATTCTTGCTTAGAATAGAGTAGAATTTCAGGATCGGGGGATGTGATTTACTCAATATCATTAGCGATGTATTTGTTTTAGTCAATGGACATGATGCGTGGTCACCAAATGCTCACCGATGTCGTACTGGAAGTGGGAAATGAACTGTTCCACGCGCACAGGGTCGTCCTAGCAGCTGCGAGTCCCTATTTCAAAGCTATGTTTACGGGAGGACTCAAAGAAACTGACATGAACAGAGTCAAATTGCAAGGTGTCTCACCCACGGCCATGGCAAGGCTGATTCGATTCATGTACACCGGAAAAATACGTGTGACTGAGAATACTGTGTGCCAACTTCTACCTGCTGCCACTATGTTACAAGTAAGTGTTTTAACAGTGCTTACATTGAAATGCAATGGGTTGAGAATATCGCAGTAACAAAGAATACATGGCAAAAGTAAATATTTTTTCGTTTATTGTAAATTCTTCCACCATTACAAATTTATTTCGAAGCTTTTTCATAAATAGTCATCAAACTTTTTCGCCTCCTTTTTGGAGGTTATTGAGTTATTGATTCACACAAACTACACCAAATCATAACAAAATATTATCATTTAACTATTGCAAAGAATATCTTTTAACCTCTGGTAGGGTACGCGGCAACACCGGCTGCTGATACGCACTAAAACCTCTTTCATCGTTGTACTAGGGAGAGTTACATGTGATTTTCTCCGCCGAAGTGGAGGCCGTTCTTGATACTGACAGAAGAGTTCCATAGCCGATTGCTATCTAAGCTGTGCTACTACTATAGAACCTTCCACAGTGGCTCCTTATGGAACAGTGCGGCCATTTTTAGTGATTGTATATTCTGTCATACAATACATCACTCAGAACGATTCAAGTCTCTACATTCGTAAATAGTTTTGGTTGTTGTTGCGTCATGGGATAGTTGTGAATGGTGAGCTTAACGCTGCGACCATGTTGTCGAACCACGGCGTTATCGTATTCATCTTCCAAGTTCCCTGTCCATAGCAACCGACGAGCATATAACGACAGTATACAAACAAAAAGTACGCTTTGTTCATCACATTCTTAACGTTCGTATAACTATGTGGTCAAAAACTGACGTAAAGAATAGCTGTGCGACACTTTTGTGATAAGTTGCAGCCAAATCAATAATTCGCTTGTTAACTTTTAATCTTACTGTTTATTTGGCTTCCTACACCAGCAATTATTAGTATTGCTATATTATTTAAACAAATGTTTTACTTCTCACGCCTACTAAGGATTTATGTTTTTTTGATGTTACATGACATGTACGTCACGAACATTCAAATCACTTATTTCCATCTGTTTGTCTGTCAATATGTCCGACAATCCTTGACCTGTATATAACTTAAAAAGTACCATTCAGATTTTGATGAAACTTTCACATACCATTATTACTATACCAAGGACGGAAAAGCTTGTTTTTCAAAACCAGTCTAGTGGCGGCGTAGCTTCATACAAAAAATGAAAAAAAATCGCTCACACTTCGTTTTTTGACGATTCAGAACTTTCTGCTCATTTTTAGTAAAATGTTTGTAGGAGGAGCTAAAAATTGATCATTGGGTGATGAAGGGAGTAGGGGAGGAAATATATTTTTTGGATGTAGTATATTTATGCGCTTCCAACCTCTGTAATTCCACACACCTATTAGGCATATTTCATATTTTCACATTTACATTTTGAAAATCGGTCCAGTGACGGCGGAAAAAAGGCGGTAAGCGGTAAGAAATTGGAGGTGGGGGAGGATGTATCGCAATTTTTTGGTGGCATTGTATTTATAAACTTCTAACCTCAGTAATTCTACGCGTCTGTTAGGCATATTCTACCCATATATTACCCCGTATGTTTGGATGAAAGACATGTTTTGTATACAGGGTGTTTCAGTTTATTGTTGCATAACTTTAAGATTCGATAGAACTTTTAAAATTAATGCATAAAGTCTATATATAAACGTTTTTTTTTAAATATTTCGAACAATATTTGATGTATAACAGTGAAAATTGGTATACAAAACGAACCATGGGCATAGTTTTACTGTAGCCGCTAGAGGGCGCTCTCTACTGTACCTGTAGTGTATTAAAATGACCGAAAAATTTTTCTTAGTGCAATTTTTTGCTTTTTGAATGAAAAAACTGATTCTTCGCACTTTTCAACATAAAAAAGCTCTCTTGTGAATTTTCGTTATAGTTAGCCGTTTTTGGATAGTTAGGACAAACATACAAAATCTAAAGTAGTTGCTGGAAATGTAAACCCAATTGTTCAATACACAATTCACATCTACGAATGATCGAACGTGGTATGCCATTATTCAAATAAGGCCTTATTTCATCACATGCATTCCTGATTCTGTCTATTAGCATATCTCTTGTGGTTACGGGAGTCTGGTACACTTTTTCTTTTAGAAATCCCCACACAAAGAAATCTAATGGATTTAGGTCAGGGGATCGTGGAGGCCAGGCGTTTCTAACTATTCTCGAATAATGAGCTGGACAACCATCAAGCTGGAACCACGCCAATCTTCTTAAATCTAACATAACATCATCCCACATATTTGCATGTTCAGCCTTTAAAAATTCCAAGAAGGTCGCAGCATTTAACCTTGCAGGCAAAAGGTAGGGTCCAAATAGTCGATTACGGTAGACACCAATCCACACGTTCACACTAAATTCATGCTGAAAATGTCTTTCCCGAACTGCATCCGGATTTTCATGCGACCAAATATGTTGATTATGAAAATTTACCACTCCACGTCTAGTGAAGCATGACTCATCGGTCCATAAAACGTTACTTAAAAACTCCCTATTATTATCAGTTCTATCAAGAATCCACTGACAAAATGTGATTCTTCGTTCTCCGTCCACTGGCTGTAGTCCTTGCACATGTTGCAAATGGTAAGGACATCTATGGTCATTTCTAAGAACAGGGTGAACATGGCTTGCTGAAATTCACAAGGCACCAAAAACTCTCCTAACACTTGTGGTTGGATCTCTATCAAACTCACGCAGAATCATACGGGTAAATCTGCGCTGACGAACATTTATGTTTTGATCCCTTTGGAGATTTCCAAAACCATTTTCAATTATTTGGCGATGCACTCTTACAAATACTGAGCGAGTTAGATGTGGTCTGTTTGGAAATCTTCGTGCGTATTCTCTGGCTGCTTCTGCTGCGTTTCCATTTACAAAGCCATACACAAAATGAATATCCGCTAACTCTTGATTGGAGAATAAAAATGGCATTTTTATAAAACTTACCAAAAAAACAGGTAAAAGAAACTAAATTTCGTGCATTCACAATTGCAAAAAACGTTTCAGGTTTCAACAGATAACAAAACTAACTGTCAACTAATTGACGTTTAACCTCATTCTGCTTTCAATTTCAAAACTATTTGCAGGCACAGCCTACTTCTAAAAATTATCGAGATACTGACTTTTTAACGTTATTTTATCATAAATAATTAAAAATGCATCGAACCTTAAAAATCGAAATATCTCAAAAACGGCTAAAACGGAAATTCACAAGAGAGCTTTTTTATGTTGAAAAGTGCGAAGAATCAGTTTTTTTATCCAAAAAGCAAAAAATTGCACTAAGAAAAATTTTTCGGTCATTTTAATACACTGTAGGTACAGTAGAGAGCGCCCTCTAGAGGCTACAGTAAAACTATGCCCATGGTTCGTTTTGTCGTACCAAAAACCCTTGTATACCAATTTTCACTGTTATATATCAAATATTGTTCGAAATATTTAAAAAAAACTATTTTAGAAAGTAAATTTAAACACCCTGTATTTCGGAAGCCACACATTTTTCGACCCATGTTTATATAGACTTTATGCATTAATTTTAAAAGTTCTATCGAATCTTAAAGTTATGCAACAATAAACTGAAACACCCTGTATAAAGTTCACTAGTAGTTGGTTACTCAATACTTTTTCTCCAATCATATTCATCATATAACGTCATTATATGTAAGAGTTTCAATAGCCAACCAATAGTCAACCTACCAGAACATAAGTTGATTCAGATATGCGCATTCAAAGCCCGTAATTTCAATCTGTGCGGGACCATGGGCACTTAAGCACCTCAAAGCAGTGTACCGACTCATATTTATAATTGTGAGGTATACATATTTAGATTTTCTGATTACCTTAAGGAAAAGAAACGGCATTATAAGTAAATACAAAATATAGGGATTAACTAAAAGAACGTTAAATTATTTTTGACTGAAGGGATAAAAGTGTACTAAGATACAGGGTGTTCCACTTAAAATTCTTCTATTGTGTCACAGGTAGTTTAAACTAAATGGAAAATCAACTTACAACTATTATGTGCGTCTGGATATTTGTACAATGCTAATTTTCCAGAATTAAATTATATCGTACCTGTTTTCAAAGGTAATATTCTGAAAAATTTTGAGAGACTTTGTACAAAAAGAAATACACGTGATTTTGTGTAGGGTAGGGGGTAGTCTGTAATTTCACCACGTATCACCTAGGGGAAGGTGGGCAGTATTATTTTGAAATTTTTTTCAAAAAACACCACGTGATGGATGGACGACCCCCAAGCTACACACGCGGATATCTTATGAGATGTATATTGAAGTTACATCAATACTTTTTGTTATCGCTAGCCGTGTAACTCTGTTTTAGGTACAAAATGTGATTCAAGCGTGTTGCGACTTCTTGGAAAGACAGCTGGACCCATCAAACGCGATTGGGATAGCCAGTTTCGCAGAGCAACACGGATGCCTAGAACTGTGTAAGAAAGCCAATCAATATATTGAACGTCATTTTTGCCAGGTTCTAACCCCACTCCTCACACGCGATACTTACTCCTACTCACCATCCCACATTCCAGATTTGTCAGGAAGAGGAGTTTCTCCAACTCAACACTATCCAGCTCATCAATCTCATAAAAAAGGATGAGTTGAATGTACAAGATGAAAAGGAGGTTTACAATGCAGTGCTGAAATGGGTGCGTTACGATGAGGATAATAGGCACACGAAGATGGAATGCATTTTGAGTGCAGTTAGATGTCAATTTCTGCCACCTAAGTTTCTCAATGACCAGATGACCAATTGTGAAGTGATTAAAAAGACACCTGCTTGCAAAGAGTATTTAGCTAGGATATTTAAGGTAATGTGGGATTTACGTTATACATAGAGCATGAAAAGTTTATATTATGTTGAAACCCCAGCAATATAGTCTACAGCGAGTTATTTAAAAATGAAACCAATTTTTCTGATGGCAGAGGCGCAGCATTGCATATTGCGCGAGTGCGTGGGAAGCACGGACCTACTCGAATCCATTCTACTCCCCACTCCAATTAGGAAATTTCGTAATTAAAAAGACTACCAGTTTCACTTACATATAATAGTATAACTGGTATCTTTCACAAATCTGACAGAATTATTCCGAAAGCTTCAACTGTAAGTTAGTGACAACAATATCTTTGTGGTTCGGTCGTGATGTCACAGTACACACGTTTGGCTGCAGCACTGACGGGCGCGGTCGGATGACGCGACGGCCCTCGCATATCGCATTCATAAAGCCAATTTGCGCTGCAGGGGAAATTTAGAAAATAAATTAAAAAATAACCATTTACTTGGTAAGGAATGCCAACTAGTGGCCTGTCTCATGTTTTGTTTGTTAATATTGCTTAAAGATGTTGATGTGTTACTAGGAAAACTCACTTATGGTTGTCTGACTTATACGCTCTTTTGAAGCCCCAACATTGAGTACATCCTGTATCATGATCAAATCATTAAGCATTTCATTACATTATTTTTAACAGCGATAGTAAATAAGGATATGTACTTTGTGATCACTTAAGTGAACCGTGATAATTTGACAGTACTGACTTGACAATCGTGACAGGTTACTTTTTTATGTTGACGTGAAGCTAACTACAAAATTAAAAAAACGTCAATTTTTTTTCATGTGAAACTTTCGGTAATATTTGTGTCATGATTACTCCAAATTGGTCAAGAAACGATAAGTAAGTAATAAAAAGTTGTCTTGTCACATTACATATACATTAGCAAAATCAGGACAATTCAAACTAAATACCCTCTTCCATCAGTACAATGATCGTATTTCAGAAAAGGGCAACTTATTCATTACTCTGCACCACCCGTTTCTAATTCTTCTGTTTTGGCAAATAATAAACTTCTGGGTAGCGTAACTTAGTCATTTTTTTTTGAGATATTCAAACAATGTGTAGCATACTCCACTTTTCTGGGATTATTAGTTTAAGTGCCTTTTAAAAATAGAAAACTTCCTCAATGGCGTGGAAGTATCCACGAAAATTTCAAAAATGAGATACCATGATATTTTGGATGTTACATGATATGTACATAAAAAACCATTATATCACTCATTTCCGTCAGTCTGTCTGTCTCTCCACTAATCTTTTCCCCTCTATAACTCGGAAAACTGCTCGAATTTTGATGAAATTTTGACACAAAGTTACTACTATGCCAGAGACGATAAAGCTTTGCAAGTCGCTTCAACCGCGACAGAGCTACGGGAACTAAACGAAAAAGTCGCTCAAACTTTGTTTTTTGACGTTTCAGCGACTCATTTTTGGAAATTTTTTGAGGGGGAAAAATAGGGATGGAGGGTTGCAGAGGGTTTAGGAGGACATATCTCAACTTTTGGCGGCACGTTCATAGTTGACTTTGCCCTGACTTGTGCCGAAAATATTTTTTTAAGAACTGATGATAATAACGTTGCGTGGGGAGTGCAGAGTTAACCTACCTAACGCAATTTTTATTAATACTGTTTCGATATGAACATCTGATGGTGAAAATTTTTTTTATTACTATAACTACTTTGATTTTAGGATCTCACATTGCACATACGAACAGTAGTAAAAGAGAGGTGTCCAAACATTCCAAGAGTGATATACATCGCAGGAGGTTATTATAGACAATCTTTAGATATATTAGAAGGTTATAATGTAGATGAAAAAGTATGGACTAAGTTAGATAGACTGACTGTGCCTAGATCTGGTTTAGGGGGCGCATTTTTGAAGGTGAGATACAATGTAACTGTTTCCCATTTTGCGAAGTTTATATTCAGTAGTAGTAAGTGTTGAATATCGTTTTAGATACTATTAGCTATCTGCCCCGCGGAACGTGTAGCTGGCGTCAAGTAACCAAATTCCCCAAGCATGCAATTTATTAATAGCAGGACTACTTGAAAACAATGTTTTATATTAGTAACAATTTCAGGCCTACGAAGTCGCGGGCAACAACTAGTGCAACATAAAACCGCCTGCTTGACGTTGAAGCTGGACATTTTGGTACTGTCCGCGACAGTTGAGTGCGCGGATAAAACCAAGCCTATAACTTTCCTTACGTATTAATTAGTGTGTGTGTACTGACAGACTGGACAGACATTCAGGTTTATATATAGTTTAGGCCTAGCATCTCATCCGTAATTTGCTACAGTTTTCCCAAGGGACACCTTAAAGTGGTATCTGAACAATGTCAATCAAGGAAACTGTAGGATGTCAGATAGTAATCCAACCTGATATAGATGTCCCTTGAATGTGATAGTAATTATACTAGATATTCTACTCTTGGACTTCGTATGTTTATGCCACTGAATGCAGTCGTCATGATCAATGACTATCTGTTTACTTAATACTTCAAGTTATTTTTTACGTAACTAATTGAATTAATCTCAGCTGCGTAGACGAGTACATGGCACATTGATTATTACGTCTCTCGGGTAGCTATAAAATAGTTTATAGCTTAGCTTGTAGAACCACGTATGTGCATTGCTGTATTCAATATGGCCAATAAATGATATGATATTTAATGACATATCTTCCTTGCTCGTACCCGTTCCATTATTTATAATGGAAATTAAAAAAGATACTCTAAATTTATTTTGAGAAAGGAAGGCTTCTGAATATATTTGCGTTCCTTCAATATATACAGTTAAGTGATTCGCACAAAAACAATTTAATAATGGAATATGTTATGGCTAAGAAATGAAACGAGTTATGGATATTTGACATTATTATAGATATATCGGCGTTTTTAAATGTATATATCGAGTCATCATGCACTCTGTTTTAGAATTCAAATATCAAATGGAAATAAAGGTTGCTTAAAAATCATTTCATCTTAATTTTCATTGAAAGTAATGGAACTATACTGTCAAGAAAACCATGATATGATATTACAGGATGTAACTAGTGCCCTCTATATATATTATGTTCTGAAATACACACATATTCGTATTCCACGTCTTCAGAATCCTCTTAAAAAAACGGACCGCCCTGTTAATGGCTCAAACATAAAAAAATCATTACTCTTCTACCTGCGAAAAGCATACTGATGCTTTTTGATTTTATGTTTTTAGGGAACGTTTTATGCAGTGGGAGGCAGAAACAATAGTCCAGGTAATAGTTACGACTCTGATTGGGTGGACAAGTATAATCCAATAAAGGACCATTGGCGACCTTGTAGTCCCATGTCTGTACCTAGAAACAGAGTAGGTGTTGCTGTTATGGACGGATTGTTGTATGCAGTAGGAGGAAGTGAAGGATCGAAATACCATAGCAGTGTTGAATGGTACGATATCATGTAATTCTGATGGGTGATTCATATTTTTCTGAATGAACAACAACAATTGTTTATGTTTGCTTCATATTTCCAACAGTAGTCGTATCGGCTAAACCGTCTACGTCGTACTGATCTTATGAGATAACCACCAATTCAATTTACTTACCTCCTGATGATATCCTGACGTTACCGCGATAATTACTCATTACTTATGGTTTAGGTTTTTTATCAGCAATGAAACCTTATTTGATTAAATATTTAACTTGCGATGTGGGATTTTGTGTAATAATAATAATGTTTATTTCCAACAGGCAGATACACCCAATTACAGAAAATATCAATCGGTATCAATTAAGCACAGTAAACAGATACATAGATAAGAATAATAGTATATAAGTAAATAATCAACAATAATATTCTACCTTAGAAGTTCATCAAGGTAAAGTTCGATGACGCGAGATTTAGTTATTATTATTTAATTATGCCGCAGTTACTGATACTATTGAATATTGTACACATCCTATGAACGGGAGACTTGGACAAAACATTAGTGTGGCAGAAATCACTGTAAAATGTAGCCCAGTAACGGTTACCTAAGCGAGGACCATTAAAACATATCTTACTTAAAATATATGGACAATAAATCTTATTGTGGAGTAAACTGAGCAAAAAAGACAGAGCGGAAATATTTCGGCGTACTTCAAGCGGTTTGATATCAAAAGTTTTGAGTAATACGTTATGGCCGAAGCCTCTTTGTGGATAGAAACCATTGGATTTGAAAAACATATACATACTTTACTGCTCTTTGTTGAATAGATTCCAATCTGCTAATAGAGTTTTGATAAATAAGTGCGCCCAGATAAGAGATGCATATTCAAGCTTCCTTCTGACGTATGTTAGATATAGAAGCTTGATTGTTTCAATATTCGAGAAACCAGTTTCTAACACAGTACCCTAGCATTCTGGAAGCAGACGATGTAATGTTATTTATGTGATCATTAAAAGTGAACTTGACATCAAATGTAACACCTAGGTCTTTATAACTGTTACTCCTTTATAACCTTACCTGATTAATACTTTAGTCATCATAAAACATAACATTTTGTGTCCTACTTTAAATTTTGTCAAATTTACTGTGAGGAGGTTTTTGGAACACCATGAATTGATGACTTAAAATTATTGTGAAGAACATGACAGTCTTCGAAAGTTACAATATTATTATACATTTTTAAACCATCAGAAAAAATAAATAATGATATTTGATCTGAAGTGACAAATCATTTATAAAGATTAAAAATAATAAAGGTCCCAAGTTAGACCCCTGGGGAACTCCTGAAGTAGCTACGTAATTATTAGACTTGAAACCACCATATTCGACAGTGTTCTATCCGAAAGATATGACTGGAGTGAGAGTAGATTTTCAGAAAATCCTAAGATTAATAATTTATGGAGTAATAAGCAATGGTTGATTCGGTTAAGGCTTTCTGTATATCTGAATAAATTACTTCAATCTGGCCTTGCTGATCCAGAGTCTTGGCAAGAAACTACATCGCCCAGAAACAAACCCATGTTGAAATTCAGAGATATTGGGATTGAAAAAGTTATAAATATGCTCGTAAATAATTATCTCGAATAGTTTTCCAAAATTACACAAAATGACAATATGCTTTAGTCCGTAATATCAGATGTATCACTGCATTTGGAAACAGGGCATACCATATTTGCGGAAAACAGCAAATGGGTACCATCAGATTGAAAATAACAGAAAGTGGTCTAGCGAGAGCGTGAATGCAATCTTTGACTATGAAGCTAGAAATATTGTCCACTCCAGAGGTAATCTTATCCTTTAATTTTCTAGCTGCAAGAATGACATGATTTTCGTGTAATGATGTTAACAGTCGTTGTAACCTTGTAAATCATCATAACTGTTTGGTAGATCCTACTGGGAAAACACGCTAGAAAAATAATGAAGCATATGTGTCGTTGAACGACATACCACCAGGAATCCTTCACATACTTTTTTTGGCATTAATAAATGTCCAGAACTTTTTCGGTTCTTGAGTTATATTGTCTTCAGTTCTTTATAAATAAGTTGAGTAGGAGGTATTAATCTGGGTCTTAATTGTGGATCGTAACGCTTTGAATTTGACATAATAGCTATGGCCTGTACGTTTATAGTTCCTCCTGGCTCGGTTTTTTCCTCAAATTTTTCTTGATATCCCTAGTAAATCATATAGGAACTTATGTGATTTATAGCATAATTTAGGTATATTTTCATAGAAAACCTGATGAATGTTAGTATATAATATATTATTAACCTCATTCACATCCTCTAAATTTGACCAATTTATGCTTGTATCAAGCTCAACAATAACTGTTTGCTAGATTCCTTCAAATATATTCATATTTATATTGGTGTCATATTACGAATATTAGTTTGGGCGTCATATAGAGTGTAAATGACAGGATCAGCTCAGTGTTACCTGGAGAGGATATCTTAATCAATGGTGTTACCTGTCAGAATGCTGCCTTATTTGGCAAATTGGGGAATACGAGTCAACTTACAGTTGTAGGGCGCCGAGCGGAAGCGTTGGGATGCCGGCTTTGGTCAGGTAGCTGTTCACAAGAAAGGCGGTGTGAGCCGGGGCGTTGTCGTGGTGCAACTTCCAGCCGGCTGCGATGTGTTGTCGGACCCGACTGACCCTTCGTTTGAGTCTCCTGAGCACTTCCACGTAAGACGTTGACGTTGACGGTTTGTCCAGGAGGAACAAATTCATGGTGGACGATTCCTTTGATGTCAAAAAAGACAATGAGCATCGTTTTCACTTTGGATTTTCTCATTCTTCCCTTTTTTGGGCGAAGAGACGCCGTCGTGTGCCACTCGGAAGATTGCCTCTTTGTCTTGGGATCATACTCAAAGATCCACGACTCGTCAACTGTGATTATGTTATTCAAAAATTGGGGGTCACTTTCACACATGTTCAAATTTTCTTGGCACACTTCCACTAGCCGCAATTTCTGGTCGTCAGTGAGCACTTCGCGCACATCTTGCGCATGTTCAAATGCTGTGTCACAATGTCATGAACTACAGATTTTGGTAAATTTAACATCTGGGCAATTAAACGAATACTTAGTCGACGGTCTGAGTTCAAAACTTTAGTCACACGAGTCACATTATCGGTGTTTGTCGAAGTCGAAGGTCTTCCAGCACGGTCTTCATCAGCGACCTCTTCCCGGCCCTCCAAAAAGGCCTGGTGTCACCGAAACACACCACTTCTTGCTAAAGCAATACCTGGGTAAGCCTGCTTGATCATATCAAACGTCTCTGTCGCAGATTTACTGAGTTTCACACAGAATTTAATCGCGTACCTCTGCTCTAACGAACGCTGCATTTTCGGCTTGCACCACTCACAGAAACACGTCGCGCGAAAATGCCTGTTCTGACTCTCCAAGTGCTCGGAGACAACTGACCAGCCGCTCATTCGTTAGCTAGGAACGCCCTCTACCGAATCCAGTCGGTGCGCGCACGCTCAGAAGTACAGTCATGGCGGAAGGAAATGAGTCCTATTACTTTCCGGACAATCCCTGTATAACTACAGATTTTTGATCAGTATTGTGCAGGAACACAATCTAAATACACTGGCGAAGACTAGCAGCATCATCTTTTAAGACACTCACCGTAAACGAACAATCATATGGATCGTTTGTTTTTTGTAAACAAATAGCCAGGTTTACCTACCCGATGCCTAAATACTGATGTGCGTCGTATCTTTTCTCCTAATTGTTTATTGGAGGCAAGGCCACAGTTGATATCACACTTTTTTTTCGGAAGCTAATATCTCGGATATCTCAAGTAACGAAGGTTGCTTATAAGAACTATACGCCGTGTGAAGTAAACTCCCACATTTAAATGTGAAAAATCTTGAAGAATATATTGTATACCCTGTAGTAGATTCATGTGGTTTAAACAGAAAAGCAAGCTACTCGTGGTCTTATTGGTCAGCGGGCCGTGAATGCCTTTACAGGTAGCGTCAAGCAAATATAAGCGACTATAGATTGGTCGTGTTTGTTTTGATGCAGAGTAAATGAACAGACTATTCAGTTCAATGAGTAGCAGTTTGTACTACTTAGTATGAAACCTGAGACAGCGAACCTAAAAAACGTAAATAACTCATTTTGATATTTGTAGTATCTTAAAAATGCTGCTAGTGCCAGGAAGTAAAAAGTTTATATCGCATTCATATGAATGTAGCCTTCGTTTACTTATATATCAACATTACTTAACACAATGTTGATGGTATGTTTCTGGTTATGTTGATTCAAGTTATGATCCAGAAGCGGACAAGTGGACGATGATCAAGCCGATGCATTTTAGAAGACTAGCAGTTGGTGTGGGTGTGGTGAACAGACTGCTGTATGCAATTGGAGGGTACGATGGTATAGAAAGGCACAGTAGCGTTGAGTGCTACCATCCGGAGAATAACGAATGGACGATGGTATCTCCTATGCATGCACCAAGGAGTGGAGCAGGTAATTATTTCTTAGGAGTATGGATTACTAAAAAGCTTTCGCGCATTAGAACGAACAAACTACCTGATATAGCAGAATGGTATGGTAAAAGAGGAGTCAGAGCGTCATCACAATAGGACTTTTCGCGCTTTATCTCAGCAACAGCTAATTGCACGCAATAGTACTATATCTAGAAGTTGTAGGGAATTTTACGCTCTACATCATTTTCAATATGTTCAAATGACATTCAGAGGAAAAAAACAGATATTTTAAGTTTATATGAAACTTGAGTCAAGTTATAGACTGTTAAAGCAATTTTGTTTTAATATGATTGCCAATAAGACATTTAATCTTCGAAGTATTTTGCTCTATAGGGTAGTCCTAAGAATGTTCTTAGAGCAAAAATACAAAACAGCTTCACGACAAATTTCAATACTGTTTTATAAACGTTTACCCAACAATACAGGACATTTAAGCTTGCAGAACAAATTTGTTTTATAATGGATTTATACTGGTATTATCCTACGAGTTTACCAATTTGAGAACGTCAATAAAATTGTTTAATTAGCGCTTTGTAGAACAATTATACATTTATCAATATTTTCTTTCTGATATTGCCGCTCGCTAAAGTATTTTGTCTAAGATGTGCTCCAAATTCTCATATTAAATTAATAAATACTTGATACACATGATTCAGCAACAAAAGCCCATTTTTCATTTGTGTCAAAAAAGTTGACTCAAATTCCATCAATCAAAAAGGATTTGTTGACTACTCGAAACATGGATCAAACATCACAATAGATTGACATCACTCAGCATTTTATTAAAAATAAGTGTCTCACTGTTGCTGTACAAAATTCTACTTGATAAATTCTTTGAGGACATAAATAAAATTATCGTCCTACCATCTAATAGATTGCGCGACAACTTCCTGTTAACATTAAGTAAAGTGATTATCTACTCGATGTTTGTAAAAGTATAAGCATTCTGTAATTTTCTTTATGTAGGTACTCAAAGAATTTATCAAGCAGAATTTTGTACAGCCAACAGTGAGACACTTTTATTTTCAGTAAAACGCAAATTTAACTGCTGTCATATCAAACTAGATAATATTGTATCAGTTTTGTCCTTCGAGTATGGCGTAAATACTTATTTTTCATTGGTGCATTATATGATCATGGCCGCTATTTTATTGTTCGCAGGCAAATGAAAGAATAAGTGTTTGTAGCCAAGCCAAGTGATTTATGCAATATGGGAATTAAGGGTCCATCTTACACAAATCGTATAATTTTTATCTAGTTTGAGAGACATTCTACAAGAAATCAACAATATCCATTAGATCCATTACTTCAAAGACGCCCTTCCCATTTTTTGAATTTGTGACCCGCCTGCCTTTTTGCGCCTGGTTGGGCCTTAGTGACATGTTATATAGACGCCAAATGCGCGGCGTTAACGATGCACTGTTAGGGCGGCAGATATTGATACGACGTTTCGATAACGAATACAATCAGGTCTACAATGTTTATCATATACTCTTATTGACGTGGGAAATCGGTATGAATTATATTATGATTTGCTTTCAGGTGTAGCAGCAGTCAATCAGTACATCTACGTAGTCGGGGGTTATGACGGAAAGAATCAATTGAATTCTGTAGAAAGATATGATACGGAAAGGGATTTATGGGAATACGTCGCCCCTATGCGCGTGTCTCGAAGCGCATTAAGCGTCACAGTATTAGACTGTAAAATATATGCTATGGGTAAAGATTAATATATATAAATATTTAAAAATAATATTTGTAATATGGCAGAAGAGAAAGGAAAAATAGCCTCAGTAGTTTCTGATAAAAAATGCAACTCCAAAAAATTTAGAGTTTATCAGATAGTTTTCCAGAAAATTACAAGGAACTGTAGCCTATACTCTATTGCCTTATGAAATGGATTTTAGTGGTGAATCCACTCCATACATCTTTTGTATTTTCCTTGGATAAAAAAACACTCAAAAAATCTTTTTGTTTTGAACCACTATTTTTTTATATAAAATACTGAGGTATCATTTCTCATAATGTTACTGTATTGTAACGGAAAGCATTTTATTATTGGCCAAAGTCTAGAAAGGTTAAATCTGACAATGGTTCCATTATTTATTCAGTGGTAGTGTTGCTTCTCTAGTGTTAAGACTGTTTGCACATGTGTTTTTCGCTAAACTATTTTGAGGCGTACGAGTCATGTTAACGTCAGCGATCGCTCCAGTAGCGACCTACAACTTGTCTTCCCATGGATTAAGCAAAGTTTCTTTCCAGGTGGTTACGACGGATCAAATTTTTTAACCGATGTAGAAATCTACGATCCTGTCGCTGACAAATGGGAGGATGGTGTTCCGCTGACTTCAGGCAGATCGGGCCATGCCAGCGCAGTCTGCTATCAACCGCCCTGTGATAAAATGTGTGCCGTCTCCCCTTCAGTTTCCACGGACTGTACCACATCCAAACTTCACTGTACTTAACAGAGATGAAGAAACAATCATTTGTCGAGTTTGACAACGAGACCAAAACGAACTTTGGGCGATTCATTTTTACTTGCTCCATTTGACCGACAGTTAATGGTGCATTCATTCAAGTTAAACTTACGTTCATCGTAACTTGAAAATGGAGAACCAATAATAAAGTATATTCCGGATGTCGTGTACCTCACCGTGAAGCTAATTTCTTCGGTTTGTGTCTCTGTCCGTCCGTTTATCCTTGTTCCTCTATATCTAATTGCTCGAATTTTGATGAAATTCTGACAAGGTTACTACCAAAGGTCGATGATTTTGTAGGTTTTGAAAATTAATTCACTGGCACCGGGGCCACGGACAAAAAAACAAAATAAAATTCGCTCAGCCTTCGTGTTTTTGACCTTCCAGGGCCTCGTTTATTGAAATTTATATAGAGATAAGGAATTTGGGGTGGGACACTACAGTGGTGGGGAATGGTATGTCTCATTTTTTTACTTTAGTGTAAAGGATGTTCCGTACTTAAATGGACATACTGAAATGGTGGGTAGTGTAGACCGAGCATTTTTTATATCTGAAAACAAAAGAGTTCCAAATTCATTTTTCTCGATATATAGGGAGATTTATCCTAACACGCCAAATCTTTAATACCTCATACCTTTGGGGCTATTGCACCGATGAAGTTGAAATTTTACGCGAAAGCAAAGTGACCTAGGAGTAACGTAAAACTAGGCGCACGGCTAAAACGCGAAGGGCCGGGCTCGATTTTTTCACTTTTTATTTTTCATCTAAACCAACACCTTTTCTAATTAATTAGCAAACCAAATCAACTCCATTTATCCAAATATCTTGTTTTAAGCAGCTAGTGTGACATACAAATATTTCAAATGTTATCAACTTGTTTTTATCAAAATTTTACAAAACAATGCTTAAAATTGAACTTCCAGGGTCAGGTTCATTTTTTTTTTCATTTTCTTATATTTTATTAAGTGTAACGCCCTGTAAGTTATACCCTGAATTTATCATTGGTTATCAGTAAAACTAGCAGCATATGACAAATAAAAGGAAAGGTTAGTTATTTAGTATTTTCATCATTTTTGTAATCATTTAATTCCAAAAACTGGTGTTATATAACAACATGAGTTCTGCTTTAAAGGGATATGGCATTTAGTATGCAAATGCACAAAATTTGGCACAATTGTGCCTAAAATATATGCGGTACTTAAGACTTGGCGTGTCTAGATAAATGACCCTGTATATCCGTAAAAACTGAATTTATAACATTATTTTCAGATATGAAAAGGTCTTAGTCCATTTGGTTGTAAAACTTGAAATATTTTCATTACCCGCGTAGAATGAAACCTTGAGTTTGTCAGGGCGGGGTTTGGGCACAGGAGCAATTTCTATATCACAACATTGTCAAGTAGGTGTGGATCGGAAAGTAATCGTGTGGGCCTATTTGACTGATTTGATCTATATAATTCCTCTGTTATACATGTTTATAGTTAACTTTGCTCTAAGAGGAACTAACTTGTGCCAAACATGATATTTTATGAACTGTTGCACAGTTGCGTGGTAAGGGCGGAATCAACCTACTTAATGCCATTTTTTGCTTATTATTTTATGTTTTTGACAACACTAATGAAATACTATTTGAAAATGATCTGTGTCTTATCAGTTTCTATTCCACATGCATCTAAGAGATTCCCTAAGACCATGTATTCTGGGACCTTGTATTTATAGACATTCTTCCATATTCAATTTCTAAAATTGAGCTAAATGAAAATGTGATAAATTTTTTTAGTACTCTTCGTAGGCATTTGCAATTTCCATTTCCACAATGTGTTAATCTAACTGGTGTTGCTTTCATCTGGATTACAAAGGAAGATCTGAACAACACATATTAGTTTTGTTACAAGTAACTCCATTGCTTAGTATTCATATGTGTTGCAGTATGTTTTCTTGTTCTTGAATAGTTGCTACATAGTAGGGCATACTTCTCATCTACTGTTATCCAAGCAAAACCACAGGTGTTTAGTAAATTACTCGTGTAACATAATTTAGTAATTTATTCAACACGTGGTTCATTTATTGGAGTATATGGAGATAGATCAGAGATAACCGCAGGATAAGTTACATTTCATTAGATAATAGGGTCATTATATCGTTGTTCTAAACTGCCACCATAATGTACTGCACAAGGTCCATTATTTTCATATTTAATAGTGCAGCAAGTGACTTGAGATATATTTTCCAAGTAGTATGGAGTATGCTTGATTTTGTCATCTTTAAAGAAAAACAAACCTTAAGCCTTGGACTGAGAATGTTGAAATTACATTTTTCAATGTTAATTCATTGAATGTGATTTCTAAACTATTAATTAATGGTTATAGTTCGCGTCTAATTAGCTCCAAAAATGTACAGATTGATATTTTGGATTACTAGTAGAGTATTATGTGAAAGTTGATATTTATGTTTTGCTGTATTTTATGAAAATTGTAAATGTGTAAATATTTTGATTGATTTTTATCTCGCATACATATCAAATTTTAGTGATGATAATTTTATATAAATGTTGAGTAAATATTTTTTTATAGTGGCTGCTTTATTTGATAAAAACCTCACCAAGTCGGAACTTATTGTTTCAACATTAATACAATGATCATTAATTTACATTTATTTTCTCTATATACATAATAATATACATTTATATAAAATATAATAATCAACAAACAAGCAGTCTCTCACAGGGAATATAAAAATTAAAATGGCCTTGGTTCGAGAACCTTCAATGCTCGCCCGCGGGTTATTAACCCTTTATTTGACAATGTTGCTTATGGGCAACATCATTTTATATTAGATGGTCTCCGTTGTACAGATATGCGACTAAACGGCCAATGATGCTTACAGGCAACGTTCGTTCGCATCAAAGCAGCGATGTTTGCCGAGAAACTCAGATCAGTTACCATGCTACACGCGGTTGTTATGACAGTGTTGTGAAGTATTGTAGGTTATGTGTGTACTATCTCGTTCTATATTAGTGAATTGTATATAAAAAAATGTATTCGCTGCTGTTTTTCATATATTTTGAAGGTAAATATACGTTAGAATTTGTGTATAACTATTCTTAGTTAGTTTTTACGATTTTACAGGGTGAAATCATTTCGCATATTTAGTGTTGCTTACAATCATCATTGCCAGGACAGAAAATAATTATAGAAAATAATGGATGTACAACTTTTTACGGGAAACGTAAAAATCAGGTAGTTATACTGTCTCCCGAGGATCCCACTCTATCCGATGCTCTCCTGCCGCTGAAACCAATTTGTCAGAAAATACGGGTGATGTTGGAAGGAATCACTTACTCCCTTCTGAAATTTTAGAAGAGGATAGTGATGAATTTGATGATGAAGATTTGATTCCATTAGGCCCAACTTCGTTCACAGGTTTTGTCCAGAGCAAACGGGTTTCAGATGCATCCATCGCATTGGAAAAAACAAGATATTGTTGTAACGGACAATAACAATGCCGACAATGTCCTTGAAAGTGATGATACTGAAACTGAGAATACACTTACGTACTTTTATAAATTTTTTACGCCAGAAATGAATACCCTGATAAGTTCACAAACTAATCTATATTCTGTACAGGTAACTGGTAACTCCATAAATACAAATGATAAAGAAATTCAACAATTGATAGGAATACTAGTCTTTATGGGCATAATAGAGTTTCAATCATATACTGATTACTGGAGTCAACAATATAGATATGATAAAATTGCTGATGTAATGAGCCTAAAAAGATTTCAAAAACTGAGACGATTTTAACATTTTGCAGACAAACACGAAAATCAAGAAACGTCAACTGCTACTGATAGGCTCTACAAAATTCGTCCCTTACTGAACATTGTGCGATTCCAATGCACAAATTTAAAACAGGAATCTCATCATTCTATAGTTGAAATAATGATCCCATATAAGGGTACAAGAGCCGGAAATTTACGACAATACATACAAAACAAGCCTCATAAGTGGGGTTATAAGTATTAAGTATAAAAAGAATGATTACCAATCTAAATGAAAAGGAACAAAAATTTGGTATTGGTGGACAAGTGGTGATTTTACTCTGCAAGACAATACCCCCCCGCTTTGCAACCCAAAGTGTCTTTCGATAACTTTTTTTGTACATTCGAGCAAATTGCGTATCTAAAAGAGAAAATGCAAATAAATTCACTTAGTACCTTGCGAAAAAATAGGCTAAAAAATTGTCCCTTCAAAGATGATCGCAAGTTACAAAAGGAGGGAAGAGGAATATATGACTTTTGGTATGATGAGAAGGACAAACTTATAGCAGTAAAATGGGTAGATAACAAAGTTCTTACTTTGACAAGTTCCTTTGTCGGAGTACAACCCCTAGGCTCTGTGGAGAGATGGAACGCCGCCGAGAAAAGAAAAGTAGATATGCTTTCAAGCAACATTGTTTTTTTGTAAAAAAAAAAAGTAAAAAACAAATATTTTTCAGTTCAAAAGTGTTAGAATAAACATTTTGTGTTAGTTTATAATAAAAAAACATTTATTTGTATCTTTTTCATAGCCTTGCCAAATAAAGGGTTAACGGATAATTTTTATCCACTTAAATTCATGACATTTATTCAGGTAAGATTATTTAAAAATTGATTAACGCATGGTTGATTTATCTTTTGAAAAACATAACCAGCGCAAACAGCCGATGAGCAGTTTTACAGTGGTTATGTTACTATATCCTCTATTATTATACTTACATTACATAATCTTAAGGATGGTCATATCATTCTTGTCTTCACTATGCAAAAATGTCATTAAAATTTACTACTTTCCCAGTTGCGACTGACTTCTGACAGTTACGTGCATTATGGACAGCATTGAGGCTAACAGTGGTTACCACCATTGGCAGAAAAACGCAAGGCGACCATCACTTCAAACCGTGTTTTCAAAAATAGACCAGCATCTTAAGGGGTGTTGTATATATCGACTGTAAACGCTGATTAGACAAATAAGCGATTTAAGGTTAGAGAAAATTTGAATTTCAAACATAAATCTTATTTCACGAGTATCCATCATGTTTTGAGGTCTACTGAGGTGAGCAGCTGATCTGGATGTGATATCTTTGTATTAGCCTGTAACGTTGGAAATGATGAATCAAATGTAAATCTAGTAAAACTTGCTTGTAGCGTTTTTATTTTGTATGCAAATGAACTTTTCTAAATAAAACACTTGTTAGCAATTACAATGAATTTGTAGCGTACAAGAAAAAACAAAATAAGCCTCTGTCTACCTGGCGTTGACAGAACCGCCAAAATTATGTCATTTGTTGATATGGGGATACTCGTTAAAAAGACAATACTTTCGCTTTTGTTACTAAACTATACTGATAATTTATCAAGACGTTATTCAGATGGAAGTTAAAACGTAAGTCCGAGTCAAAGTAGATGAACAATTTTTTTACTTTTGCGGAAAACAGTTTCCTCACCATTAACTTTGATATGAATAAATGGCTTAATATTTTCACGTAATTTGTTATTGCCAAATAAGTGGCAGAAGCCTAAATCACAGCTTTGACTTTTAGGGCTTTACGTGGAATATTACATGATTTAGTTTTGCAACATTTCAGGAGTATCCATGTCACTTTGACGTTACTGAGGTGAATAGCTTTTCAGCAAGTGACATTTCTGTGTTAGTCTGTGACGTTGGCAAAAATGAGTCGGGTGTAAATCTAGTAAAGTTTGTTGGTTGCGTTTTGTTTTTTGTATGCAACTGAACTTTTCTAAATAGAAGAGTTTTTAGCAAGTACAACATGAATCTGTAGCATACAAAACACCTAATCAAAATATAGCTCTGACTACCTGGCATGGACGGAACCGTCATAATTATGTGCCTTTGCCAATATGGGGAATTTTGAAATATTACTAGATAATCAGCTGTCATTCTACCGCAATGGGTACTCGTGGAAAAACTATATGCTTGAATTCAATCTTTTTCTAACATTCAATTCACCAGTCAGCGCTTTCAGTCGTATCTATACATCCCGCCCTTGAAGAATAATAAATACCTAAATAACATCTTATTTATTTATATACCTCCCTGAAAAAGCATAGTTTAGATTTAAAAGACATTCTCATTACATTAAACATCACAAAGCATTTTTAAAAACTCAATAAAATCACATACTTGTTCATAATAAAAAATTTATAATATTGAATATAAAATTGGAATTCGTCTAGTTTAAATTTGGCATTGATAGTGAAATTAGAATGGTATATTGATTCATATTCAAAGAATAGTGTACTCCGTCTGTAAGGCAGATTCATTTATTTAGATTTTTTCAAATTCTCAAGTAAAAGTTAAGTTTTGAGTACAAAAAATATACTGATGGGATTAATTCAGACTATTGCTAATACATAATGTTTATGGAATATTATTCGAATTGTCACTAGTTGTATTCATCATAAATTAGCGCTATTAGGGCAGCTCATGAACCTGAAATAGCGCTATAGAATGCTCTCTTTTGATGATTTTATTCCTAATGAGTATGAAATAGAAGATACTAGCGAAATAGGTACTGTCGTCGTTTTCAATTATAACATATAGGAGACAGTTACAGATGTCACTAGAAGTAATGTACTGAAAGAAAATATGCAGGCCGAGCATGGTTTATTGATGTATCTAAAAAAATCATTGGAGAGTTTCTGGTAGTTATCAGATCGAGGACACTTTTCATTTATTAACTGGACGACACACCTCTTTGCAATGGTTGCGTCTCTGGAAAAAATACCAAAAACTGTGCAATATTAGCAAGACAAATATATGAATATGAAAAAATAGATATATGGTCTAGATTGAAAATGAATTCATGCAAACCCTGAAGATACGAAAAATTCTTGTGCTGGTCAATACAACCATTAATTATTTCAAACACCCATTGTTTAATTCCTTTTCTCTTGATAAAATACGTCATCATAACCTAAGGAATTATTATCTACGGATGGACGAATATCAACCATCTAAATTCTTTACAAATTCTATACAACATATTGGCAAAAACAATGCATGATAAATTTTTATCATTTCCCAAATCGCTAATTTTAGAATCAAAACATTTGATTACTAAAATGTTACTTCAGTATAATGTAACAGAATTTCATAAAATAAAACATTCAACCATTTATAAAAATTATGAATCTGACACTAGACATAAAAATAAATAATTATTTCCATGACAAAAAAGGAAATCATTTTTGGAAAAAAATTAGAGGTAAAAAACGGGTGGGGGTTGTAAGGTGGTGGGGAGGGTATACCTCAATTTTTTTATGCTGGTACATTTATATGCTCCCAACAATACGCGCCAGTAGAGATAACTTTTGGAGCTTGTTTATTGAGGTACTAAATTGTCTTAACAACCTTTTTTCTATATATAATATTTATGGGATCCTAACAAAAAACCAAAAATTGAAGTTTTTCAAAAAAATTTCATCTTCGGATCCGGAACGTTTTGTCATGCTAAAGAACCTAAACCTAAATTTTCATCCACTACACAATTTTTGTTAGGTCAAAAGTGTTCATTTACTAGGATAGAGTTAGAGTGGCTATTGAATACAGATATAAACAATATGTAATTTATGAAAATTCTGTCAAATAAATATCTTTTCCACATTACTGATGTGTAATACATTACTGTATTACATTTATATTGTATTGATTTTTTCTGGTCCTTAGCAATTTCATAGACTGTTTATTGTCAAGTGCTGTATTATGTGTTGGAATGATATATAGTACATGCATGCTTTTGTGGAATATCAATTTATTCGCAATTGATAATTAATGCGGATAAATATTATTATTATCCTTATGACAGAATGCAGAAATGTATGTTTCTTAGCCTACTCTAACAAATAAGAATACAGAACTAATTTAATAATACTTACTCACAAAGCTCCTGTTTTTTGACATAACCAGACATTGGTTTGAATATTCTTGAAAAACACCCAGCTAATTCGGTGGTAACAGCATCACTACTTAGTGAATCTCTACATTGTTTTGAAGAGGGAGAATCGCTGAATAATCCTTGAAAAACATACTAGATCAGTTATGGCACAACATTTAACACCAATAAAAGGCCTGAAGTACAAATATTAGCATGGAAATGTGGAACTTTTATAACTCTGAGCAATGAATAAGTGTACCATTTTTTTGTTATTAGCTTAAATGAAATTTTAAGAAAAATGAAACAAGATGGTGAAAAAATATTAATTTATCTCTGAAAACAAAAAAGTTACGACACATCAAAATTGCGCCCCGCGAGAATATTTTTATTCCGTCTGAACGCGACGCGTGACGTCACACTTCACTGTCCAGTTTCGACTGACGCGGCCGACTCAATTTCCTAAACACACGCATAGGTACACAAACAATGGGAACACATGGTAGGCTAAACGTCTTCCGCACCAATTTGTTTAATTAGTTGAATGCATATAGGATGATTTATGAGCGAAATAACAAAAAAAGGTTGTTATATATATATAATAATGCACTGTACCATAATGTACAAGCACAACAATTACAACCCTTAATAAACAATTTTTATGCGTACCCTAAAAAATATCACGAAGAAATGGTGCAAACTTATGAAGCGTGATTTGATTGGACCAAAAAGTACAAAATATGACATACAACAGTTTCAATTTTTTTCCAACTTTCGTCACAGACCTATGTACAGTGGCTTAGTTTTCACTTTATGTTCAGGTATAAGTCTGCATTTTACAATGCATTTAGTACCTCCACGTTTCAACTGAACATAACCAATAGCATCTTCACAATACGAATCTCTACCTGCCCTGAACAAAATATCGTGTCATATTCGCAAATATGTAATCATATTAGGCATCGACACTAATTTGCTTAAAACCTCAGTAGGGTATCGCACATTTTATAGCTAGTTGTAGCAGTAGGCATAAATACTTACTTAAGTTTCACACCATTTATTTCCGCGCTTGCATATGATGGACTTGAAGAAATAAATTCCATCACTGCATAAATGTCAATTTTGGGCAAATTGTGACTTCTACAAATCTGGCTTGCAAAATGGTGCGAACTTACGGAGTACTCGCCAGTTATCAACTGCAGAGCATAAAAAGATCTTCAATTCAATGAATGGAAAGGTTTATAACTGTAAAAATGGCTACTCTTTAACATCATTTTTTACAACAATTTTGAAATAAATAATTTTTTGCATAAATTCTTGTAGTTCAAACCTTCACTTTTGCAACATTTCCTATGACCATATCTTGGGCAAAAACAGTTGTTACTACTACTATTTTGTCTCTAGGATAAACAATTAGCTTTTTACATAAATTATTAAACTGATCCGGCTGAAATTTAACACACTAGCCCTCATTTACACAAATTTTTAGCCATTTACTGTAGCTATTGCAACAGTTATACATTACATTTATTCTATATTACTAGAAGGTGCCATATTTAACTTAATTGTTTATTGATTTTAATTCTTGAAGAATAAAAAAGGTCTTTTTATGCTCTAAAATCTCCAATTTACCGATTATTTATTGAATTTAATTTGAAAATTATACAAGGAAAATACTGAATTTTGAGCTTTTCCCATTGCTTATAAAAAACAATGCATATCTGACTGTATCTTTTCATGTATGTGTCAATTTAAAACTTTCAGATATCTGCAAAACTTTTGTACATGTAATACCTATTGTTTTTCTGAAGCCTGGGCTAAAATGCACAGACGCTATCGGGCATGGACGTGACACTCAACACTAGTGAAGTATAACATCAGACGCGAACTAACGGCAGCAATGGTTTCGCGCTACAATGCGAAAAATTTAAGAATTGATTTCTGTGTCATTTATTGACTGATTTCAATAATTCACAGATTGATTATATTTCATCTATATTTTGCTGGTATGCTATTACTTATGCTATTCTGAACATCACAAAACTTCTCCATTCTGATTCTACCACTTCCAAATGCAAATTGCACTTTACAAAGAACATTAGTACACTTTATTGAGTGGCATTTGACCAAGCTAAGGTGTCATTGAGCAAAGTTCATTTCCTTTATATAGGTACATGTGAGTAAAATTATTCATGGTGAAATCACTGCTAATTGACAACAGATATGACAACACTTCACTGTGAGCTACTCTCCAAATCAGGAAAGTGGGTACTTAATTGGACTTTACAATAAATTGTTATAGAAAGCAGATTTGGTATGGTAAAATGTGATAATAAAAGTCATAGATGTCCAGTATTTACTTTCATAGTGAATAAGATATGAAGAAAAAAAAGAAAATACAAGAGATTAAATTTTTAGTGACTTAATATTGCTTTAGTCACATCCTGTGCACAAAGCAAAAAAATAAATACTAGCATGCTACAACTGGCGCTATATGACTTAGGGAAATGCTACCATGTTCAGTGTGCAGTGTGTTCCAAACCATCAGTAGCTATGTATTGACAGATCTGTCAGCTAGGCTGAATTTGTATGTAACCTTGTATATCAATAAATACTGACATCCATCAATACACTATATGATAGACAACCATGTTTTATGATGAATGCAGACAGATCATGGTGAATATGGAACATATACTATTTGTTTTATGTGATGGCCTGTTTAAGTGTAGGTAGGCCTGCAAAAGCAATATTGAAAAAATCTTGCATCATATTAAAAAAAACTTACTATCCACATTTTCACCATTATTATGACAGAAGAAATGTAAGAACTCTTTAGCACTTGTTTTCAGGAAACCAGCCATATACTTCTCTGGTTCTGGCAAACAAGCTTCAAAATCTTCTGAAAATTTCTTGACCATTCCTTCAAGCAGTTTTCTCTGATCATTGCAAAAGTACTGTTTCCCTTCTGGTAATGACTCAAATGAGAATTTTAACCTATTTTGTAATTCTGTTCCATCCTTGCTCAATTCGGCAAATACTTTCTCATTTCTGGTAGTATTCCAGCATTTGTAGTAGTGATATTCTGCTAGTTTATCAAATGGGCCAGGGGTAGCCTGTTGAGCTTGACCTACTCATCAAGAATATTCATTATTGCAAAATCACATTCAAACGTAGTATTACAGTCTAGCTAGATAATTATCGGTACACCTTTACATACCTTCAAAAAATGATAACAGATATAGAAAACATACTGCATTCAACAAAAATATCATTCTGAAACACTTCTCACAAAGTTAAATATGTCCAAAAGATTGCTGCTCGGTAATTCAAAAGAATTCAACACTACAATCAACAATTGACAATGACAACTGATTAAAGAGTCAACAACCATCAATTAACAAAAATCAAATTCAAGCGGATAACCAAATGGAAATGGTATTTACCATTTTGAGTTGGTATTTACCAATCCGTTCAAGCGAGTGTAGTTATCAGTTTGGTTATAAGATCCGTGACGTCACGAATCAGCTGTTATATGTCATATTTATCACCGCAAAATTGTGGTATTTACCCAACTCAAGAGTAGTTTTATATTTCTGGTTATTATTTGAAATGTGACAAGTTAGAATTTTGCCGGGTATTGGATATTGTTATTGTACTTCAGCTTCATTTTTGAGAAAAATGATACAGGCTGACTTCAGTTTTACCATAAAGTGGAGCACCTTATCAGTTATACTCATTACGGTTGTTGGGGGACACTTTAAATGTAGTTTCTATGCTTAACAAAGTATCCACAAGAATATTAAAATATGGCCATATAAACTCACTAGATGATATCCACCTGTATACGGTTTTGCTAATTTCTTTTTTCATCATTTCTGCTGAATCAATAAATGTTTTCTTTGACATGCGAAAAAATTTAGAGAATTGAAAGTTATCATAGCTACAAAGCCATGGTTCCATCATTAAAAAAAATCTGAAAAAACATTTCTCCATGAATATTATGAAAGGTTTCCTATTTGAACTTTCCATATACAGTTGTAGACGAAAAAGCACCGATTATTAAGTGATAATAAAAATAATCAGAGATTATATACGCGCTTTTCTAAAATAAACAACTTGCAACAAAACCGCGGTTAAAACCAACGCGTTCAAGCGATTCGTGTAACTGACGTCATCAACCCGTGTGTCATCTTGAACCATATTATAACCGCGGTACATAACACAGAAATTTTGGTTATTCACTTGGATTTGATTAAACTCGACGATCAACAACAGCAATCAACAGGGAACCAAGACAAAAATATAGATGGGGATGGGGCTGCAAACCTTGATCGAACTATTCAATATTCAACTTATTTTCCAGTTTGCCCTTGTCGAAGGTGTATATGTATAGAGTAGCTTTATTTAGTGCTGACGTAATTACATGTGGTGGTTTCTAATAATTGGAAAACGAATATAATTATAATTTATAATCAAATTCAAGCGGATAACCAAATGAAAATGGTATTTACCGATCCGTTCAAGCGACTGTGGTTATCAGTTTGGTTATAAGATCCGTGACGTCATGAATCAGCTGTTATATGTCACAGTTATAACCGCAAAATTGTGGTATTTACCCAACTCAGGAGTAGTTTTATATTTCTGGTTATTATTTGAAATGTGACAATTTACAATTTTGCCGGGTATTGGATATTGTTATTGTGCTTCAGCTTTTTTTTTGGGAAACTTGATACAGGCTGACTTCAGTTTTAGCATAAAGTGGAGCACCTTATTAGTTATACTCATTACTGTTGTTGGGAACACTTTCAATCTATTTCCTATGTTTAACAAAGTATCCTGTGTAGCCATATACCACAAGAATACTAAAATATGTCCATTTAACTCACTGGATGATGTCCACCTTTATACGGTTTTGCTAATATCTTTTTTCATCATTTCTGCTAAATCAATAAATGTTTTCTTTGACATGCGGAAAACTTTAGAGAATTGCAAGTTATCATAGCTACAAAACCATGGTACCAAACGTTTCTTCCATGAATATTATGAAAGGTTTCTTATTTAAACTTTCCATACACCGTTTTAGACAAAAAAGCACCGATTAATAATTGATAATAAAAATAATCAGAGATTATATACGCACTTTTCTAAAATAAACAACTTGCAAAAAACCGCGGTTAAAACCAACGGGTTCAAGCGATTCCTGTATCTGACGTCATCAACCCGTGTGTCATCTTGAACCATATTATAACCGCGGCACATAACACAGAAATTTTGGTTATTCGCTTGGATTTGATTATTGATTTGCTTACATGGTTTTCCCACATTATTGCTTTGATTTGCAACCAGTAGTACGACACTTAAATCAAATCCAAGCAAATAACCAAAATTTCTCTGTTATGTATCGCGGTTATAGTATGGTTCAAGATGACACACAGGTTGATGACGTCAGTTACTCGAATCGCTTGAACGCGTTGGTTTTAACCGCGGTTTTGTTGCAAGATGTTTATTTTAGAGAGGCTCGTATGTAACTTCTGATTATTTTTATTACCACTTAATAATCGCTGCTTTTTCGTCTACAACGGTGTATGGAAAGTTTAAAAAAGAAAATTTTCATAATATTAATGGGAGACATCTTTTTTTTTCAGAAAAAAATGTTTAATGATGGAGTCATGGCTTTGTAGCTATGATAACTTTCAATTCCCTAAAAACTGAAGTCATCCTGTATCAAGTTTCCCAAAAATGAAGCTGAAGTACAATAAAAATATCCAATACCCAGAAAAATTCTAACTTGTCACATGTCAAATAATAACCAGAAATATAAAACTACTCCTGAGTTGGGTAAATACCACAATTTTGCGGTGATAACCATGACATATAACAGCTGATTCATGGCGTCACGGATCTTATAACCAAACTGATAACCGCACTCGCTTGAACGGATCGGTAAACACCAATCCAAAATGGTAAATACCATTTTCATTTGGTTATCCGCTTGAATTTGTTATATGATGCTGGTTGCCTAAGTTTGACATACACAAAAGGTATATTCTTTAATTCACCGGTTGATTCCATCACTGATGGATCCGGTGAACTCATGGTTGACAGCTGATGTGATGACGTCAGCAATCGGTTCCGTTGAATGGTCGTTAATAAAAAGACGCATTTTTAGCCTTCAGGTTGCTGTCATATGAGAAAACTTAACCTTTGTTTTATCGTAAATGGATATTTGTTTATTTGAACACCGTATCATTTAAAATGATTATGGAAATGTAAGCAGCAGTTGGTATTGTCGTGGAACGTTTGTTAAGCGATTCGAGTGATGATTCTGATGAAGAAGTTATTCAGCGGGGAGAATTTGCGCTCCGAGAATCAATATAAGAACTATAAATCAGAAAACCAAGAAATTTTCAGATATCGACGATCTCAAATCAATACGAGGCATTGATTTGAGATCGTCGATGCTTCCCGTATAAGAACCATCGATATGGATTTTCTGAGAGCATTCCTCATACAGGAATGAAAACAGAACAAAATCAGAAAATCGACATTTTCGGACTTCGAGGTATTAATTTGAGATCGTCAATATGCATAATTCAAAACAAATTGACTTGCTTTCAGATGCTCTGTTTATTTCAATTTGTGTTGAAAAAAAAAACATTAAATTTCACGCGACTCCTATGCTGCTGACTTCAATCTTTTCTTCTTAAATTTTTTCACACAAAACTGTAGTTGTCAAAAACTGATAAAATGTAGAGGTTAGAATAACGTGGATCAACCAAGCCCGAACGTCGGTGGATGCTGTTGGCACCGGTGGCATATCCACCATCAATATAGAGCACAAGTTTGATGAACAACCGGTCGTTCCAGCGGAAATTAAAGGACGCAAACTTGGCTAACCGGTTGCACCGGTAGCTCAACCGGTGAATTTAAGAATATACCTTATGGTAGTACGAAACGTCAAAAGTCAAAACATTCTTTTAAAACACGTGTACCTAAAAATAGTCATCGCTCAATATCATTTTTAACATAAAAAATGGGAAAGTTTCGAAGTAAACTAAAAGGACAAACTAAAGGAAAAAGGTGGCCCAAAGGGCAAAGCTCTAGCTCTAATCCTGAAACAAGAAAGTACAGGGATTTGGCGAAATCACGATTTTTCCAGGAAAATTTAGGTTAGAGTAATTTTTTGGATTACCTTTTTGCAAAGTTTTATAATGTTCGACTATATTCATTTAGGTCCGAGTGGTTTGACGCTAGACGCTTTGAAAAAGCATGATGCAGTGCAAGCCTACAAATGTGAAAAAGCGGAATCTATCAAGATGGATGAAAATATTGAGATTTATGCTGCCTCATCAAGTGGAACACAGACTTTTATGTCAATGAAATCATTTGCATCAGAATGGTCAGACTGCAGCAACATATCCTTCAATAGATTCCTCAATGTATTTCAATCTGATTCTGCACTACACAAGGAAATGCTGGCAATTTTAGCTGCAATTGCAGAGGTTATCAAGCAAAATGGAGGTACAGAATCGTCTACAGAATATTTTTGTGCATTGGTAATGTGGCAATTTGTATTTAGTACAAGCATAATGTTAACATAGTAAATATTTTTATAGATATCTACGCTAGAGCAGCTCTACAATATAGAAGAAAGAAACGAAACCCAAGTAACTGCAGTGATGTCTCTATTAAACATGGGTATCAAATCAGTACCAGCTGGAGTTTTAACAGCTAAGTTCAATGATGTTACAATGAAAATGCTGCACATTTTAAAGGATTACTCAGACTCTGATAATAATATAATTATTAAGTCAACCTTAGGAGTCTTGGCAGAGCTGTTAAAAACACAAGAACTAGCAACTTGGAGTCATGATTCTACTGTCCAGATTTTCAGTGCAATTGTAAATCCTTTTAGTATCCATTCAAAACCTAAAGTAAGTATAACAAATATATTGTGGAAGTGAAATTATTAATTTTATCATTCATATACTTGAATGCAATTATTGAGAGATGGACAGTTTTCAAAAACTAAAATATTCTTTGTCCTTATTATAATAATAATAATAATAATAATAATCTTGTGACATATATCAAGCAGTTTAGCCAAAAATCTACTGTGTTTCAGAAACAATTGTAAGAAGTATTGGTGTAGGTGGTCCTCAAAAAATTGTTGTGGATCAAAATACCTTCAATGAAACCTTACACAGTCAATTTGCCATAAGTGTTAATTTGTTATTACAAAAGAATGTGAGAAATTGTTTATAAGACAAAAATAGATGTACACCTAGAGACACTTTTTTACAAGATTAGTATGAAAAAACTAGTATACACCCTTGATAAGATATTAAACTAAGTCTCTAGTAAGAAAATAAGCGCAATGTGAGGTCATTTGATTGATCCAAAGTAGCTGGACAGCTTGGCAAAGAAGGGCATTTTCCAGAAAAAATTAGTAACAATTAGAAAATTGCAGAATGTTGGGCATTTTTGATTGAATGTTTTTCAGGATGTTAATAATAATTATAATAATAATATTGTCCAACAGTTTAACACCATTTACAGAGCAATCTACTAAAAATCAGAAATCATAATGAGGTATTTTGAAAAATAATATACAAATTCCGTAAATCAAGACAAGAAAAATATAGCTATAACTAAACAGTAAAGGAGGTAAGAAGAATCACAAATGAGGACGCAGTTTACACTTCAGTACACCTAAGCTATAAAAAAATATGTTGCATATACATGGGCTATTTTATTTGCATTGACACACCATGTTAATAGGTGCTTTTGACAGTAAATTAGTTTGTGCTCTTTGGCATAAGAAAGGAGCATTGTATCTTGAAGCTATTCGTGGTAACAGAAATTGTATTTGAGAAAGTATTGAAGGACATTCTATCAGACTATGCAACAATTTGTATGAAATTATAACTGCCGATTGCTTACGGCGCTGTTCTAAGGACTGAAGGCCAAATTTATAGAGGAAAATATAGTATTCTGTACCTCTATTAGGATACTAGCCATCGATCCTAAAACATGAAAATTTTAAAAATTGCTTTTAAATTCATCAACAGCATCAGTGTATTGCTTGTGAATCGGACTCCATATCAGAGATCCTTATGCGAGCCTAGACTTAACCAACCTGAAGTATAACATCTGTAAAGTCAAAGTATTAAAATTTTTAGAATTTCTGATAACAAAGCCATCGGTTTGATAAGTGCTATAGTTTGAATAATATGTTCATTGAAGGTTAATTGTTGATCAAAGTAGATGTCTAAATCTTTTACAGTTTTGCTATGCTCAAGAACACATTTATCTATTGTATAATTGTATACGTTAGCTTGGTCTTCCTAGAAAAAGTTACTACATTGCAATTACTTATGTTAAGAGCGAGTTGATTATGGACGCATCTGCTTTGTAATACATTTATCTGACCTTGAACAAATACACAGTCTTCCAAGCAAGAGATAGATCAATACATCAATTTCAGGTCATCTGCTAACATTAACTTGGAACAATTCAAAGATTTACACCGATCATTAACAAATACTATAAATAACAGCAGTCCTGTTAAATACCACAAAGACTTCAACCTTTGGATATTATTTCAGATTTATAGTTATGTGTTTACCAGTGAAGAAAGACTGTAGAAATCGTCGATTTTTGACATTTGTTTTTGTAATAAACTAACCGTTGCGGCAAATAAGCTGTGTAGGATCTTATTTTATAGGAATTTTCATCCATCCCCAACAACTTTGTTGGACCACTTGCGTCAATAGTTCATAACTACATTTTTGAATATACGCGAAAAAGTTAACCGGCAACATTTTTATCTCTCGGCGAGGGGGCTTTCTGTATACCCTCAAGAACGTAATTGTATAACAGTTGATACAATTTTGTTCTCTCAAATTCTAGATAGTCTATGAAAATTCTATCAGAATTGGAATACCTTTTCTTAATCTGTATATTAGGGGAGGGGCTAATGGTCACAAAGCAGATAATAGACAGACTAACATAAATTAATGTTTCAACTAAAAATTAAAAAATTATGGATCAATTTATAAAATGAATCAGCTTTTCGCCAACCAATGTATTGATCTTCAAATAGGAGGTAGCACTACTCTAGTAGGTTATTTTTAGTTTGAGATTACACTACTTTTAAAGTTATTCAGGATTAAATTATGAGGTGCTAATAACTATTCCAGTAGGTTATTTTTACTTTGAGATTACACTACTTTTAAAGTTATTCAGGATTAAATTATGAGGTGCTAATAAAGTTCCCAGCAAAACTTCAAGGGGTGACTTCTTGGCTAAATCTTAGAAGAAAAGTTTTCATAAATATAAGTCTGGTAACTCTTCATTTTCCAAACTTTACTTGGATTTTTTTTTCTTTTTTAGTATCTTGAAAAATGGTTCAGCTGTGATTGATAAAATTTACTGGACTTGCGCCACCAATATCAGTTAAAGAAAACTCTCTATTAAAACTGCAAAAGTTCATGGTCATCTAGATAACTGGATCTAAATATTTTAATCCTTCATTTTGGGGGTGGTGGTTGTTTTGAGGTGCTTTTCTGATTCAGTTCAATTCACCTTGCACTGTTACATTTGTGCATGCAACATTTCAACAAATTCCTTCAAAATCGGCTGAATAATTATTGAGATTTTCTGAAATATGAATGTTTCAAAAAAACTGTGATGCCCTGTATCTTGTAAAAACTGCATTCTCAGACCTATGTTGATATAAACTTTTTGCCTTAGAATCACTGAATGACACACTCCCTGAAATTTAACCATCTTAAAGATTTTTTGTTGCATGATTACTGAATATGTCACAATACATGCAGCTTATATAACTTGTGTTACTGTAAGTGGAGGTTTTATCATTCAGCATAGTTTAGTAATAGTAATATTTTAGTAATAGTAAATAGTTTGAACCATATGACAAGGTTTAATTGAAAAATATCCAGATTGAAAAAGATCCTGACTTCAGTAACACAATATATGAGCCATACTTTCTCAACACAACAATAATTTTTAGTGGAGAAAAGCAGCTCAGCATGCAGTATCAACTGTGATAAATGCAAGTCCATTCTCTAGAGCAGGATCCAATCCACCAGCAGATAAAGCAGCTGAATTTTGTGAACAGACATTAGAGGCCTGTATGGGCGGGAACTCAGAGAATGTTCTTGTATCTTCAGTTCAAGCAGGTCAGACGACGATTCTTCATACGTTGGGATTGATGAAGGATATAATTACAAAGTTCTCCAAATCTCACATCAAGGTAAATAATTATGATTGATCAAATAACTTTCGAATGTATGGTGAGGTATAGTTGTGAAAGTTAAATAACACAGCATAAAATTGGCGTCACGAAATGTCAGTTTTGACATGATAACTGTGGCATGCTCTAATAAAACTAGATGTTGATATAGCTTACCAGAGTTGAGACGTCAAATCCTACAGACATATTTGTACTTGATAATAATATTGTCTCCATTATGCGGAGAGTGGCTCTAGATGTTCTTAATGACATGTTATATGAATGCGTGGCTTTGACAATATGCCATTAGGGCAATTACTATGGATGCTTGAATAACAAATACTGTGATGCTGTGACTCGACATAATTACTGGTGCATTAGAGCCCTTTCTCACTGGGAATTGGACTATGCCTCTATTATCACATACCTTCAGGCTGACATGGAGAAGAACAGTGATAGATGATGAATGGAAAAATCCTGGGGACAGATTAAAATGCTACACATACTAGAGTGGCGTCAGTTTGTAGAGATCCTGTGTTCTTCAATGGGATGGCGGGGCTAAATTTAAAAATATATTATGTTCATCTGATATATGAATTAGTGGCACTATCTATTTTGCCAAGTATAAAAATAGTTTATCTACGACGGGACAACAACGTGTAGTTTACGAATAGGTTTTTCGGGCGTCACGTCTTACTTTTCTTTCAATGGACTGCTTCATACTCTAGATTGTTAAAGTAAACTTTACCACATGCTATGTAAAAATGTACTTATGTTGAGCAAAATATGATGTCCACATCCTGTCCTTTTTTTATTCGTTTCTTGCCGACACTGCAACTACTGATATAATGGTCAGCCAGTTCAGTTTGGTTTTTTATTCTTCAATTCCCATCTAAACGTTAATGATACTTTTTACTGCCCCTTTAGCCAAACTAGTTTAAATACATATGGTCAACGCAAAAATATTTAAAGCTAGTTAAAGCTACTCCCATTTTATTTTAAGGGAATGTCACTTTCAGGAGCTGTAATAATCGTGTTATAAGCAATTTTTAAATGCAATAAGTAATAAAAAAAAACAATGCTCTCGGTTTGGGCGTTTTTATTTCACTTTTTGTATTGCAAGCTGATGTATTTGACATACGATATATGGTCTTGGCCTTGGCAAAAAATAAAAATAAATAGAGTGACTATGTAACAACAATTGAGTGTTAAAAATAAAACTGCATTAATAAAAATAAATAAATAAAAATTGTGGAAAAAACAAAAGTTGAAGTTCTGTCACCCACAGATGACACTGGGTTAAAAGCTACTCTATTTTTTATTTTAACTAATCATAGATAAAATTTTGTATGTATCTCGGGCGTTCCAGATAAGTAAATAACTATTATTTTGTAGTTTAGATCAAAAATGCTACATAAAAATCTAATTTACAGGCTTGCTGTGAGACCATTCTACGACTCATGACACTGAATTACCCAATAGTAACTTCATGCGGTTTGCAAGTACTTCATTCATTATTTTCATCACAAACAGCAGTTGTTCCTGCTAAGCTGAATGCACAGTTGATTTCTGCTTTGTACGAGTACCAACCCTCCACTTCGGATGTCCAGCCAACCTTAGCATGGGTTGCTGTCATGCAACAAGCACATATTCATTTGACAGAGTAAGTAGTCTATTTTTTGATAATTCTGAATCACTTAACTGCCAAAAAGAACTATATCTCTATTTGCATATTCATTATACAGGGTGGTCCATAAGTCCTTTGAAATTTCAAATTTGAATAAAATTTAACGGGTGAGCGTGAGCGGCGCGGGCGAGGTGGGGGCAGTAACTTCAGTGTCTGGGAATTCAGTCGCCATGGAGTGTTTCACTGGAGCGGATCGTGCTTTTTGTGTGCGCGTGTTTTATCAAAATAATGATTCGGCAACCATTGCGCGGCGTAAATATCGAGAATACCACAATTTACACAATTTTATAAAGTGTCCAACAGCTCAAACGATTAAGAACTGGGTTGCTGAGTTCGAAGAGACTGGTTCGACGTTAGATAAACAGCGGTGGGGTCGACCAAGGACAACTCGTATTGAAGAAAACATCAACATTGTAGCACAGTCTGTTCGTCAAAATCCTACCCAGTCTACTCGTAAGCGTTCCAGTGCACTAAACGTACCCAGAACGGATTTTAAGGAAAGATTTACGTCTGCACGCTTACAAAATTCAGTTAGTGCAGGAATTAAAAGATAATGACGCTATTCAGAGACTAAACTTTGCGAATGAAATGTTGAATCGATTTTCTTCGCTCAATAATGTGTTGTTCTCGGACGAGGCTCACTTCCATTTAAACGGGCATGTAAATAAACAAAATTGCCGTTATTGGAGCCCCGAAAATCCAAGGCGTAAGCATCAGAAGCCTTTACACAGCACTAAAGTTACAGTTTGGGCTGCTATGTCAGCGCATGGCATCGTAGGCCATATAAATATAATAATTCTTCATAATGTAACTAGTTTGGTTTTATTCCTTTTTTTCCAGCTCAAAGGACTTATGGGCCACCCTGTATATATAGGTGAGGTATTCTTTTTAAGTAATTTTACGAAAATAAAGTGTCTTAACCATGGATAGGGACCACTGAGGAGATTACACAGCTTCACAAAAAAAATCGTGGTAAAATACTTCCAATATAAATTTGAGACATACAATAGCCTGTATCTCCGTTTATAGGAAGTTGTATATTTTTTTGAAAATTGGTTTACATACAGCAATAACACACATAAAAACCAGCCGTCTCCTGCTTTATCATATCATATCATTTACACTGCCTATAATGCTCTGACTGTAATAATCATAGTTATATACGAGTATGAAAAGTGTCAGATTTCCAGCTGCAGCTCATACAAAATTGTCTACACAAAAAAAGCGGACGTTACATGATAGTATTTACTGCGATCCATCAGTATTTATTATGAAATGTGCTGTTTGTTGACCATGTACCCAGGACCTTAGTAACTATTGATGTATAAGGTTATGTAGAAATCCTCTGACATTGACTGAATGATCAGTAAATATTAATGTCATCAACCATAGGAAATACTGACCGAGTGGCATTCATCTTATCATCTTTTCAAATATTTAAAATAAATGCGAATATACAAGCTGCTGCATTCGAGTACAACAGACTTGTACATTTTTAGTAAGTTTCATTTTTCTATTGGTATCACGATCGATTCGATATGAGAAGCTGAATATGTGTACTGAGCATAGAAGATGATTAAGAAGTTGTTAGGCTATAATTAAATGCACAAAATCTATAAATCACCCTATATCTAGGTTAAAAGAGGCTAAAAACCCCATCCACCATCATCATTGTTGTCAACCCCCATCAGTGGCCCCTATCGTCGGTTAAAATATCTCCCTCTACCATTGAAACACTTGATTCATGTAACTAGTCACAAAATTTATTTTACGAGACGTGTGCCAACGATCAATATCTTATAGCATTTTTATTATCACTTCTTCTGACATGAGCTGTTTATTTTAGTAGCACGACGTTCTGTGCATCCATCTACTTCAGAAATTTGCAGTAAATATATTTGTATTTGTTTTGTTTTCAGTGTTGATAAAGGCATTGCAAGTTCAGCGTTACCCAAAATCATCGAGACACTCACAGAACTATGGCTGTCTGAAAAATCTGAGGTGATGACTTGCGCTACACATGCACTGGATGTTCTGTTGAAGGATGCTTTGGCATCGCTATGTGAAACAAATCAGTTGGTAGAACAGTACAAGTCAAAGATCGAGAAATGCATACACATCATTCAGCTAGGGCTGGGTTACCAATACAATACTGTCTGGCATCAAGTATTGTACATTATTAAAATTTTATTTGAGGTATGCTTTTGATTCATTTTATTAGTTTCACATGCATTTTTGTATATCCACAGCCCCGGAATAGTTTCGCCTCATTGACTAATATATCATCGAATTTATCTAATTTTATGATTCATTATTTTTCAGGTGACTGGAGCTACCTGTAGCCATTTATTGTTGGATATGCTGAAATCCTTAGCAGAACTCAGAGATTCATATAAATTTAGTTACAATAGTGAATTGGAATATGCTGTGGGAGCTGCCATACGCTATATGGGACCAGAAGCTGTGTTGGGTGTTATTTCTTTAAAGGTAACATTTTATGTTCTCGTCTATTATTAATAACTATGGCTGCTTCTGATGGTAACAATATGGTATTATCATTAGTGGTATTGTATAAGAGTTTTATGTTTGTTTACCTCATTTAACATAAAACATTGATCAATATCAGTGACAATTTTAATAGATGGAAATGTTTAATATTGCTAAGTATTGACGCGTATCCGCAATTGTATCAGTTTTAATAGAAAATATTTCGTGTACAAATACCTATTTTTCAGAAACCAAATGGTGAACTGAACATAGATAGATCCTGGTTGTTGCCAGTCCTTAAGGAAAATATAAAATGCTCTACACTCGACTATTATGTGAAAGGGATTTTGCCACTGGCATTGTTTTGTCAGAGAAAATCGGCAGAACTGGCTCAAGTAAACGACGGCATCGGAGCTCATAGTTCCGAATTATTGTATTTACAACTTTGGAATTTACTACCTTGTTTTTGTAACCATCCGACCGACATTGAGGAAAACTTCAAAGTAAGTCGATAGAAATGTGAAAGGGACGTTTGGTAAATTGATGTTTTTTAGTCTATAGCTAAGATTCTGGGTACTGCTATCTCTGATAAGAAGGAATTGCGACTGGCAGTAATGGCAGCATTGAGAAAGCTTATTATAAGTGCAAAATATAGTGGCAATGAAGGGGATACCAAGGAGTTGAGCAGATTCGATAAAAATTACCTCCCTATATTATTTAATGTGTACTCAACAAAGCCTATTGGTACAGATGAAGAAAGTCAAAGATTAGCCGCCTTTGATACGATTAAGGTGAGTTTTATTGTTGTGTGATGTATGTCTTGTAATTAATTGTTCAAAGAGTTAGGGTGTTCATATTGGAAAGTCAGAAATTACCCCTTCTTCTGAATAATAATAATAATAATAATAATGTTTATTGGAGTATTAATACATAATAGAATCAAAATACGAGCAAATAATATAACACAAAAAAAAAAATAATACTCCAAAGGTCTGGGGATTGGCATAGCCATTTTTCACCTCCGCCTGAATAGCTAAGGTAAATTCATTAAGTGCATTACTATATCTTACTAGGGTATATCATATACATTACATAAAGGGTATCTGGTTGACTATAATAATGCTAACAAAACTTTAAAATATAATAAGATTAATAATGAGATTTATTCAGCCACTTGTGGATTCATTAAATTGTAACTGTAATAGCATTCTTTTGAATTCTCTTTTGAAGCTGTGAATGGACGTTAATTTAAAGAAACTTGGGTAATCATTTAGTATACTGGGAGCTATGTAATAGAAACATTTTTTAAATTTTGAGGTAGTGTGGGCTGGTATATTATAACAATATTCATTACGGAGGAACAGTTGATGGAGTGAAGATCTTTTCTCTAATGTGTCAAAAAGATATTTCGGAGATTTATATTTTAAAACCCTAAATAGTAGAACAGCATAGAGAAGTAACGAGCGATATTTGAACTTCAAAAGATTTTCCCTTACATAATACCCAGTAATGTGTTCGCGTCTGTTTATCTCATTGAAACAAAACCTCATACAATGGTTTTGTAAAACTTGAATTTTCTGTTGCATTTCCTCAGTAATAAAAGGGTAATATACAGTACTACAATAATCTAAATGTGTGAGGATTAATGCATTAACAAGTTTTAGTTTGATATCACTTGTTAATATATACTTATATCTCCATAGCGATTTGTATTTATAATAACATATTCTGAGCTTATTTATATTGTGACTTTCAAAACTTAAATTCTTATCAAGTACTATTCCCAAATTTTTTGTTTCTTCAACAAATTCAATGTTAATTCCTTCTAAAAATATGTTCGTATTTATTACTTGTTTACACTTCAGAATCGCTAGTCTAGAACCAACACAACATACTTTGGTTTTCAAAGGATTGAGCTTCAAACAATGATCTTTTGAGTACTGTTCAATTATGTTTAAATTTTTATTAAGTTCTAATATTAAAGAATTTACATCGGTTGGTTGACATGGTTTGTAAACTTGTACATCATCCGCATACAAATGTACATTCCAGTCAGATGATATATGTTTTATCAGATCTGAGGTATAAATAGTTAATAAAATGGGACCTAAAACGCTGCCTTGTAGAACACCAGACTTCAAAGCTCGTAAAGTAGACCCTTTACCACACAATTTTACACATTGAGATCTATTAAACAAGTAATTACTAAACCACAGCATGGCATTTCCGGTCAAACCATAATGGTGCAGTTTTTCACACAAAATTCTGTGATTTACCTTGTCAAATGCCTTGCTGAAGTCTAGCATGACTAGAATGAATCGGATATTTGTGGAACAGAGAACACGTACAGTGATCCTCTGTCTCGTGAATCAGAAGGCTGCAGAGTCGAATATGTTCGCAAGTAGCAAAAACTTACACTAAACAAATCTAAATCGTGCAGTTTTAGTCCCACAACATTTTATTAATTCAATAACAGAAAATCTCAAAACTTATCATCCATGATGATTTTTAATTCTTGAACTCTAGTTGATAATGCAAAGGCACCCTCTTCCTCTTTTTCCTCTTTGTGACTTCTTCCATGATAAACCAACTGGCTTACAGGGCTTTGCCAAGAACATTGATTAATATGGCTTTCAAGAGGATGACGAACCATATGAAAAACATTCCACTTATTTATTTATCTATACACCACCATCAGATATACCAATTACTGGTAAGAGTACAGCAAGATAAACAAAATAATGTAATACATACTAACTGAATCACATTTTACATGTCCGCTTAATGTCCGTTAATGTGCTAGTTGACACTTTTTTAAGTCATAATAATTAGTATTTGTACTATTAGACTAAAAAAAATATTAGTATTTTTTTTAGGCGTAAAAGACCGTAAAGCATAAACTTATAAATATATTTTTTCCCTAAACAGGTGAAAACGCTATGTTTGGTCCATATATTAACATGATCTGACCTCATACTATTTGTAAACAGCAGCATCACCTCTCAGACTTTTAAACATATAAATATAACTTCTACTACTTTACATGAAAAATATAGTAATTATCGTTATTGTATGGCTCGAGAATGTAAAAACACATCGATAAAGTTCCTTAGAAACTTGTAGGGACATAAATATACGCAACACTGTGCAGATTCTATCGACTCGTCAGAGGTTACGAAGCGGGAGCTTAGTTTTGAATGACTGCTAAAAGGAAATATTATGTAAGTGTATCTTATTCTTCAGATGCACTGTACTTTTCAAAAATATTGAAAGAGGATAACGTTAGTACCAAGACTGACATACGGATGACGTTTCATTGTTTACAATTTGTATGACGTTACATCATGCTCATAGTGTTTTTACTGTTACATATTGAAAATGGAAATATATATTTTTTTAAATTCCATTTTTCGCTTTTAAAAATCGAAATCGATACTTTACCTTTTCCTAAGCCAAATACTGTAAGGAAGACTCATCTATTCTATGAAATTAGTTATTATAACATAAACACATTGGGTACAGAGGTGAATGCAATAGTTAATTCGTGGAGTAAGGAGGACGTGTATTTTGAGTACAACAAATTGGGGTATTGAACTTAAACAGTGCAGAGATGTGTACGATGGAAAATCGTAAATGCAAAATAATGTACAGAAATACAAAAGAGTGTGCTTTTCTTCCATCACCTACACTGACAAAATCATGTTTCTGTAACACCTCGGCCTGGGGGTTTTCAATGTGTGGATACGTGCCCGTTTTGAAGGACAAAAACTTCAAGAATTTCCGAAGAGTCACATGCGGTCATCTACCAGAGATTCTGTATTTTTCTTTATGTACTAGATCATACGAAAGAGTTGAAAATAGGCCAATTATTTTTCGAGATTTCGTGATTAACACTTTTGTACATATCTGCCCTTAGTCCGCCTTAATCCAGCCCTGTCGCTAAATTCATGATAAGGTTCCCTAGAGAGATATAGTCTGCGAAAGGTTGGGAAATCTCGAAACTTGAGATACTAGACCAAAATCTGTGAATTGACCTGCACATATCTTGGTCCAAAAGTTGATAATTTGCGAGATACAAAGTTACAATTTTATTTTCTATGTTTCCTGATTGTTAGAGAAGTATTTCAGATTCTGGCATAAAACTCGGTATTGGGAGGTTTTCTAGTATGAGAAACAAGAATTCGTTATATTTTATAGCCAAACTTCTAGAGGGCGCCACTTATAGCACTATTTCGATCAATAACATATCACAACTTTTTAGTGCTACCCTCTATACAACAACTGACCGAAAAATCTTATTTTCTCGCATTTCCACAACAACATTATTCATGAAGTTTAAAGCAATATTATGACAAACATTATAAACCATAGCAACACTACTCAGATATTATCCAAAGCAACTTGATTATTATGTTATAAAAATGTTTTATCACTATGGTACAAATAATGCAGTGGAACTTTTAAAAACAAATATCTCCAAAAAATATTAGCTTTAGACACTTTTAACACGTAAACCTTTTTTGTTGTGGAAATACGAGAAAATAAGATTTTTCGGTCAGTTGTCTTTGTGAGTGCCCATTTACGTTATATCAAAGACTCAAAAATACAAAATCCATGCTTGTATCTTCAACTTCTTGAAGTATAGTAGTTTCCCCCATAGAAATTTTCATCCTCTTCAAGTTCTATTTTCGCAACACCAGGTAGCCTATGTCCGTCTCCGAGATCTAATCTATATCTAGCTAAAATTCATCTGTATTGGTTCTGTCGTTTTGGCGTTAAAATGGAACACACATACATACAAGCGTAGACACTTTCGCATGTATAATAAAATGCACCATGCAGATGCCCTATTTATATATCCTTACTCATTTCAGTCGGACCCCCAACTGTGCGCTTCCACGCCAGACGCCTGACGTCAAATTACATCGATATCTCTGTACCAAATTTCATCCAGATCCGCAGGTTTATTAAGTGAAAAACCTGTATAATTTCAAAAAACCAGTAAAATGTCAAATTGTTGACCAAATAGGATAGTGTGCAAATAGTTCATTCGCTAGTTCAAAGTGGACGCCTTGTTGGAAAACCGACACAATGTCATAAAAAACATAATGTCACTTTTCAAGCTACATAATACCTCTGCCGTTTAGCCACTTTGTACTCATTGACCAAATATCCGCACTTCTCATATATAATATTAGTAGGGATAGTAGGGAATAGTAACAGTAAGCTAGGGGATAATCCATTGTCATCCAATTTTATTAATAATCTGCTGTTATCTTCAAGTTTGGCTTTACTAAAGTCAGTGAAAATGACATTTTCCTCTGATAGTAAATTATTCGGAAACATTCCTCCAAGATAACACCATAACTTATTCCCTATCTAAATTATCCCTAACATATCGTATTCCTGCAGGTGGCAATGTTACCACCTAAAGTTGTGACCATAAAAGGTTGACGGCGCTACATTATACAAGGGCCCTACGGAAGGCTCTGATGAATGATGACAAAAGCGACACATTAATCCAATACAGTGTGAATATTTGCAGTGTGATCTCAATAATGTATGTTGCGGTAACGGAAACGTCAGTAAAGTTCCTTGTTCCGGGTGGTCTTAATCAGTTTATTGCATAGTTTTATACTAGTTACTGGGATTTCTGATTAAATTATTTTCAGCTATATTTAACAATCGCAAGGCCCGAACTGACACAACAACTGTTTAGTCACGCGATAGAGAAGCTGAACGCCCCTTCTGATGAGCCTGAAGATCACTACATAAAAGAGAGTATTTTGGATCTGATTAGAGCTTTAGTATCTTACCAAAACAAAGAAAATGTAGAATTGCTTTATGATCAATGTATAAAGTTGCTACCCGATATAAAGAGCAATAAAGAACAGAAAAAGGCTTATAGGTTATTGGAGGAGATCTGTGCCAGCGAATCAGAGAGTTGTAAGGTGTTCGTGAAGAGTCACCGAAAAGAGGTGAGTTCGAGTTTATTTTTTTCATACTTGAGCTGCGACGAGGATCGGCTATAAATATTGTGGGTTAATATGAAGGGGGACTCAGCGTCAAGATCCGTGGAGATGTATCATCTCGGTACACGGAGAAGTTTTTAATATACAGTTAGTGTTTGCTGTCAGAGTGTCACTTTGAAACACCAGTATCGACCCACTGTTATTCTTGGCAACGTCAGTATTCAGAATGGTTTGGAAACAAGGATTTAGAGTGATTTGAAAACAAGGTGTGTTTTCCGGGCTAAAGTTTTTTTAGGTTTCTGTGGTCATTCTTGAAAAAGATTTTTTATGAAGTATTAAAAAAAGCTTCAGGGTTGTCAGTTTCTAAATATTCTTCAAACATTCGTTAATAAAATCTCATAGCATTTTAGAGGGTATTGTTATTGTAAACCTTTGTTTTTAATTATTAACCAATGAATATTCTACGTGAGCGCGGGAGAGATGCAGCATAGTAAGGCTGAGCGCATACATTCGTTTTCCGTATACGGTTTCCTAATCAGGAATTATAATTCGGAATTCCGTGAGCCTAGCGCAAACGTTCAATTTTTTGAAGTGGATATTATACTACCAGTACGTTCAGTGGCGGCTCTGTGAATGCTTCGTGATGGAGAACGACGATTTAATTGCAATTGCACTTCTATTATCATTATCAAAAAAGAAGAAAAAGAAACGTCGGTATTGGGTGCATCCGTTAAACAGTCGGAGAATCTACGAGAGTCCATTTTATCTAAACAGAGCAAAGTTACGAGCACATCCAGATAAATTCTTTGATTTCTAAAGGATGTCAATACAATCTTTCGATGCACTTCATAATGGCATACGTGATAAATTAAGGAAGCAAGATACCTGGATGAGATTATCTCTGGATACGCAACATAGATCTACAAACTGAGGCCGATGCATAAAAGACGAGTTTGCTCAGTAATTCATGACGCCGGCAGGAGAAATATCATAGCTATATAACGAAAGGATTACCAATTTACAACAATAAAAGTACAGTAGGCTATAACCTTTGTAATAAAAGTGAAAGAAAAGTAATTTTACTCTTGTTTTCTGTTTCCACTTTTGTGCACGAGTTCCAATCCTGTATAACCTCTTTGAAAACTTGCTCCCACGCCAAATCTTTGACATCTCTATTGTGGTGTCATGAATATCCCACAAGCAGGAGTGCTTTTCAACAGCCAATGTTACTTCTTCTGCTTCACACATTGTCCTGATGCATTCGAGCTCTTGATGCAACGGCGTGACGTCCAATACGCACGTCATTGAGCGGTTCTGGATGGAAATTTCCGACTATGTGCGGCGGTACACTATAAATGTATGAAAGTGCTGCGTTCCGCGTGACTTCACTAGGTTTTATCCGTTCCGTTTTCATGAACGCACGCGCTTGCTACCGAAACGTACGTACGGAATGTGTTCCGTTCGGAAAAAAAAAGAACGTGTGCGGCAGTCAATGTATTTTATTAGCGTTTGATGCATTCGGGTCTCCGAATACGGAAAACGAACGCGGAAAACGAATGTTTGCGCCCAGAATAAATATATTGCTTAGCTTTGTTCTTTGAAAAATACTACACGTAGCTGAAACTTCAATAAATTTTGTCCAATAATAATTTTTTATTAGTAGCTGAGGGGTGACATACGATTTTTGCATGTGTCTAGGTACAAAGGATGCTTATGAAATCCCTTGACACAGCGGTTACGTCAAGCAAAGGTGCGAGACTGCGTTGTTTGAACTACCTTATCAAAGCTCAGCCACAACTAGACCATGACAGCAAATTGATCAAGTCTGTGATACCGGAAGCCACGCTGTGTTGCAAGGACATCAATCAGAAGTGTCGCCAGACAGCCTACGAGCTACTAAATGCTGTCGGTAACACATTAATGGCACATGACAGTATGAGGGAATTCGTCGGTTTGGTCATTGGAGGATTGGCTGGAACGCCGCATATGATGAGCTGTACAGTTTTGGCAATGGCTTCAATTCTGCACAACTTTTCGGGTAAGAACAATGATCTTTGAAAATTATGTTATTTCCCGTGCCGATAAATTCAACTTATCAAGGATTTCACTTACTTCATCTCCCGCGACACGAATGTATCTCGACACCTCCCGAACAAGCCGTCAAACTCATTTAACGTCACTATTATGGCATCCTGTTCTTGAACTATTGCCAACAAAACAATGCAGTATTGTTTGATTTAAAAAAAAAAATGACAGATCAAAAAAATGTTACAAGAAAAGGGGAAAGAAAAATCGTGCGTGACCATTTTTGTGTATGACTCCAGTTAAATCGTCGTGAAAATGATCTTCACCTTGCCAAAAAATACCGGTTTTGTTTTTATTTTAGTCTGAAAGGCAGAGCCAACAACCACTTTTTCACACAAATTAGACTTTTTGTGGTTGTTATTCAAAAATGCAGAGTTTCGGGTCATTTCATTTATCTTTTCTATGTTTCATCGTATCTTTGAAAACATGCCTTCAATATTGGTAGAGATAGCTTTTTTTCACACAGTCAACCAGACAACGGTTACAGAGTTGGAAAGTTTTAATTCTTATCAGCCATTTATCGTTTTGTTCCATTTTGATTGAAAAGATGGACTTTTTTGAAAAAAAAAATGATATGGTCTTGGTAGACGGCTAAATTTTTATCAGTATAATCTAAAAAAAATCAACTCGATTGGATCATTGGGAGCTTGTCAGTCAACGAGCGATTATGAGCGCGTCTCGGACATTAGGTTAGCGTATTCTACAAGATAGCCAACCTAAATACTATATTCCCGCATTCAAAAAATTATCCGAGATAAAATAAGATACGGCAGTGTCATTTATGAGAATTTGTCACAGCTGTTTCTCTATTTACTATACAGGGTGACTTCGAAGTTGAGTCATTTATTTTAACAGTGAGTAGATGATAAAAAGAAATGTTTTTTTTCCTGTAACATTTTTCTGGTAAAATTAAAGTAACAAAGTTATAGCCCTTTAGAAGTTTGAGTACCGCCCTGTCTCAATAATAATATTATGTGCTCGTGTTTGGCAACATACGGATATAATCCGCCTTATCGGTTAATCGCATCGGAAACAAAAAAGCGAAAGAATTTGAAACGCTTATCACGATGTTTTTACTACAATTTTATTCAGTTGTATTCAGTCAATGTGTCAGTCGGTAACGCGTGAGTGAATAGTGGTGTTTGTTGCGTGTCTCAAACGAAATAAAAAATGGCACATGTTTACGAAAATGCTGAACTTGTGGACATGATTCTTATTTACGGGGGGGAGGGAGTCTTTACAAAATGCTGCCGCGGCATCACGGATTCATGCGGATCGGTTTCCCAATCGAGTGCAACCAACCCCTCGTGCCTTTGTTAATGTAGTACAAAGGGCTCGTGAATCAGGTGACTTAAGACCTCACAGGGGAGCGCATGCCGGTGCTCCAAGACCGCACGATCAAATACAGATCCGCACTGAAATACTTGTCGGGAGGATACTTTATAAAACAAGGTAACATTTTTTTCTAATTTTTACACACATATTTTGGTTTATCTTCCTTCTACAATCATTATCTGAAAATTAATGACTCACCTTCAAAGACCCTGTATATATATTTAAAAGGTTAATGTTTCGTAAATTCCAAGCCAATCGTATACGAGTATATAGCCAGCGCCATTTATGAGGCACTAATCTTTTCAAAGTATTTATAATAAATAGAGAAACGGCGGTGTCAGATTCTTATAGATGGCGCTACGGTATCTCATTTTATCTCAGATGCGGGAATAGAGCATAAAGTTAGCTATATTCTAGTAGAATATATTAATCAATGAGTAACCCTAAAACCATATTACACTTTGTGAGGCTATTTAAACAAAAATGCATCGTTTCTGTACTTTTCGTTTATCTCCGTTACTAAGCATCGTGTTTTATAAAATTAAACAAAGCATTATTTACCATAATAGGCTATATTTCTAGAATGTTTATATAAAATGATTTTTAATAGAATTATCCAGAAAAAAGTTGTAAAGTAACAGTTATAATTTTTCTTAGTTATTTTTTCTTGCTTTTACAATTTCTTTGGAAAGTTTCTACATATTTTTTAAAACCGATTTATCCCTGTACCATCTATAAAAAAAAAACAAGTCGGGGCAATCATTGAGAGCTGAGAACACAATTAATGGTTCAATGTATCTACAGAAAAAGTACAGAAAAAACGAATCCATCGAAAACAAAAATATCATATCAAATGGTTGCGGAACCGTTGAGTTTAATAACCGAATGCGGTTGTAGCTCATTCTGACAAACCTAAACGTCAACCACAACCTTCCAGTTGCAATTTTGTTGATGCTGCGCAGTTTGCTAGATCAAGTGTTCTATAATTGGGTGCAGTGCAAGCTCATTCTCACAAAAATAAAAGTCAACCACACCATGGCAAATCAAGTTATGTTGATGTTGTGCCATACATTTTCAGCGGTATAGTTTTAGTCACCGTTCTTGGCGGTTACCTCATCAACGCCATATGAAATAAGTAAACAGATCGAGTCTCCGTACCATGGGCGGATCTTAAGTGGGTAACAGGGGACACTGTTTCCATTCTCTTGTTGAAAATTCCCTAATAAATTTAGCACGAGCTGTCGGCCTGCTCCATTGATCGTATTTACGGGCATTGTACTATTTTATGTTGAAGATTGATAACAGGACAACTTAAATTACACGCCGATATCAAGTAAGTTGTCACTCTGACAAATATGATTGAAGGACACTCATACGTAACGACAACGTTTTCGAGACGGATACACACAACTAAAAAACGTATGTCTTTGAGCTCACCGAACAAATGTTCACACACAGTGGTAGGTTGCATGTGTATGTATGAGAGAAATGGAGATATATAAAGGGATACTGGTAGTCTTACTTTGACCCGGCAAGAACGGTGTCTACAACTATAACATGTCTTCCCAAGCAAAATATAATATATTGAAGTGAGCAGAAATCCCTCATAACTGTTTTAAATTTCCTTATTCGATGCATTTGATAATTATTAAACAAGTAAAATGTTGTTTATCAAAATAAGTCTTTGAGCCTGTTTTTTAGGTCTCATATTCATTTCAACTATAAGGCCTTTTTTGTTAAATATTGCCTGTTTTTTCTCAAAATTTGACGGAAGTACCTTGGAAACTCACGTTACCACTTTTCCTTCCCCCAACCCTCAGTAGCACTCTTTCAGACTAAAATAAAAAGCCAACAGTGGTATTTTTTGCAAGGTGAAGCTACCATTTGCTGAGGTATACGAGTATATGTAGTTATAAATAAAACTTATCAAAAGATTTGGTCACACAGTTGATAGGTCTGCTGTCACGCAGTGATAAACTTTGGTTCGTATATTCACTAGCGGAAACAACAAAACTTTGAGCTGACACTCTATCAGTGGCAGCCTAATAAACTTAAATAATAAATTATATAAAGAAAAAACGAATATATTTAGACACAACTAACACATTAAAAAGGAGTACTATTACCAGTAAATATCCTTTACAAGCGGTATGGTGGTTCCATGTTAAGAGAAACCTCCTGGATTTGGAAAAATGATACAAGTTTCCAATTACATGTTATTTAATCGAGTCCCTTACAATCGCGTCTGTAGTAAACGAGAAATATCGGTCAAGATACCTATAGCTGCGGTACGCAACGCAATAATTCACGTGTACTGCTGGCGTTGCAATAATACATATGTTACAAAATCAATATGCAAGTATATAACTATAGTCTAGGAAATAGGTTGCACTACAGCGGAGGTGACGTGTAATACTAACAATATGAATTTTTTCTTAGATAATCGGAAGGTTTTTTGAATGATCATAATAATTCCCTTTTATCATGGATGATGAAAGCAAATTAATTCTAGAGTTGACATTTGCCCTTAGTTATGTTTTCTGAAATAGTGACTATAAAAACCTATCATTTCCAGGTGCTTTAGGTATGGATAATATAAAATTTATGTTGGAGAACATTTCTACTCTTACCTCGTCAGCTACTAGAGAAATCGTGGGATCATGTTTGAGTTTTCTGAAGGTATACATAACTACTCTACCTTCTCCAATGGTAGCAAGTTCTCTAGAAATACTGGTAAGTGATGTTATTTTTTGTGAATCCAGTGAATGTGTATATAATTCATAATAATAATGTACCTACTTAGTTCCAATAAGTAAAAACAAATCTGTAATAACTTTTATCCGACTGCCTCTCAAGGAGGGTAACATTTTCCAGTATATATAGTTCACTTGTCCAAAAATGTTTTGACCTCATCCTCAGTTGTGGGAATAAATATGCTATCTCCTCCATGTGTTTGAATGAAGAAACATGTCGACTGGACTTTCAACTGTGTCTGGAATGTTTGGGCCTGTTCTTCCGCTAAACGGTTGTGATCTTGTAATATAACTTTCATCTTGTGTCCAAGAAACTTGGTTATAAATATTATTGGCTAAATTTGACAGTGGTAATTCATCTTCACTATCCCACTCGGAAAAATTAGCAGCTTGTGCCAATATCTCCTCTTCGATGTCGCAAACTACATCACTTCGTAGATCAGAATCAGCTATGTCAGCCATAACGCTTTATATATCCGATGCGACTAATTCATTATCGCTGCGTATGTCCTCCAAAATATTATTGATTTCTCTCTGAGTAAGATTTTCCAACTCTCGAAATGTCGAGCTTTGTTTCGCCATATCAACAAAAAAAATATATTTTGTGCCTACTGGTTATCCCACAAGACTGTGTGACCATATATCCAAAACAAATACATACAACTTTATAGTAAATGTGTACTAAAAGTGAAGATATTTGACTTATCAAACTTACCAACACAGAATTTGTACTAAATAGTAAAGTAACTTTCTTGATAAATACGTTATTTCAATCTGGTACCTCACCAGCTTGCCGGTACAGTAATTCGTAAACATGCATTTGTCATATGTCATCATCACAGACTTTGAATTGGTGGTCATCTCAGAAGACCAACATGCCGCAAAGGGTTAAGTTGCGGTAAAATATTTTAGCGTGAAGATAAGCTGTTAAGCATCCTACAGTTGCATTTATCCCATTGTGGAGACGGTACATGTATCTGGTTAGAATTTAATAAGTAAATTGTAGATTTGTAATTACCTATCAGGTCTTTATGTAAAATTTACGTTCGTTTAGTTTATTATTATACTTATTTTAATTTCGTCACTGAGTCCATAGTATCAAAAAGAAACTTGAGGTTCTTCCAATAATCATCAATCAATCCTCGTTTACAACTATTACGTGAAACCGTGTTATCTAATTTTCTCGAAGCCTTCATTATCAGGAATTGTGTATGTATAAGCAGGTTTGCTAAGCCAAAACGCAAATCTGAATAATTGTAATTAAAAGGCTTGATAATATTTTGGAGGAGTAAGAATTTTGGATATCTGCAAACTGTCTTGTTATTGACCTAGTTTCTACAAAATGTGTAAAGGTATGATACTATTGTATCATACAAGCGTTACGGAATAAATAATATTACGTCGTTGTTGGCTGTGGCTGTCGCGACTAGTAGAGGGGAAAGAATAACTATCGGAATCTTCATGGTCCTATTGAAGAGATAAGTAGTTAGTAGTAAAGTAAGCTTTAGGTTTTTTAATTTGTGATTTGTGTATTAAAGCTTTCCGTTTATAAATAGTTCGTGTTTTTGTACCTAAATATTTCTCAACTTCATTTTTTGTAAATCTGATTTCAATTCACTCCAAGAAGCAGTTTTGTCTTTGACTACACAAACCTGGATAAAATTCAGATGTATCCGCTTTAGTTTTATTACGTTTTTCTATAATATTTTTCTATGAGCATCTTTGTTTAGTATATATTGTTGTAAATTAATTTTAGTCTTTCATGTCTATGTGCACAGAAATCTAACCAAATATCAAACCTCTGCTGAAATACACGATGACTAAAAATAACGTTAAATTATATAATTTATTCGTCAATGCAAATAAAGAGCATAATTTAAAGACACTCCGCCGTGAACTTGAACACTTATTATGTAAACCATATTATGCCTTGTGTGAGTTCTACACCTACTTAAGATCCACATATGTAATTATGTTATGGTTTAGTTTTAAGTCAGCTTTGTCATTGAGAATAATTGTTCAGACAATCAAGCATATTTATCTATCTATTAATTTTCACGTATCACTATGATTCCAGATGGAAGCTCTGACTAGCATGACGGACGATTGTAAAAGACATTTTAGGATTAAAACAAGAGACATTTTAGATCGACTAGTAAGGAAATACGGTTGCGAAGCCCTAACGCCTCACGTACCGATGAGCGACACTGTCATGTACAAGCGGCTGAGGAACCTTAGAAAATTAAATTCTCGCAAGAAGAGAAGGAATCAACAAGAGAAAGAAGCTGAAGAGTCTAGTGAAGATGAAGACTTTACTGTTAAAGCAAAACCGAAGAGGTTGGTGATGAATATTTGTGGCAACTTTTGCTTTATGTTTGAAATATTTTTGTTATTCTTATAAGCATTCTCATATATATATATATGTATGTATACAGGGTGTGTCTGGAACGTCGATATCAACTTTTTAAGGTGTGGAACACAATAAGCAACATATACCTTAGTTCAAAGTCGAACTGTTTTTGAGTTAGGCGTGATTTAAGGAAATCACAGAGAAAGGCCAAAACTGTGATATAAACCTTCACTTGTTGGAACCAAGTGGAGAGCAAGTCCTGAGTTCTGCTGTTTTTCTTGATTATCATCTTCGAATCCAAATAGCTTCCAAGTCATCGAAAGATGGCATACACTTTATAAAAAATAATTTGTTTTCCGACTGGTTCGATTTTGCTGTGCTATCCGTTCGAATTTATGGGAAAGTTTGACAACAGTGCAATTCATTGGAAAATCTTCCTCACCTCTACTCTCTCGTAATGTCAAAATATTGAAGAAAGCTGAAATTTTAAACACAGAAATATATTTAACATTTTCAAGGCCATAAAAAAACTTTAATAAAAGCTACACACCCCAAAAACCGAGATACACTATGCATTTTTATGTTGTAGAAAATTGAACACTCGTCATGTTCATTTTTATTAATACACTTCTGCCCCGTTTGTGGTCTTCAGATTTAACTTACCCTTCATGTTTATGTCCAAGGAGCGCTTGTTTCGTAAATTTTATGAATCACGTAAGGAATTAAAAACCTAAATAGTTAAAGATCTCCATTAATACAGTAATGCAAAAGCGAGCATCGAGGAGGCCATTAAAATGTATGGGTCAAAATTAAAATTCGACGACCAGGCTTGGCGGGCTGTATCTCAGACCGAGTTCATTTTTTCTGGAGAGCACCTATAGAGGCATATGGATTTTTAAAATTTCAGGGTCCTAAGTTGAACGCTTCGGTCTGTAGAAGCGCTCAAAGTTTGGAGATTCGACAAAAATGTGAATTATAGCGTTTTGACAACTATTCCAGTTTCTCGCTATTAATCTCAGATATTTCATTTAAAAGTCATTATTACGATTTTTTAATGGTTTAATTGAACTGATAATTCAAATGCCTTCTGAAACGGAAAATACACAAAATTATTATTATTATTATTAATAAGGAGATGCAGCAGCATGTCCCCCTAAATAAATGAAATTTTGTACTCGGGCTTTTAAATTGGTCGGATAGGCCTTTGGATTCACTTTTCGATATTCTGAACCAAATTTGGTCATTTTCATTCATTCGAACGATTCAATCTGAGGATGCCTTTAGAGTTTCAAGGTTCGCAAAATTTGAATCTTAGCCTTTTTACAAGCATCTCCATTTTCGCGTTTCTCCTGTCATCATGAAGTATCAGGTCCCGCAAAAGGTGACTATTCCGAAGTATAATTGTCCCAAGAATTGACCTTCAAATTGGGATCTTATAATTCGTTCGGCCAATGCTTCTCTCAAAAGTAATTTTTTGAAATCATACATTATTTTCTTGCGCTGACAATTTGAATGCCTCCTTAAACAAAGATCTACACAATACATTTTTTTCGTAAAGGAAAAGGATCATCTTATCGCTCAATATGATTTAAAATTTGTTCTTCAGCCTCTAAAGTGGCCGAGAAAGCTTTTAGGACCATGTATTTTTTCCCTAAATTTACCATTTTAATCATGCTAGAGGACGTATGGGTACTATTGGAGATTGATCTAATTATAGAGGTTGCCAATCTCATAAATACATCAACACATTGCTTAACGTCCATTGGCTAACGCAGATGTTATGGGACATTCGCAAAATAATTTTACGATCTCAAAAACGGAGAGCTACGATGTTGGTTAAAGCAATTAAATTTTAACCAAGATTGTAGCTCTATCTAATTATGAAATCCCGTTCCTTAGACTAGACCGCCAGCGATGACACATGTTATGTGTAGTTCAGTCAAAATTCATTATTCATTCATTGGTAGAAATGTTTCATCTTGAAATATGAGCATTAACATTTAACTTTGGTGCTTATGTTCCACTTGTAATTATGATCTTATACAGTATTTAAATTTTAGTGTGGAAGATATACTGGCAGATTCTGATTCAGAGTTTGATGAGATGGAGACAGATGAACCAAAAATTAAAAATAGGAAACAACCTAGCACATGGATTGAAGAAGAACCAGAAAACATTATTGATTTCACTGATCCTACAATTAGCAGTAAAATTACAGGTAATATTCTAAACAAAATACACGGTGGATATCGTTACAGTTTACACTCTTCAAAAACTCTAATCACATTCATGAAGATAATTCAAAGTAAAAATGTCTTACAGGCATCGCTATTAGAATCAACTTTTAAAAATCGGGTGTCTTTAGTAGATAATACTATCCAAGCTATTTGACCTCAAATTAACAGTATGTCATCAAAATGATTAGGGCTCAAAGTGAAAAATGTTGTTCAAGATGCGTGGTATTAAAGATTGTAGAGTTTTTAAGCAGCATGTAGTCAGATTTTCAAGCTGATTTGACTACCTTAAATCGTCAACAAAAGCATAAAAATATTTTTTATTCATGATACAATATTTTTAATAAACAAGAATGCGAATCTCACATCTAACAATTAGTTCTAAGACTTTTTTGTCTTATCTTATTGCTTTTCTTTTTTTTAGCTACCAAGCCTGGCCAGGCTCCTCAACCACTTGCAGAAAAGAAAAAGAAAGAAAAAGATAGAGGATTCAAAACAGCCTCGGATGGAAGATTGATTATAAAAGACGACTCTTCTGACAGTGAGTCCGATGTCAAGAAAAACAAATTGAACTTTGATTCTGACACAGAGTCTGGGGATGATAATATAAGTAAGGCGGAAACAGTTCTCTTGACAGATAGAAAAAGGAAGAGAAGCTCTGCTAGCAGTGTAAAAAGTGGAATGAGTTCTGCTAGTCAACCCCCGATGAAGTACAGGACTGGAGGTATTGGTATTCATAGGTAAGATAAGAATCAAGCTTCTCTAAAATAAAAACCCAACTCAAGAACCTCCAACATTTTTTCATAAAATACTGTGTTCTTTATATTTTTTAATGACAACCTACATAATTAGCCTGAATTGACGTTCGTATCGAATATAAGAAACCATGTTTGTAAAAAGGTAATTAGGATGTGCAAAATCTTCGTATCGACGTTAACTGGATTAATTTTTAGACCTGTAGGTGCATCGACGTCTTCCGTACATAGTGGATACAGCTGTGTAGGTTCAGATTACAAAGCCAAGAAAGCTAAAGGCGATGTGAAAAAGAAGGGAAAACCAGACCCATATGCTTATCTACCATTGAAGCGATCTACATTGAATAAAAGGTATACAATGTTCACTGGTGTTTTTCTAATTGGTCAAAACCTAATGCCTGAGGGCGCAGACATCAGAAACTTGGTACTTTACGTTATTTTATCCATTTGTATAAATTAGCCTCATCTTACTCTTTTGTGTGGCCGTGAAGTAGGGAATAATGTAAAGTTCTTCATGCAAAATGTCATATATATTGGAAGTTGAAATTTTCATATTTATTGTGATTTTGTGTACAATTTTGGGAATTTTTTTAGAATATGCCTTCCTCCCTGAAAAAATTTGGATTTGCTACACCCCGCTGTTCAAAAAGTTTTTGAGGCAGGCATACTTTCAAAAAAAGTTATCTCTTGTCAACGATTTCTCCCTTCTGAGACATACTGCGTATAAAATAGGCCTGAAAAACTTTATATTAGACACTGCAACCTACATTACTTTTTTTAAAAGGTTGGACAAAAAAGATTATAGGGAATTAATCACACACCCCATAAGAGGGCGTCCAGTTCTATTGCTTTGGGCTCAATGGTGCGTTCATACAAATGTTAAAATAACTAATATCTTATGTGAAACTAAATAACGGAAATTACATCAAAAATTAATTTTTAATGTATCTGCAAATACTGAAAATAATGAAGTATTCAATTTTTACACTTGATTATGAGTTATGAGTTATTTTATTTTGTATCGATTTTTCTGACTACAAGAAGAGCATTGAAATATCACTGTAAAGTTGGAGCCATATTTAGTTTTCCATATATGTGACTAAAAGTGATGAATTCGTGGTTTCACTCCTATTTGGGCTCTCATATTTCAATCAGTAGTTTTTGATGTACTACTTTGCCGTATGCTTTATTATCGAATGCAATCAAACTTTTTTCTTGATTTCAGGAAAAGAAGTAAGGTTGCTGGTCAGTTCAAAAATATAGTGAAGGCGGCCAAAAAGGGGGCATTAAAAGGTGCTAAAGTGAAGAAAAATAAAAATAAGAAATAACGTGTTAATAGTCTTTATATTAAAAAACTAGTTGTGAGATGTTTTTTCTTTATTATTGGTAGTATATAATTACAACTATCATTATAACAAGTACGGAAAACAATTAAAATATTTATTCAAAATATACTGTTTTCAAATGATTTTCAACTGTCTTCAACATTGTCTTCTAAAATCTATAATAAAAAAATCACATTTTGCCTGAAATCAGAATTCATGACAGCGTAGAAATTATATGAATAGCCGAAGTAAAAATATAATACATCTGAAACATCAATATAAAAAACTGTACAAAAAACAAATAAATATATATCTGAGATTATACTAAAATTTGTCTAAATCTACCTATGTTGTATTGTAATATACCATTGAATTCCATGTACCTACAAAAGCAACAAATAATACAGGCAAATACATTTTTGTTCCATAATTTTCCACTTTGTGACTGGTATTTTATGTTATTAACTTATAACTAAAATCAGCCCATGCCCCTAAAATTTGGTAATCTCTCCTGTCAACATTCTTCAATCACATCATTCAGATCAACTGAAGTGCTTCAATATTAGCCTGAACAAGAAGATTTTTTCAACATAAGTGGTTTCGATTGGCCAGAGAAATATGGGGGATTATCGACATGAAAACCACGGAAAAGTCTAAATACATGCTTCAAGAATATGGTAACATTTATCAATTCCAAATTCTCTTCAAATTAACATCTGATAGTTTGAGATTCAGTTCGTTAAATAACTTTAATATTTTAATAAATGTATACATATGCATGAGAATATTAGCACACGTCAACTAATCCCAATAGCCTTCTACAGGTTTCACCTTTGGAGACTAAGCGCTCACATATGTACACGATTTGTAGCGTGTGACAGTCACTCGACTAGTGCTGTCAGATATTTCTCCAACTATGATTTAGTAACTGATATCTCTAAATCGCGCATCACGACTATTACCAAATACCGTGAAAAATCGTGACTGATCACGACTTTGGGACTAGGTCCTTTATGGCAACGGATCTAATGTTGGATTGTGTGGGATGTGCGCGCTAGTTGTAGAGTTGAATGAACTCGTAATGTTTCCGTTAGCTGCCCAAATTACACATTAATTGTGCTAGATCAATTTAGCATCTTGGTCAAGTTTCACGGAACATATTTTCTGTACGTCACTACACACGATCCGATAACACACAAAACTTTTGAAAACATATCGTAGAATGTTAGAAATAATTATGACTTTCGATCTCACTGCTCCTGCACCGGTGCGATACGTTCCCTACGACGTATCAGCAGAACTCACCCACCGTTAATCGAAAGTCACTGATATCAAAACGTAACTATATCAGATATCACAGATATTCAAAAATAACGATATCGGCCATCTCTACAGTCGACAATGTTTGACATAACTCCATTATCGAGTGACAATGTCACGCAAATCGCGTGGAGTAAGCGCTATCAGTCCCATAGTGAAATAAGCCTCATTCGGGATCTACAATGGACTATCCCAGAAAAATCCTGAACTACCGCTATTAAGCGAATGCCACACGACAGTATTTACTGTGATCCATCAGTATTTATCATGCAGCCTGTATGTCAGTAATTATTACATAGAAATCCACGGACACTCACGAAATCATCGGTAAATACTGATTGAACACGGCACGGGTATTATGTAAAAAACCTATAAAATGTCATCTTGCAGACTAAGTAGTTGTTAGGGTGCAAACAGTCATTCCACGTTTGCTCAATAGCATCTTTGTGAGCGTCAATCTTTGGAGGAATGACTCAACTACACGCATTGTTGGTTGCATGTTTTGTGAAGCCGAGTAGACTCTGAGAAGAAAGTTTCAAGATCGCATCTGGATGATTGTGTGTATTGGTCTGCATGTGTATAAAATCAGTGTTGTGTGGGAAAATCATTACTGAATATGCTATCTATTAGCTGTGCCCGATGTTTTATTTATATGTGATCCTTTCGGAAGACAGGTTATGTTCAAAGTTATCAATTACGATTTTTTACGTTTTTTTTTGTTTTCAAAAACTTTGTGTAGAATTATGGGAAATCACCACCGCGCTCGCGTTGTGTGTAATTACTGTTAGCATGTATATGACTTGTAATTCGACAGTGTACAGTGAATATAATGATTTCTTATATCTCTCATTTTTGATATTCAGCAAATTTGCATACGTAATTTCCAGAATGGATAAGAAAAAGTGGGTGCGCAACTAATTTCTAGCTTTGAATCTCAAGTAAGTGTATTTGAGACAAGAATCCAATAGAATTATCATCAACACATATTATTAGCACGCAAATCCTCACTATGCTCCTATACATTGCTGTTTCCTTCCAGCTATAGACTATAGTATACAACTTGCGGCTTAGGCCTCCTGTAATGCCATCTATAAAGCAGACTTTACATCACATCAGAGCCAAACATTGATAACTGAAGCATCATGACGAGTTCACAAATGTCCATCAGCTAGTGCTGAGTTAACATCTTGTAGAAAAACCTACATAATCTCTCAAAAAAACAACATAAATACGTAATACCCGTACGGATCACACTGATCAGCTGACATGAATGTAAAATGAGAACGGTTGTAAGATAGTTCATTATAAAACCCGAATAAGGTTATCACGTCACATTTAACGGTCATAGCTGGTGCGATCAATCTGATCACAATATTCACAATCTATCATATTTCTCTCTATTAAGTGCACAAATGTGAGCCTGATCCTTAAAAAGATTTTCCTATGACAGTGGGAAATAGCCTCTAGTTGAGTGGTACTCAAATCTGCCAAAAATATCAAGTAAACATACCTCTTTATAAAACTCTTTTTATACGAATCTCAGTCCTCATTTTATGATGTCTTTGTAAATGACTAATATAAGTGGATATTATAGAATAAATATAAATTTGGTTGTTTAAAATTATGACTGTATAAAACAAGAAAATATGTTTACTTTAATTAGTTACAGCCCTAAAATACAAAAGGGATTCTTATCCTCATACTCATAATTTAACGCATGCCAGATTTTGAATGTGCAATCAGCCATTGTAATGTGATGTCAATGTTGTCTTTATCTTTGCATGAAATAGAGTAGCAACATATTTCACGGTCTTGTATTGCTGACAGATTCCTGAAAAAGGAAATACAAATGAATAAGTTACATAGGTATCTAAGTATTCAATATATATATATACATAGCATATAGCAGCATCAAAAACAAAGGAACTGTCACATGGAAGACAGATAAATATTAAACATGCAGTGTATGCAACAATTTATTCAAAAATAAGCTGGATAAGGAACTAAAAGACTACACAGCAATGTCATCGGACTTTTCCGCCTACTATTGTAGTGCTAATTATAATATCAGTTTCACTTTTTTAAAAAAGGTCGAAACGTTAGAAACTCAGTCCTACATAATGTGGTTTCATTTGAGGAGGCTGTCTATACCCTATTTAACGAGTATCCATCACGCTTTGACGTCTACTGAGGTGAAAAGCTGATCAAGTGACATTTTTGTGATAGTATGCAACGTTGGCATAATGGATCGGGTGTAAACGTAGTAAAACTTGTTTGTAGCGTTTTGTTTTTTGTATGCAAATGAACTTTTCTAAATAAAAGAGCTAACTATTCGTCATTTGTTTGTCTGGGCGGTCCGTAGGACCTTTGCCCATTAGTCACTGTCTGATGTACGTTAGTCGAATTTGTCAGTCCTGGTTGCCCAGAAACCAGACAAAGTCAAGGATAAAAGAGCCTTAGGAAGTACAAAATGAATCTGTAGTGTACAAAAAATCAAAAAAAATATGGCTCTGTCTACCTGGCATTGACGGATCCGTCAGAATTACAGTAGAACCCCAATTATCCGAGTCGCGATTATCCGAAATCCACTTTATCCCAAACAGATCGAATGCAATAATTTCTCCGTTTTAACCGAAGTTGTTCGGGAAATCGGCGCATGATCCGAAATAGCCGACAGTAGTTCCCCTTTCGGCGTTTGCGTCATTAGATTCGCTGCCGGTGATTCACCAAACGCGTTTGAGTAATTCACTGGTATGTGTGCGGGTATGTTTGTTTCAGTCAGGTTCATAATCGCTAAGATAGAGCAGCATAGAAATAAATGTAAACGCGTTATCATAGAACAGAAACTTAAGGCGAGAAAATTGAAATGTGGTCTAGTGTTCTGACATCATCGCAGCCATCACGGAACACTATGAAAAAGGGGGAATATCAAAAAGTGGATGATGTTTTATATCTGTGGTTTACACAGAATCGCGAACGTGGAATACCCATTTCCGGACCAATTCTAAAGCAAAACATAGTCAACTTAAGTGAAGCATTGCCAGTTATTGAGTCGCCTGATAACTTTACAGCCACTGATGTTTGGCTGCATAGATGGAAAAAATGACACGGTATACGAGAATTAAAAGTTTGCGGAGAAAAGTTATCTGCCGATTAGTCCGCTGCATTAAAATTTGGAGAACATTTTAAAGAATTAATGAAGCAGAATGTTTTAAATCCGGAACAAATTTACAACTGCTATGAAACGGGCCTAAACTATAAAATGTTACCGGCGAAAAGTTTAGCTTCAAAACAAGAATCTGGAGCTCCTGGTTACAAACGCAGTAAAGAACGTGTGACTATCCTTGCTTGTGGCAATGCTTCCGGTACAAACAAACTTCCTTTGTTGTCCCAACCCTCTTCCAGTGTGGTATGAAAATCAAAAAATGAATGGATGGATACCGCTCTTTTTAGCCAAGTAAAAAATTCAACTTTACAAAAATCTTGGTCGACAATAATTAAGCAAGAAATGGAACCTTGTGCAGACTATGAGAATAACAACGGAAATTTACATGAGCTCCTCGTAAAAATAGCAGAGTGTGAAAATCTTATCCAAGCAGATGTTGGTGAGTGGATTAATGGTGATGAATTGGTGGAAGAATTGACTGATAGAGAACTAATAAAAACTGTTTGTAACAATGGCGATGAGACAGTTTTAACTGATGCTAGTGAAAATGAGACAGAAATCTCTGCCAAAATATCACATTCTGAGGGATTAGAAGCTCTACAAATGGCGTTGACTTACGTCGAACAACAAGAAAATGCGACAGCAGCTGATGTGCTACTTATCGAACGTTGGAGGGATATTGCTGCCAAAAATAGGAACAATGCAAAACGTGTACAGTTAAAAATCACTTCCTTTGTTACTAAATACTCGTAAAAATGTATGTTTGTATCCACATGTTTATATTTTACGTAACTTGATATATAGGTATATACTCACTTAACACACGCATTTACTTTTTTCAATAAAAACATTGAGCTCAAATATCTATTTCCGTTTTATGGGATTTTTCGATTATCCGAAAGCACTTGGTTTCACATTATTTCAGATAATCGAGGTTCTACTGTATGTGTCCTGTGCCAATATGGGGAATTATGAGATATTTCTAGATAATCGGCTATCATTCTATCGTAATGGATACTCGTGAAATAGGGTATAGGTAACCACCAACCATCGACGATTGATCAAACACATAATTTAAGGTTAGAAACTTTTTGAATTTCAAGCGTTTTGTTACTAAACTAAATCATATAATATTCCTCGTAAGGCCATAACAGTTGTTATGAGACAACTTACAGGTTGTGAGAATAACTTCTGTTTTCATGAAGTTATAAACCATACTTTTCGCGGGTTTTCGCCATTACACCTGCGATATAGAGTTATTAAGGAGCTTCAAAATGAGATATTACAAGACCCCCACTCCATCTAAAAATGTTGAAATATGGTGCCCAGCCGCCATCTTACAATTTTCAACTGCCATTTTTACGCTAAAGTATGATTTTCATTCATTAATTTCATTACCCCGAATTTCAGCTTGCTAACTTGACCCGTTAAAAAATAAGTAGGGGTACCCTCCTGAAACGCATTGTGCGAGGTTTCATTTGGCCTAACGAAAGCGGCTGATAAAATCCCTGCAAGTTTTTCTCTGGTTACGTTTTTCACTCGTAAGTTCATGCTATTTGTAAGTAACAACTTCCGGAAGTCCATTTCGGTACGGCATGATGGTCCATGAAGTTCTATCCCTATATGTATCCTAGTACAACAAATTTTTGATACATTAATTACCCCGCTCTGATCAACATTTAACCTAATAAGTCTGTATTTTAGCAAAATGCGTACGATTTGACTAGTTTTTATCATATCATCACAGTACGCGACGTAATCAAAAATTTGCGGTCGGTTCTTGGAATAATTGGAAAATGATACAATAAAATTTTATTTATTTTGGAAAAAAGCTGGACTGTTCAGTCTAAAATCAAAAGGAACCTTGAATTTCCGTGATGGCTTCTTCTAAATTTTTTTGACTCATATGACCTTTGGGGCTTGAGTTTTTTTTAAATATAAGTAGCTCAGGTATTGGTGAAATGTGTCAATACAGGCTCCGACGCGTCCATAATCACGCGTTGACTGGCTTGAATTATACAAAATTTAGTCGACTTCCGAAAACATGCAAAGATTCTTCACAAAAAAGTTCATCGCAACTGAAACGGTACAAAAAGATAAAAGACGGCTAACATAAATTACAATATTCACTTTCCAACCCTGATACTTATTTCTGGTTGAATCACGACTGTATGAAAAAAGATTATTCCACAAAAGTCATAGATACATGTATGGTGAATAATTAATTTTTTAATTCTCGAATACTTTAAGCATCATCATGGAGATAAATGAAAAGAACCAAAACAACACATTTGTTTAGATAATTGAAAAAAGTGTAATTTGTGTGGAAAGTCTGGTTTTAGGGTGAGTAAGCAGTCCTCTTTCAGAATAAAACAAAAGCCCAACTGCAGTATTTTTTGCAAGGCAAAACTGTAAAACTACCATTTGAGTAAGGTATCATGAACTATTAGACAACAGTTGATAAGCAGATACATTGAAAACCAAATACTGTAATGTGTACGACAAAGTAGCGTGCCATACGTGTGTTAGAAAGAGATTGAAGCTCCTTATTGCCTAGCAACCCGAGTACGAGGTCATGGCGCACTCTTTCTAATATACGTATTGCACGCGTATACTTACGACCTCAGCTAAATTTAAACCTCACATATAACACAATGCTGACACTATTTTAGGTCACCATACAACAACCTTATGGTACCAAAATTATATATATTATATAAACATATTTTCCCTTTCAGTGAAACTTACATGAACAATTAAACTTCAGAGTAGTGCATAAAGGAAACATTTGCAAGTTTTAGGTCATAAAAAAAATGAAATGAAAAAATAGGATATTTAAAACAAACCACACAAATTTTATTTTAATTAATTTCTCTCTAATCTAAGGTTAAGGATGTTCCCTTCATAACATTCCTAAAATTTAAAATACCCATTATCAAACATACATAAAAATCACAATATGAAAAATAATCATACTTTATCAACACTTCCTTGCTACTAAGAAACACTGCAAAAAAAAATTAGAGCTGTAATTTCATTACAGTAATCAATTTCATCCCATTAAATCACACATAAATGTTTTTTGCATGTATTAGCAACCTCCAGAAAACAAAAATATGCAACTGATAGTCTTAATATCTGAATACTACAAAAAACATAATAAATCATGGACAATCAAGCCTATTAAGTTTGTTTTGTTCATGAATAGTTTAGATGATAATAGTTGATGTTTATCGAATGAAGAATAATAACTTTCACAAATTGGTTATCTATAATTTAATTTTACATGTGATAAAACAGGTTTTCTTTAATAGGAGGTCTTAGTGTTCAAAGGCATTATCAACTTTTTCTGTGAAATAAAGATACTGTTAACAGCTTGTGATACTAGATTTTTGATAGACAAAATGAAGTTTACGTAATCAAAAATAGATGCAATCAATAATAAGTATTTACAACCCCTTAAGATACTGGCAACCACTGCAAGAAATAATTCCTATAATTTTTATTTTGTTGCATTGGTAATTTATTAATATAGATAACACTAACACATAACATTATTCTACTTATTTTCCAACTGGTCACTGAACTCATGAATCATGATTGATAGATGTGGTAATGACAGTAAATAAAAGCTTCCAGAACTGAATTATCGAAGAGAAATGAAATATAAATATGTGAATGTTTTAAATACTTTACAAATGTGCTTCTTTTTTAATAGGAGGGATTGAAAAGTATATCAAAAACAATTATTTCAAAAATGTAGTTCCAAAATCTGGTTTCAGTTTTAACTCAATATTGTAGCAGCTGTTGAATTCCTCATACTCCCAGCTGTTGCAAGAATCTGTAGACATATACTTAAAAAGTCAAATCTTCTGAAAATATGGTGAATACACAAACCTGCAAAGCATTATTCGGCTAAAATTATCAAAGCTGCACAACTGTGGTGTGCTAATTCCATAGAAAATGAAATAACCTGGTATTACTCAAATCTGATAGTACCATAGTACCTGTCAGTTTTAAAAAAGGTAGTACTTATTCATCCCTTATACAAAGCACTATGAGTCATGCATATGATTGATTATTTTTGATTAAGAATATAAAATACTTACATCCTTTCAATAAGGCCATTCTCATCTAGAGCCTGTGGTTTATCCCTTTTATTGCCCAGGACAAGTACTGGGATGCCAGCTAATTGAGGTTTATCCAATAAGTTATGAAGTTCATTTCTTGATGCTTCAATCTTATCAGGATCAGCAGCATCCACCATATATCTGGATATATGTAGCATTAATTGAGACATCTCACATTTGCAGCAAATACTTACACAATCGCGTTCACACCTCTACAGTATCTTTCCCACATTGATCTGAATCTGGGTTGGCCCCCAATGTCCCAAACTTTGATTGTTACATTGCCCTTTGTGATTTTCCTCATATTGAAGCCCACAGTGGGTATCATATCTTCGCTAAACTGTCCTGACTACAAGAGGTAGAATATCAGCCTTATTCATCCTTAAATGTAATTAATGTATACATACAGCTATAACATTGACGAATGTTGTTTTTCCAGAGTACTGTAATCCAACCAAAGTTAACTCCATTTCTTCTTTCCAGAAGAGGCTTCTGAACCAATCTAATATTCTGTTCATTAAAGCTAACATGTTGGGGTACGATAATTACACTATTTTAAAGATAATCAAGAAGGAAAATTTATTCACTTAATCACTGACAAATGATCCAAATGTAAAAGTCCAAAACGGAGATGACAATATTGACATTACCCAGCCCTATGTCAAATTTTTTGTTAGATCTCGAAGTGTCAGTGTCAAATATTTGGTTGACATCTTACGGTGAACATCATCAACCTTTAATTTTTTACTCATAATTTTCTTCATAATCACCATCATAATAGTTTAAGCAAATGCCAATAGATGCCAGTGTCGTTGCCTTGTCAAAATGTTTCAAGTCATAGAGTGATTTGTCAAATGTTGATTTTCCTATAGGTGGTCAAAGCATATAAGCATAATTTGTTATGAGGTGGTTATGAGTGGACAAAAAATAAAATAGTTTTTTGTTGGATGACCGTGATTCAACTAATTTGTTGTAAATGTCTATGGACGGTTGACTATAATAGCTCTTTAAAAGCAAGTTGAGTAAACCAGGTAGATTCTCGTGTCAGTGCAATTTAAAGTGTGGCCAAAATCTAGGTTTAAGGTAAATAATTCTAAACATTCTCTTCGTTCTTCCATTTTTGCACAATGTTTTTGGAGATACCTGAGAAGTTCCCTCAATTTTCAGAAGGTAACTTTTCATAATGGGTGAAGAAATACCAGAGAAGCATTTTGAGGAATCTAAAATGAAAGCACAAAAAGAAAACAAGTATAACCGTTTATTGCCTTATGTTCATGATATAGAAGAAGAGGCAGAAAAATTATTCATCGATATAAAGACAAATCTGATCAGATCAGTGCTGGGAAGAGAAATGAGACCAGGTTGTGCTATGTGGACTTCTAGATTGATCAAGTATATCAAAATTTATGGATATAAATTCTCAAAACAAGACCATATTGCTTTAATAAAATTATTTTATGAGCTGCTTATTATACCAGATCTAGAACCTACAAGAGTTAATAAATGTGCATCTACACTGACAGTACTGTTGAAAAAGAAATATCTATTATCTAGAGAAGATCTACAACTTGACTGGAGACCATTGTATGACATGTGTGTAAGAGTGACAGAGAAGACAAAAAGAGACCTAGGAATGTATAGGTACTCTGCTTCATTTGAAGGCACACTTTTCAATGCAATTCGCATGTGCAGGGTATATTTCCCAGCATCAGCCACTCAGGAGATTCTGGATGAATTCAAACAATATCTTTGCCCTTTCAATACCTGTGATATGTCTTATTCTATGGAGTATATGGAACTGTTTTTGCCATGCCATGTAAAGCCTTCAGAAGCAGGTATTAGCTACAAGCTTTGGTTTGATGAGTTGATGATCCTGTGGAACAATTGCCAAGAAGCTTGTCCTTGGGAAAATTACCTGATGTATATGATGACAAACTTGGCAAGATACCAAATTGGGTACATTGACTGGCAGCCACATATTGCTAATATGTTTGTTAGGTGAGATTTACTATATCTTTTTATTTCCTCACAACTGAACATGTTTTTAAGATGAATCTCCTGTCATTTTTAAAATCCAAATCTTAAATATGCTTCCATGCAGCTTTTAGAATGGATCAATTCTTGATTCAAATTATCTGCTGTTCTTACACTTTTATTTGTTGTCACAATAATATTAAAACTACATTCCATCCAGATTTCCATGACTAGCAGCTTTCTTCTTAAAGTAATAATGAGTTGAAAAAGTGTAATATAAATGTAGAAAATAGTTCTACTCATCACATCTACAATCACTCTCCTGAAGACTATTTTCATAATGTTAAAGAACTTTGCTCCATGGTAGTAAAGTTAAAGTGCTAAAGATAACAGAAAACAGTTTCAGTAAACAATTAGGATCAGTGGAATGAGTGAACATATTTTATTCATTTTAATTTCCTAAGCCACTGTTTTTTTGAAAATCGATACAGTGACGGTGGATCTATAGACGAAAATATGGAAAAAACAGAATCACTCAAACTTCGTTTTTTGACCTTTCAGAGATCATTTTCAGAAAGCCTTTTGCAGGGTTGGGGGATGCAGGGGGCTGTTAATGTTGCTTTGGTATCAGTGAGCGACATTCTATTATTAAGGAGCTTCTGATCTCGGTAATGAGTAAAAATTTGAATGATAAAAAATGATGATAATGTCCTCAGAGTTTTAAATAACGACCAATCTTTCTATGTGAGTTCGATGGTGCTGCAGCAGGTAAACAGAACCTGCTTTGACGTTGTGATCCAATCTACTGCCATTTGTGCTGAGGAAAAACTGTTTATAGTCATATAATCATATTTGGGTGTTAACAATATGTATCTGTTCAGAATTCTAGAATATAGTGGCATTGACCATCAAACTTCAAAATAGTTGATAGGGCTATGTGGAATTATGTTTTGGGGAATGATACTTTGATAGGTTTTATACCTATCATATGTTTTTCTGAATTTCAAGACCTATGAGTGTAGTCATACCGCCGAACTTTTAATTTGTCTCAATAAGTGTGTGATTTTTTTGAGGATATATGTGGTACAGGTTGTCCTGCTATAAATTGACCCACCCTCTATCTTTTTTGTATGCCTGCTTAGAAAAAATGTTTTATATAAAAATTGTAGGGGCTAATAAAAAGTTTTACATACATATATTGTTTTATGTCAGGATGATGAAAAATAGTGCAATAGAGTTGTATTTCCCTGTACAATTTTAGTAAAAATGATAGTTGCTTTTTTCCTGATTCCCTGTATGATTTATTATATATATATATGTATATATATATATATATATATATATATATATACCATATACGAGCCCCTTCCCACTTCAGTTGGCCCAAGTATTGAAATCTTAGTTTTTTCTTATCAAACAAATAATAAAAATGTAGCAGGGTGTTATAGGTTGAAAATATTAACAATGAATATTTTGATAATATATAGTAGAAAACACCAACTTTATCACACCCTAATCAAATTTGCAGCATAAAAATAACACATGTTGCCATTACAGCATATCAACCTATTTTCATTTCAATGCAAAATAAGTCTATAACACAAAAATAATTGCTCTTATTAATCACAGCTGTCAGAATACGTTTAAAATAGTTTTGGGTAGTTAAGGTTTTCAAAATGGGTAGAGGAAAGGTTATTAGTGAGAAAATTCGGTTACTGATAATTAAATTTTTTGATTCTGGGAAATCAAACTCAGAAATTGCAACTTTGTTATACTTTACAGTGTGAGAAATATGGTTAGAAGATATAACGTAACTGGTTCAGTTAATATTAACCCACGATATGTGAAAAAAGTAATATCACAAATGCCGACCGAAGAGCACAACTCATAGAGAGGCCCACAAACTGGGATTCAGCACTTGCAAGGTAAGTTTTCTTTTAAAAAAAAGTGAAGTAAAAACCCTAAAGTTGCACAACTTGTTTATAGGCCAAAGAAAAGTCACTATTAACTCCACTGAGAAAATAAATAGTTTCATCATGTTTAGTTTATAAAGGCATATTTTGGCACAAATCTTGAAGTGGGCCAACTAAAGTGGAAAGGGGCTCGTATATCTGGAATCAGAAAAAAAGGTGTCCCATTTAAAAATACAAATATTCGATAGCACTTTTCTGAGAATCCTGTAGATGAAAGAGAGAGAGAGAGAGAGAGAGAGAGAGAGAGAGAGAGAGAGAGAGAGAGAAACTCTATAGTAGAGCCTAAAACTTGTAAGAACTTTTTTCTAAGAGGTCGTGCAAAAAAGTTGAGAGCGAGCCCAATTTATGCGGGTCATGACTAGATGACTACTACGAGCCCCTTCCCACTTCAGTTGGTCCACTTCAAGATTTGTACCAAAATATGCCTTTATAAACTAAACATGATGAAACTATTTACTTCTAAAACAATTTATTTTTTCAAAAACATTTTAGATACACTCTAGTCGTAAAAAATACATATTTGAAATCACTTAGACCTATAACTAATAGAACATCTGAACAAATAAACAATGTGCGAATAAATGCGCGAAGTTAACAAAGCAGCAATCGAAAGATTACCATTGGGTAACATCACCTTTATTTTTTATTACGGCTGAAATTCTTTGGGGCATAGTGTTAACCAAGTTTTGGCAAAAATTTGGTGTAAAACAATCCCATATTTCTTGAAGCTTTTGTCTCAGTTCGGTGATTGTACGAGCTGGATGTTGTCGTAGAACCTTTTTCATCTTGTGCCACAAAGTTTCAATAGGTGACAGATCTGGACTGCTAGAAACCCATTTCAAAAGTGATACATTATTTTCTTCCATCTATTTTATAGCCTTTTTTGAGGTATGGCACGCTGCACCATCTTGCTGAAACACAAAATCTTGGCCGGATGTCAAACATTCTTCCATCACTGGTAAAATCGATTCTTCTAAAATTGCCAAATATTTGTTTGTATCCACATTTCCATAAATAAAATGAAGTTTTCCTACTCCTTTTGATGACATACTGCCCCAGACCATAATGGATGCTGGAAATTTCACTTTTCTCTTCAGTCAGTCAACATGGAATGCTTCATTTTTTTGCAAATAACTCTACTGCGACTGTCACCAACACAAACTTTGAATCGGGCCTCATCACTCCATTCTATTGCACACCATAGTTGAGGTGTCCATTGTCTATGTTCTTTAGCCCATCTAACCCGATTTTTCTTTTGCAGTGGAGTGAATAATGGCTTTTCTTTGGCCTATAAACAAGTTGTGCAACTTTAGGGTTTTTACCGCAATTTTTTTATAAGAAAACTTACCTTGCAAATGCTAAATCCCAGTTTGTGGGCCTCTCTATGAGTTGTGGACCTCTAAATTCTCCTTCCAACAGCGTAACTCCACAGAGCACTTAATTGTAAATAATTGGCACGCCTGTTTTTCACGATTATTCTTCTTAATGCTCTTCGGTCTGCATTTGTGATATTACTTTTTTTCACATATCGTGGCTTAATATTAACTGAACCGGTTACGTTATACCTTCTAACAATATTTCTCACACTGTACCGCGATAAGTCTAACAAAGTTGCAATTTCTGAGTTTGATTTCCCAGAATTAAAACATTTCATTATCAGTAACCGAATTTTCTCACTCATAACCTTTCCTCTACCCATTTTGAAAACCTTAACTACCCAAAACTGTTTTAAATGTATTCTGACAGCTGTGATTAATAAAAACAATTGTCATGGCTTTTATTTTTCACAGCCACCTATGCGTTATAGACTTATTTTGCATTGAAATGAAAATAGGTTGATATGCTGTAATTGCAACATGTGTTTATGCTGCAAATTTGATTAGGGAGTGATAAAGTTGGTGTTTTCTACTATATATTATCAAAATATTCATTGTTAATATTTTAAACCTATAACACCCTGCTACATTTTTATTATTTGTGTTTGATAAGAAAAAAAACTAAGATTTCAATAGTTGGGCCAACTGAAGTGGGAATGGGCTCATATGCTAAAAACGAAAAAGCTTTGTAGGTCTTTGTTTCAGAGATCTCTGCTCATGTTCAAAAATTATGGAGTCGTTGAAAATGTGATTTATATATCATTAGTTTGAGATGTGGAAGTTTACGATACAACATATTTAAGTGCATTTAATTTGCATTTGAACAAAGGCGTGGGAAGTATAGAATCAATCTACTTGACGCCATTTTTTATATGTATAATTATGTCAGTAGTAATAGTTATCACCTTTATTCTCCTTTATCTCTCTTTTATACTAGAAGTCATAATATACTAGCTTTTTAAATAGTGATTTGTTTACAAATGCATAAAAATTTAGTTTCATAAGGGATGCATAAATTCTTCATCATGTCATTGATTGTAATTCAACATTACCCTAGCAGATCATCTGTATAACAGCAAGGAGACATCAAAATTAATCTTAAGGGTCGAAATTCAATTTATATTGTGGTTGTATTTGGAATCTGATTTTAATGTGCTTATAAATTAAGCAAAAGGATGATGGATCAATGACTTTGCTTATGTTTTGGCTACCATATCAGTATTTCACAAAGTAAAAATTAAAACAAAGGTAATTTTCAATAAGAAAATTACTACAAGTCTAGAAAATGTCTGAACAATTGATAATTATGATTATAATTTCCATGTGATACAAAAATAGATATATACGTACAATATTGAGATGTTTTGAATCATCAAGTTTCTGATTTCTGATTAAGAGAATCTTAATACCTGAGAGAGTTGATGAAATTAATAGAAATGTTTTTATATATACAGTTGTTCTAAAACTTTACTTTATAATTTCCAAGAAGTATACTGTTTGAAAATGTTTGACATATCCTGATTAAACATAATATCTACGTATATATGTGAAGTATTTCCTTTAACACCTAGCTGGTTTTGATAGGCTTCTCAATCACAAGTAAAAAGAGGTCAGACTATAAAATTTAGCAAGATACATTCGAATCTCTGATTTTACCGGTTATAGGAGAGGATGAAATTTTAGAAATTTCACCATGTCACACACTACTCGTTTTCGTTGGTCTTATTATTTGTCACCACGTACTACCAGTAACTGTTGCACCCATTTTGGTACATTAATACATTGGAGGAGGAGTTATTAGACAGAACTTGATGTTTTTATAGTTACATTTTTGCTGTATTTTTACAACTTTCTAATACATAATTATCAACTCATATTTGTAACTATCCAAGTCCAAAATAATATTTTGGGCAATTGCTTTTAAGACACTCTGGACAGGCAATTTTAAGATGCGTAATTATCTCAAAAAGCAAAAAGGATGGATCAAATCTGTGTTGGTTTATTTTCTCCTAAATGCCATTAGGCATATCAGTATCACACCTAATAAACTTTAATATGTCTCATTGTTACATCGACTGAGTTTTACAGTGATTTCACTGATTATAAATCCAGGCACTTTGTATATGTTGTTCACTGTGAAAAGTTAATTTGGCGACGCCTTAGTACAATAACAATCATGTACTTCTAATTATTTATTCACTTGACCTTAGGCAAGTTGCCCGCTCTTTGTCGTTCCGAAAACTAGGTTTCAAAATATGTTTTATCTGTATTTAAATATACATGTTACTGGCCGTAAATGTGTCATAATAGAATCCAAATTTTATCTTCACAATACAAGCAGTTTCTATTTTTATATATAAAGTCGATATTTTTACAAAGTACTCCAGGATGGTGCGTCGAACTATCTCAGATCTTCTCTATCAAAAGGTCGTTTTTTGACCCAGTTATAGAAACAAAATGGAAAATTAAATTTTTAAAAATGTTTCGGATAAAACAGTTTTATTAAATTACATAGTATCATTTTGAGCACACAACTGGCTTTTTAATTTTCCCTTTTTTCATGAAACTTGTAAAACGTCAGATTACAACAGACACCATAAGGTGTCTATCGATTTAATATGAATTGATAAAACTATTGCAATAAATTGTTTGTTTGATTGTTGAATATTTATTTATCATTAATGTTACAATTTTAATTTTACACTTGTCTCTATTAAAATTACATCACTATGCATTTTGTGTATTCATAAAACGATATTTTAATTTCAACTTTTAAATATGTATAAATTCAAATATTGTTTAATATTATTCAATTTATTAAACCTAAATACTCCCTTTTGACATACAGATTTGCTATTATACTACTATTACAAATTTACAGACAAAAATCTATACTGCCTCTAGTTACGAAGTTATAATAATGACTATTTAATTTTGTGAAGTTTTCTAAATGTGGTGGTAATAAATGATTTTTTTATTTGAATATGAAAATGAGAACTCAATAACACATATTCCTTTACATTCAACTACTGCAGTTCTTCTAACATAGACTTATTCTTAACATATTTGTTTTTATTTAAAATGATTATCATAGCTTTATTTTGTAGAATTTTTAATTTGCTAATATATTTTCACTTTCTGTAAACAAGAAAATTGAACAATATAAAATTGTGGTGTAATACACATTTTTGGAATACCTACTGATTTTATGGGAAACTCGATAGAAGTCATTTATCTTTTTTGATATAATGTATTCATAATGCTATTGAAATAGTAGTTTGCTATCTACATTTACAGACTGCAACAAAAGTTTGAAATGCAAATATCTGAAGAATGATTCATAGAATTTTTCAAAAAAATGGGTAGGTTAGGTTCGAAACCACGGCGAATCTGTTAACGATATCGCGATATTGCCAAATCTACAGCTTTTCAGAAACTGATAGCAACTTTTGTTTTCCTTAAGGAATGCTATACATTTTATTCGATGAAAGAAGAATAAATTCTGAATACTTTTTATTAAACATCTTTTAACGTAGACCTCGAGCATAGAAATTCTAATATTGATTAAAATGGTGTATTTTATATTCCAAGGAAACAAGAGAAAAAATAAAAACAAAGAAAACGTTAATTTAAACTTCAAAACAAGATAAAAAGCATATTGAATGTTTAAACTGCAGTCCATAATATACTTCTTGGAAATACGCTAGATATTGCGAAAATGCTTTTAGAATATTCTTAAGATATCCGTTTTCCTCGATTCTTCTGCATTCATTTTCTATTAGTTGTTTTAGTTCCTCCATATCATAATCAAGGGGTGTGAGGTCAGGAGACCGAGATGGTTATTCAATCGTACCTCTTCTATCTATCCATCTTCCAAAAAATGTTTGATCCAAAAATTCGCGAACATTTCGAGCGTCATGCGGAGGTGCACCATCTTGTTGAAGCCATATTCTATCGTCGGGCACTCTCTTATTTACTAAAAGAAATTAATATTGATATTTTTTATTGTTTGTGGTAATAAAATTGACTTACGAGGAGGAACCCAAAAAAATGGAATTATTTTTTAAAAGCTATTTATTTGCAAGTTTTTCACAAAGTAACCTTATCTCCTTCAAAATACTGTCCACTACAACTAATACACTTGTCCCACCCGTGCTCGAAACATTTTTTAAAGTCTTCCTCGTTTTTTTCTTGTCCTCTTCAATGTCGTTAAAGCGGCATCCTTTCATGCCCCTTTTGATCCGTGGAAATAAGAAAAAGTCGCACGGAACCATGCCATTTTTAGCCAAAAACTGTCGAATAGAGATGGCTGTGTGCGCAGGTGCATTATCGTGGTGGAAGAACCAGTCTCCTGACTGCCACAAATCGGGTCTTTTTTGCCGAATACTTCTTCGCAATCGGCTTAAAACCTTCAATTAGCACAGAATTGCAAACGCCCGTCAAAATCATCATCTGATAGCTCTTGAACCAAGATGACTCTGTGATGGAACTTTTCCGTCTTTAAAATGCGCTCCACAGACATGTGTTCTTATCTTCACCAAGTGTTTTAGTAGAAAGGTGGGGGTTTTCTGCTATGCTCACTAAAATATTCAAAGCCTTATTTTCGTCAGTGGCAGATCGTGAAACATCCTTTACATGTCCTGTTATTTCAATTTTCCTCGAAACTTTTCCAACAGTAGACATTGTTATTGGATTCTGGTTGGGATATTTGTCATTAAAAATATCGCAAACTTCATGCCCTGCGCCTTGTCTACTACCGAAACTCAATGGACTTAGGAATGTCTGAAATGACTGGAAATTACTTCCGATATCGCACGGCACGGGTATTACGTGAAAAGTGACATTATGTAGATTTTTTTTGATATTATATTGTTTTTTTGTGACATTATGTAGGTTTTTCTACAAGATAACACGATATTAACTTAGCCTAGCTGATGGTCACGTTGTGAACTCGTTTTGTAGTTGTACGTGTTGCCTAAACGTCATGAGGTTTCAGTTATCAATGTTTGGCTCTGATGTGAAGTAAAATCTGCTTCAGAAATGGCATAGAATAGAATAGAAATTAGTTGCGCAACCACTTTTTCTTATCCATTCTGGAAACTGCATATGCAAATTTGCTGAATTTCAAAAATGAAAGAGATAAATAATTATATTCACTGTCGACTTACAAGTCATATACATCCCAACAGTAATTACACACAACGCGGGCGCGTTTCCGTAATTCTCAAAGTTTTTGAAAACAAAAAAATGTAAAAAACCGTAATTTATAACTTTGAACATAACCTGTCTTTAGAAAGGACAACATATAAATAACCTGTCGGGCACAGCCAATAGATACACTTCATCGGTAGCATATTCAGTAATGATTTTCTCACACAGCAAATATCACTGATTTTATACATAAGCAGACCAATTCACACAATCATCCAGATGCGGCCTTGCTATCCAACCAACTTTCTTCTCAGAGATGAAAACTATACACTACTCGGCTTCACAAAACATATGCAACCAAGAATACGTTTAGTTGAGCAATTCCTCCGTAGATGGACGCTCACAACGATCCTAGTGAGCAAACGTGGAATGACTGTTTGCACCCTAAAAGCTACCTAGTCGGCAAAGTGACATCTTATAGCACAGCAGACGTCAACTACGAGCCGTGATGAAAGAAAGGCAACACCGCGCTCGGACGGCATGGTAGTGCTACCTGTGAACGTCGGCCGCCAGCGGCTGTGTGCTCCGTCTCCGTTTAACGTTCAAGAACTAAATTTAATTTTGGAAAAGAGGACAGTTCGATTCGATACAAATCATCTGAATATGAAATAGCTCTAAAAAATTTAAAAATACGAAATAATCGTGATATATATGAGTCGCTAATGCAGTTAACCTAATTAAAAGTATTTAGTTTACGTTTTTTGGTGTCAGCACACTGTGTTCCAACAGGCCCAGCTTGGAAATGTGGAGTTACCTGTTTGTTTTTAATACATTTACTTTCAGTTTTACTGTTATTTTTCAATTTTACATAATCATTCAAAATTATGTTTAAAAAAATAGACAAAAGCTTAGATAAAATATCTGCATAATTGCAGCCACAGATGCAAGTTAAAGAAAATTCACTGTATATAAAGTCAGACTGAATGCTGAGCAAGGTTAACTGACACAAAATAAATTTTTGATTATTGCTTTTCAAGAAGAAAATTTCCAATCTATCTACATTAATAATAGATTCAAAAATGGCATACATATGGTAGAATATGATTGGTACATAACTGGTTGGAATTGACAGTCCTCCTCTTTGCAAATGATCAAAATAAACATTTGTTGTTAATGAACCTTTTTCTTTAACTATTAGCGATTTGCATATCTCGCAGTTTAGGTTTTTATATATAGATATATATTTTATATATAGATAGCATGTGAAGCATATCCAGATATATAAGTCTTAGTACTATCCTCTATGTCACAATTGGCTAAGTAATTTGTCTCAAATACTTCATTGAATATATCCAAAACTTCAGGATTTTGTTTGGTATCCAAGAAATCAAAATTTTCTTGAGTTTCTAAGCAGTTTTGGAACCTTGTTTTAATTTCTGCCAAAGAAAATGACGATTTCTTTTCATTGAAAATATGCTTCAGCCGTATTTTCTTTTCAGCATTTAAAATTTCATCATATGACACATTGTAATTGCAGCCACATAAAAGTCTATAATTGCCAAATCGTTTTTCTAAATTATCAGTGGTGAATTTTCCAGGCAATACATACTCAATGTCAAATTGATTAAATGAATATTCAATTATATTAAGTAGAGTCAGCGTGCTTTGATATAGAGCTGTATACATTTCTGGTGTCAGGTGTCCATTATTATTCTCTAGATTATGCCATTTTTCTAACCATATCAGGATTTTTTTTAAAAATTGTACTCTATAATCATATTTATTGGTAATAGGCTTACAAAATTCGTTTCGCTTCAATTCTCCTTTTATTACACTTGTATTACTGACAATATCCCACCAATTCCTGATTATTTCCAAAAAGTGTGCAGCATCATTAAACTTTAAATCTTTCATAGCAGCTATTGTTGAGTGATGGAATAAATTATCTATTATTTACATTTTGCCTTTCAAATGAATTTGGATGCAATGTTTTATAATTTAATTTATATGCTTTCTTAAATACAGCTTCTTTTTCCAATTGATATACAGCACGAATGTTTTCAAATTTAGCATACTGAATAATATCATTATTGTCAAAATTAGGATATACAAAAGTTTTGTCTAGGTTTTTTAAATTAATCCAATTATTTCTGATACTCTTGAAAATATGCACAGCATCATAAGTTAAATATATGTTCTTATCAGGATTATGTGGATTTGGAATAGAATAATTTTCTGATGAATCCTTTGCTAATTTCCTGAACATTGCTCTATTAATTCGGTGATTATCAGTAACAACACAAATAACTTCAAATCCACATTTTTGAACTAAATTTATCACATGTTCAACCAAAGGTGTCATTTCATCACCTGTTAGATTTGAAACTGTTAGTAATTTGATAATTTCTGTTATGTTTCCAAATGCTGAAGATAGCATGAAGGCTAAAACAGTTTTAGCCATGTCATTTTTATTTGAAATTTGAAAAATACAACCAGAATTTGCACGTTTTCAATAGTTGAAATCCTTAGCGTCCTGAGGCGCGAACAGCCACAGTCACACTTCTTAGTTTATTTTTAAAGCACAGAAGCACTACAACTGGAGTCTATTTCTCATATATTATAGTCACCGGTCACTTTGAACACATACACACACTTTGAAGCTTAGAAAACAAGCTTATCTCTTAATTACAGCCTATGCGATTCCAAAATCACAAATTGAAAAGGTTATGTTTTCTCAGCGTTTTGAGCGGCGGGAGTAACACTACCACCTACGTTGCCAGATTTCTTTGTTCACGGCTCGTACTTATAGGTTTTTTACGTTTTATAAACTTATTGAAAAATACACCGGGAATTTTGCGAAAGTGAAACTTCTTGTATCGCTATCCTGTATATAGTATAATCTTTAGTACATTTTTTTTCTTATTTCAGGTTCCAAAGAGCCTTCCAGCTGCCCGTTAATTTCAAGCATCGTCAGATAGGCCGGCAACACAAAATAGATATTTCTGCAATGGCCACATGGATAGTCTATACTTTGAATGGCGTCGACGACATTGCTTTCTTCCATTTAGAGAAGCTCATGCAGAGTCTCGAGTCATACTACCATCCTGCCAATCTTGGAAGATGGACTGCTAAGATTCGGGAGCTGCTCAGACAGCTCTCTTATAACTTTGTTCATAGAATTTATTGCGAACGCTACAAGAGGCCATCTTGGGACTATCAGTGTCCAGATACACATAAGATCACCGACGCTGATATTGATAGGTTTGTGAATATACTGAAGCCTTGTCTAGAACATGCTATGTTTTCTAGGATGGGGTCGCAGGACACTAGCCTTGCTTTGAATTATTTAGCCTCCCTAAGGCCGAATTTGATCATCCCTATGACGTTAGAAAAGCTTTACAGCTCGATGAACAGTCTAACGGAGCCTCACAAACTCACGTCGTGTATGATGGCTGTCTCATCTATTGGTAGATACATGGTACAAGGTGGAAAAATGGGATACCCCGAAGGTCCTACACACATCATTCCTTTGCTCATGGAACTGTTGCCTGGTATAGATCCTAATGATGTCGGGAAGTCTTATGTTACGTTCAACTTCATTGCTCATTTCATTAACATGATTCCGATTGTAGACTGTTCAGAGGCTAGTAAATATCATCAACTTACAGAAGAGGAGCATATAATATGTGAAGCGACTGCTGGATTTGAAGACTTTGTGTTGCAGTTTTTTGATAGGTTGTGCGTATGGATGGAATCCAGTTCATTAGATTTCATAAGACTGGAACAAATGACAAATAATGACGTAAGAAATAGAGCGGAAAGTATATCAGAAAACGTGATTGCTTCCGTGATAGCTGCGATACTGCATCAGTGTTCTCCTGATATTTTTAAAAGTGCCTTGAAACGTATATACAATTTTGTGATTAGTAAAATTTTAGAAGTACACGTCTCTGGGAAACTTTTAGCTGTAACTTGTCACTGCTTTGCAAGAATAAATCCTAAGGAAACACTCAAACTATTCATACCATACTTTTGTGATAGAATAGAAGGGATATTTGCTGAAAATACAAACCTTGATAAGGAAGAACACGTGGATGATGAGTTACTGTATGATTTGCTTATATTATCAGAAGTCGTGAACGGTAGATCCGAGTTGCTGAACTACATGGATAGATTGACCAATATTCTCGATAGAACTCTTCATATGAGTTGCTTAGCGGCCAGCCAATTTGCCACAAAAATTTTAGAATCTATAATGTCGTCTTTAACCACCATTGCCGCTACAGAAGTCAGAAGCTCAGAAAGAGACTATTCAGTGCACGTAAAAGATTTTCTTCCGATAAGAGAATGGGGAATCGGTTATCAACTATCAGATGTCAAAATATCTTGGTATGTACCCGGAACTCATGAAGTCCAAGCTATTCAGCAACTGCTCAATAAATATTTACTGCATGAATTAGATACATTAAAGAGACACACGTCAGGCGAAGTAACTCTTTCAAGGCAAAATCTGAAACAAAGCTTGAAGATCGTATATTCTATCTTATTTTGTCACTCCTTATTGCCTATCTGGGAAGAACCAGTATATCATTTGGTGAACAGTGTGCTAGAACCGTGGGCGTTTAATTTGAAGGTATGCAGCAGTGACCCAGTCACAATGCCTGATGGTACAAATGTCAGGAAAGCTGTCGTTGATGTATTACATAGGTTGCAAAAAAAGATGCTAGAAAGTGACGATGGCGATACGCAAAGTATCCAGAATATAATCAACATTTACAATATAATTTTGTTCAACAGGACAGGCACGCATGATTTTGATCTTCTATGGAAGAGTTTCAGCATGAGCAAGAAGTTACTAGAGGATCCATTGCATAAGAAGAAAGAACAGTTTAGGTACTTGTGGATAAGCAGGGCTTTGTTCCAACAAGGGCTCAGAACAGAAAGCAGAAATTGTTCTTTTACAGACACTCATAAGCAGATTTTGCTGGATATCTTCGAATTGAGCACATCTAGGTACAGCAAAGTGAGAAGTGCAGCCCAGTGTAAACTTAGTAACATCATTGCATATTTTCCCTATTCTTTTACCCTTTTAACTGAACCTATAAAAAAGATACTGGAGCTAGATTCTCAAGAACATCACGAACGTTTCAAGGGATGCCTGTATGTATTGCTAGGTCCAAAAAATGCCAGCATTGTCGCCAGGCATGACTGGAAATTCATTGCAGAGATATGGCCTGCGTTAGTTAGATCTATGCCCAGTGAGAAACCATCTATCATCAATCTTGTCGCTGCACTTTCAGAGGCAATTGAGAAATGTTTCCCCACTATAGCTGTAAAGTTGCAGATACCTGAGAGAACATTAACTGTTGCTTATGAGTTTGCTAAGACTTCCCCTGTGGTTAGCTTAGATAATTTCCAGCATGAAATCAGTAACAGCGAAATTTATCTTTGCATGAGGTCAGAAGAACGACGTGTAGCATATGAAAGTACAATCAATCAATTGTTAGATGCTTTGGAGACTGGAAATTTACATTGGCGTTATCATATTCTAGCCATGAATTTGGTGAAAACCATAGTACACTTTGATGTAAAGTATAGCTGTAGAATAGTGCAGTTTTTCTTGAAATCCCTAATCAGCGAGTCGATATTCGTAAGAAAATGCTCTTTAAAGGTGGTTGTATACAGCTTAATCCAAAACAAGCCCAAATTTATCAAAGTAGATATAGATCCGTTTGCAGTTGCTGGCTGCTCACCTCCTAGCAAGCTGAAGCCTGGTATCAGAGAAGATAATAAGTGGCTGTTATATAACAGCAAAACTGCTCCACGTAGTGCCGAGGAGTGGGATCAACTTAGATATATCCACGATCAGTCCACAGGATATTACGTCTGGCCCAAAAAGCTACAGGTTTACGACTCACCGTCAAAACAAAACCCTCCTGCCAGAAGATTGGATCGTTTGACTGAAATAGAGTCTGTGGTGTACAATTTTTTCACTAACGAAGACCACGTTACTGCACTGATCAAATATTGGTCTTTGGAGGAGAAAAAAGGACAGGATCAGTTTAATCCGTTCCGATTTTACACTTTTAAAAACCTGTTTAAGATGTTCGAAGATAAGTTACTACCAGTATTCATACCGCATGTCGAAAAACTAATTAAGGATAAGTTGGAGTCACACCAAAGATGCGCCGCTGAAATCATCAGTGCCATTATAAGAGGTTCGAAACATTGGGAATACGACAAAGTAGTTAAAATGTGGGGTGTCGTCCTGCCACTTTTAGAAAGCGCGATCACGAACATGTGTTCTGAGACACAAACAGACTGGGCGTTATGCATTACAATGGGTACTGAATCACGCGACCCAAACAAATATCATTGGTTAATTGAGTATTTAATAGAAGATCCACTCAGGGACACCACGTCTTCCATTTCTTGCACTAGGATGCATTTGCTATCTATGGCTGTGAATCAACACGCTTGGAGAAACATGGAAATTAGCGTCAGATTGTTACAGTACTTCAAGCCCCACTTGACACATCCTTTTCAAAACATTAGAGAAAAAATTAGTTCTTTACTGACCATCATCCTTTGTAAAGATTCTCTTTATACATGTGGCGTGAAAGGAGCTGATACTGGCAAGTTTTTTGCAGAGGTACTACCGCAACTTGACTATCTTTATAATGACAGTTTAGCTAAAATTGATAGCACAAATGATATCAACCAAGTGGTACAACTGATGGAACAAGAAGCCAAGGACAAGCTAATCAGGTTATACAAGGTGGTTACAAAATTTGTTACAATGAGCTTGTCGCGAGTGAACTGTGCTACACGTTCAGAATTCTTCGAACTGTTACCCTTATCTGCCATTTTGCAGAACAACGACGTGGATGAAGAACTTGCGAACGTAGCTACTAATATGATGGTGATATTGGCTCAAACTTTAACTGTAGCTGAGTACATTCCTTATATATTAAACGCTGTGAAAAAGGTGGCTACATGTTCATCTTGGACTGCCAGGGCGCTTATTACAGAGTATCTTAATGTTTTTATATTCTTCAATATGGCTACTATTAATAGCAACAAAGAATGGGTGCTAGAACTTGAAAAGATTGTCGTAGATCTTATGAAGGACATAAAACCAGAAGTTCGGGTAGCTGCAGCGAAAGTACTAAGCGGATTGCTGCATTGTAAGTTTATTCCAGACCCATGCGAGCTGCTCAATAATTTCATACGTAAAGCAAAAGTCAAACTACAACAAGAAAATGGCATTCGACATAAACATGCTGGAGTTCTGGGGCTATGTGCCTTCATTGAATCTCATCCATATGATGTACCTGACTTCCTGCCAGATATCTTTGCGCAACTGTCCAGTAGATTGAACGATCCTCAACCAATCCCAGCTACGATAAGAAAAACTTTAGGTAACTTCAAAAGAACGCATCACGATAACTGGGAGGCGCATAAGTTAAAGTTTACCGAGGACGAGTTGGAATTGTTGAGTGACTTGACTGTGCCACCGAGTTACTATGTGTGAGGTCAAATTAGGAGTATTTTAAAAACTTGGTTGTGTGACTTTTTATGAGGGCTCGAAAGATGTTAGGAGTTGTATATTTGCACTTGGAAAATATTCATAAGATTGACGACACCAGTGCTCTGGGTGATTTGAAGTACATGCATCGTTATAATTCTAGTTGATGTAACTTGAAAAAATATTTTTTATACAAGTGCTACCAGCAAAATTTAAACAATTTTAAGATTTATTTTTATACAGAATGAGTATCTTGGTTTAATGGTTTGTAAAACTTAAATTTAAAATTTAGGCCATTTTATTAAATTTATATAAAATTCAAGTATCTTAAACTTACCCAGTCATGTTTATTAAGTTTTGATTTCCATTTTAATAAATTTTATGCGCTCTACGTACCATTTTTTCAATTAATAGAATAAGCACACAAACCAAGGCTCACTTGTTTTGGTACGTACGTTTATAGAAGTCAAATTAAAAGATCAAAAAGATGCTTAAGATGTCTAAAATTCGAAAAGATGCCAAGTTGTTGATACTTGCTAATTTATTTATTAATTTATTGTAATTGTAAATAAATATACCTTACATTCATATGGTAAAATGGACTAAATCGAAACTTTCAATTTTACGAATGTGATCCTAACCCTTATATAATATTTTTTGTAGCTCAAAGCAATTTATGTTTTCTCTATATCATTATTAATAACTTTTTGCCTCCAGTATTTTTTAGCGACAAACGTCATCAATTTTACTATATCTATTGTTTCAGCTACGTTGTATCATTTGTTTCTCGTTTTGTGTAAAAATTGTAATTTACGCAAAATGTAGTATCTAGCAGCTAAAAGGAGGGAGCAGTTCTTTGAGCAAAGAATACTATTTTTTGCACGTTACCACACCATTATTTGGTGTTTGATATTTTTATTGTCTTGTTTTGACATAACTGTCATGTCCCAGAGTGACAAACATTTTCGAAATGGTGGTGTGAGATATTCATTTTCAAATTAATAGAAATGTCTTGTTAAAACATTAATTATACATCCTTCGATTTTATGTTGAATTTTCTACATATCCACGGGATAGCCGGTTTCTGTTATTAGTATAACTGACTTGTGATGTTTGAATTACACAAAAAGCCATTCTACTAAATATATGTATATTAGACTCTCTTGAATCGTTTCGAATTTGTTTGAACTTGGTACGTTTCGTAAATTGCCAAATTTTCAGTTTTAATATTCATATGCCTAGGTTCACTGCATACTGTTTTCGACTTTTTCGACAACGCTCCCGTAGGGATTATTTTCACAAAAAACTTTTATTAGAAATTCACTGTATAATAAAACCTTTGAATGTGATGTAGCAACCAATTATTGTTGCCTATTTTTAAAGTATTTTATTCTTTGTAGTTTACCTGGTTTACTGATTTGGGAGAGGTTATTATTATTCATATTTTATAAGTTCAGAACTTATATTTTTGTTTTAATAAAATTTTAATTTTTAATAAAATTATATTTCTGCAACCGTAATTTTCTTACTTTTATCAGAAGATTATGTGAAACTTTAACGGAATAATTATTGATACCGTTTATTCATACATTTTTGAAACTGACATACTGATGGCTGTTTTAAATTTGATATCACCATTGAAATCTCGAAAACTGTTCGAGATACAACTAAGTCGGATGGGGTGCAATTAGGTCACTAAGATAATAAATAGCACTAAATCCAGTATTTACGGAAGTGGACGGAAAAAATCGAATTTTCTCATAATCGTTTTTATTTCTTTCATTGAGGTCGAATTTCAAAATAAATCACACAGCAAGATATTGTCACACTTTCTCCTCCACAATGTGACAATTGGAGTTCCAGTCTGACGTTTCGTTTCTTATCATGCATCATCATTTTTTTTAATGGACGTCATACTCGATTTTTGCAAGTACCAAATGCTTTATTGAATCAAATGCCTTGCCCACCTCTGCCAACACCGACGTCTATCCATCATGACGCGTTGCCACAAGGGCGACAAAAAATATTTAACTGGCTGATAGTCGCTCCACCGGCTAGTGCTACATTCTACATGCCTGACGTTAGCTTCAGATTCAGATTTGAAAATCATGAAATTACAGTCGATCAGTTCAGTAGTGAGCGCAAATCGCCTTCATACTAGAAAACTGGCATTTTTGCCCTTGGGGGCTATTTTATGTTACCTATTATCAAGTATAGCTTTCAAACAAATTACTATAGACAGAAGCCCAATATTGGATATTACTATTATTGAAAATAATAACATGGATTTTTATGTCCAGTACTCTTTTTCAACGCCGCCTTTGGCCACCGACCTGCCAACAACATTACACAGTGCTTATAAGAAATATTCATTGTCCGATTCAAAAGGAGAGAGCCTGCATTTTTTTCTCTGATTCTACGACTTACTTCGCAGGCTGTGCAGAATTAAAAAAAAAATGTTTGGACAGGTAGTTTGACACCGTTGATACGATATTTCCGTACTAGAAGGTAACGGTTAATTCATTCAGTCATCCTGATGACATTCGCAGACCGACAATTTTGTTCATGAAGTGAGAAATGCTATTCCTGAATTCCACAATGAGTCATCTAACGGCTTTCTGACGGTGATGCTTGGCTCAAGCATTCCTATCTGGAAAGTGGCGAAGTCGCTCAGAAATGGAAAGCGAGAATAAATCCCGCACATCCATGGTCCTGGGGGCATTGTATGCAGGACTGAGATAAATGTTGAGGTTTTTGCTGATGCCATGGAAAGACCGTTCTTTTCCCAACTATGATCTTGATAATGACCTCGAAGAGGAGCAACACATCGTAAGATCTGTCGGGAGATATTTTAGGGCCAACGGCGTCAATGACAGTCGCGCATTCGTTGGTGATTTTTCTACATCAGAAGATTCTTCTTCAGAAGCTTCTTCAACCGAAGATCTGCATAGCACATCAGTGGAATCTCGTGAGATTCCGCATTGCACACCAGTAGAGATTCAAGATCATATAAAAGACCTCAAGGTGCGTAAACCAGCTGGGGTCGATCAAATCACGTATAAGACGCTGAAGCTGCTTTGGCGGAAGTCCTTATCTCGTGGTAATAATCAGTGCCATGCTAAGGACCCAGTACTTCCCATCCGCATGGAAGACCGCTAAAGTTATAATGATTCCAAAGGTGGGTTCGATATTTCCCAGGATTATCGTCACCTCTAAGCTCTCTAATAAGGTGATTCTATGTCACCTTGAGAATTTCTCGTCAGATCACCATTTGACTCCTGACGTGCAATTCGGTTTGAGCATAGTACAAGGAGTAACCAGAAGATTCACCCTTAATGAAATTACTGGCATCTTGCTTTTGGATGTCTCAAAGGCATTTAACAAGGTGTGGCAGGCGGGTACTCCCGTATAAACTAATCCAAAACAACTTACCTTTTTTACTTCTCAAACTACTAAAATCCTTACTGTAGAGAACAGACAAGCCGACGTCGCCTCCAGAAACAAATATAACGAAGCGGTACGCAATGCCAAAAACCAGCATGATATAAAAGTTAGGCACAGGGTAATGTCGCAGCGCAATGGCAGTCGGTCTTTCTGGACGCTGGCCAAGCAGATTGAAAAGAACTTCTCACACAGTAGCCTTCCACCACTTACGTGTCAGGATGGAACTATTGTATTCGACTCGAAGGCCAAGGCGGAAGTGCTAGCCAAGATCTTTGCTGCCAACTCCACCATGGACGTCCCCACCAACGCCCAAGTGCCGTCAATTCAAAGGGTTCCCCACACTATGCGGGAGGTAACATTCAGGCATAAGACCGTAAGAGGAGTGCTCTTGTCGCTCGACATCAACAAAGCTTCTGGTCCGGACTTGATTCCTGCCATTGTACTGAAGAGATGTGCAGCGGAGCTTGCTCCAGTTCTTTCGCGTCTCTTCCAGATATCTTATGAATCCGGCACCTTCCCTGAAAACTGGAAATTTGCTCATGTACAGCCCATCCCAAAAAAAGGATCTAAAACCGACCCTTACAACTACAGGCCTATAGCTCTGCTTTCTGTTATAAGTAAAGTGATGGAGAGGTGCATAAATCGCGAGCTTCTAGACTACCTCGAACTTCACAGCTTGATTAGCGACAGGCAGTACGGTTTCCGGCACCAACGATCCACAGGGGACCTCCTAGCTTACGTCACGCAACTGTGGAGTAAGCTCATCCAGTCTCATGGTGAGGCTCATGTCGTTGCTCTTGACATCACGAAAGCGTTCGATCAGCTGTGGCACGCTGCCCTCTTAAGCAAACTTCCATCCTACGGCCTCCCAGAAAAGCTTTGCAGATGGGTGGCTGACTTTATCTCTGGCCGCGGGATATCCGTCGTAATTGACGGATTCTCCTCTTCATCCTACAACGTCAACGCGGGTGTTCCCCAGGGGTCGGTCTTGGCTCCAACACTGTTTCTTTTACATATCAACGACCTCCTTTCCTGCACGATCAACCCAATCCACAGCTTCGCTGATGACTGCACTCTACATGCAGGAATCCAGAGTGACAAGCCGATGTCTGCCGCTGAGCTGGGAAAAAGAAGACTAGCGACGACTTCTTCTCTGACAAGACACCTGGAAGCTATCACTGCTTGGGGACGCAACAATCTTGTACAGTTCAATGCTTCCAAAACACAGTACTGTACTTTGACGAACAAAAAGCGTCCTAGCGCTCATACAGTTTCGATGGACGGTCGAGTTCTACCAAAGAGCCATTCATTTCGGCTGGTCGGAGTCCAGATCACCGAGGAACTGATCTGGCACGAACACATCTCTTCAATAGCTGCAGCTGCTGGGAGAAAGCTGGGCTATTTGTTTAGGGCTAAGAAGTACTTTTCTCCGCATGACCTTCTCACTCTATACAAGGCCCAGATAAGGCCTAGCCTCGAGTATTGCTCACACATTTGGGGTGCTGCCGCCCCGACTACATTGTCCATGCTCGATGCTGTCCAGAGGAGGGCGGTCCGACTGATCGATGACTCTTCTCTAACAGACAGTCTCGGGACTCTTTCGCACCGGCGGGCCGTCGGCGATCTGGCTCTTTTCTATCGCTACACCAACGGGCTTTGCTCCTCAGAGCTCTCTTCCATGATGCCGCCGCGCGATGTGCCTGCCAGACGGACCCGCCTGACTTCGGCGTCCCATCCTAACCGTGTCGAACTTCGTACATCCAGAACTGGCCGATACGACCGCTCCTTTGTTCCGAGGGTGTCTAGATTGTGGAACAATCTACGGGAGGAAGCTTTTCCCAGTTCTACTAACCTTAGGCAGTTCAAAAATCGTATTAACAAAATTTCTTTGGGATCATCATAGCAGCCGCGGTGTTCCGGCATTTAGGCTTTGGCCTGCGCGGCTGTTTCGATATAAAAAAAAAAAACTTGAAGATAGGATGTTTCGGATCAAAATTGATAATGCTGTGTCGACAACACGGCCCATCACGTCCAGCAACTGTAAAGTCTATCTCTATGCTGACAATTCTGCATTGGTGGTCCAGTCGTGGTCTGGTGGCCGAGTCCACGATAGGCTGCAAAGTGCGGTGGAGGAAGTACTAGAGTGGGCGGATCGGTGGATGATTAAAATTAACCATTCAAAAACGTAACCAATCTATTGTATGAAAAGACATAGCGGCGCCCAATCTGAGGTTTCAATGAACTGAGTACGAGTACCATGGGAAAGGTCCGCTAAGTATTTCGGTGTCATTCTGGACAAAGGGATGACTTGGCGGAATAATATTGAAGCGTTAAAAACTAAATTTCAAATTACGTTTCGACAATTTTACCCATTATTATGGAAACGTTCAAAATTAAGTTTAACAAGACAGCTTTAAAAGGTGATCATAAGACCAGCAACGACTCACGCTTGTGTGACTTGGTGTTTTATTGCCAAAACACACATGCGAAATCTGCAGGTTCTGCAAACCAGGACGTTGCACACTATCACTGACACTATGGTATCTCTCTTACGAAACTCTTCACATATACCTCGATGTCAGTGGACCACACAGTCGCGCGAGTTCGCAAGCACAAAAGGCCGCGGCTCGCACTGTCATCAAAATTAATTCGTGAATTTAGAACAACCAAAATTGGACCATTTTGACAAAATCCTTACAAAAATTAAATGTTTTTAAACCATATCAAAATCTGTCAAGTGATTTGAAAAATGCCTAAACGCCTGTTCTGAAGGATTCTCTTCCTCTTTACTCCCTTTCTTCCTCCTCTCATTTCCTTCCCTTTTCCCTTAGTTGTCTGGTTTCTGGGTTAACAGACCTGACAGACTGACAAATTGACACCATGACTCAAGACCTAAGGTCCCTCCGACCGCTTAGACAACCAACGATGACTTGATTTCATTCAGAGGTACTCCTTAAAAAACAATCACTTTTCAAATATCGCCTGTTACTGTGATCAATATGGTCCATTCTGGAATTACCACTTTCGATAATGCGTTCGATCATAGCAAGTGGCAGT